CAAGGTGTTTGAAGCTGCCTTGGCCTGGATCCGGTACGACCGAGAGCAGAGGGAGCCCTTCCTGCCCGAGCTGCTCTCCAGGATCCGCCTCCCGCTGTGCCGGCCGCAATTCCTCACGGACCGCGTCCAGCAGGACGACCTGGTCCGCTGCTGCCACAAGTGCAGGTGAGCCTGGGGCACGGGGCAGTGCTCAGACTGCCTCTGCCCCCAGGCAGGCAGTCAGAGCTCCCCTTTGACTCCTGGCTCGCTGGATTCCAGGGATCTGGTGGACGAAGCCAAGGATTACCACCTCATGCCGGAGCGCCGGCCGCACCTCCCGGCGTTCAAGACGCGCCCCCGCTGCTGCACGTCCATAGCAGGGCTGATCTACGCCGTGGGAGGGCTGAACTCGGCAGGTACCTTGCAGTGGAAAGGCCGCTGGGAGCTGGGAAGGGCCATGGGATGGGGAAATTCCCCCAGGTCGGAGCGTTGAGCGGCTCCTCCTCCCGGCCCTTCCACTGGAACGCCCAAGGTGTGCCCGTGGTTCAACATCTTCCAACTAAATCCTGACCATGTGGGGTTTATTTAGGGCACCTTCTTGGTGGTGTCCTTGACTGGAGCTCCAGGCGGGACCTGGAGGGATCTCAAGGATGTTGTTGGGATTGTGAGATCACCTGTGCAGACACATGGCGCTTCCATGAGCCAAACCCTGGTGTAAAAGGGGAACAGGAAGAGTTCAGGGAAATGTGAACCAGTGACAGCACAGATGGGACTCACAGGTCTCTGCTGCCCCTCGGAGGGCACTGGAGGTGCCACTTCCACAGCCTGGCACATGTTGAGGCCCCTGGTGCAGAGCACGGGAAGGCTGGAAAGTGTTCCACAATCTTTGGGAGTGGTGTAGTGTGTTCTGTGGGAATTGTCCAGAGCAGCATCTCTGGGGGAGAGCAGGGAAGTGACTGGGAAATGCCTCTGACTTGGCTCTGTGGGAGCAGAGAGGCTGGAATAGGATGGGAGAGCCCAGGACAGGGCACACACAGAATCCCAGGATGGTTTGGGTTGAAAGGATCCTTAAGGATCATCCACCCCATGGCATGGGCAGGGACACCTTCCACCAGACCAGGTCCCTCTGGATGCCATCCCATCCCAGCAGAGCCCAGATGTTTCCCCAAAGAGAAGCAGTTAAAGTACCCTGTGCCAACCCCATCTTTGGGACCCCCTCTCAGCCCCGCTGAGCTTCCCCGGGGGTTCCCTCCGCTTCCCAGGGCTCCATCAGCTCTCCCTCTTTTAATTTGAGTAGCAAATTTCTACGCAGGCGACTCCCTGAACGTGGTGGAGGTGTTTGACCCCATTGCCAACCGGTGGGAGAAGTGCCAGCCCATGACGACGGCGCGGAGCCGCGTGGGGGTGGCCGTGCTCAACGGGCTCCTCTACGCCATCGGCGGCTACGACGGCCAGCTCCGGCTCAGCACCGTGGAGGTCTACAATCCAGAGACAGACTCCTGGTCCAAAGTGGAAAGCATGAACAGCAAGAGGAGGTGCGTGCAGCTCCCTGGGGAGGGACCTCGGGAACAGCGGGGGAAAATGAGGCTGGAGCGCTGGGGGCGGTGGACACCCACGAGGAGTTTGTGTGTGTGGGAGAGGGGGGAGTGGAGCAGCGTGGAAGCAGGTGGGATTTGCTTGGCTAGTTTTGGGATGCTCATGCTGATTTTGGGTGCTGCCTGTTGGTCAGAAGCAGCTCAACAAAATTCCGTGGGTGTGTCACAGTGCTGATGGAGAAGGAAAGGTGTTAAGACCCAAGTGCCACATCCACAGGGCTTGGAAATCCCTCCAGGGATGGGGACTCCACCCCTGCCCTGGGCAGCTGTGCCAGGGCTGGGCAGCCCTTTCCAGGAGGAATTTTCCCACTATCCAAAATAAATCTCTCCTGGCACAGCCTGAGGCCGTTCCCTCTCCTCCTGTCCCTGTTCCCTGGGAGCAGAGCCCGACCCCCCCTGGCTACCCCCTCCTGTCAGGGATTGCAGAGCCAGAAGGTCCCCCCTGAGCCTCCTTTTCTCCAGGCTGAGCCCCCCCAGCTCCCTCAGCTGCTCCTGCTGCTCCAGCCCCTTCCCAGCTCCCTTCCCTTCCCTGTACACGCTCCAGCCCCTCCGTGTCCTTTTTGTCCTGAGGGGCCCAGAAGTGTCCCCAGGATCTGAGGTGCTCACAGCCTGGGAGACTCCACGCTTAGGTGGGACTGAGCCATTTGGAAGCGAGTCCAGGGAAAAGGAGGTTCTTTGGGATGACAGAGGCGATGGCCCAGGGGCCAGGCAGGCTGTGTTGGGGTCAGGGTGGCAGCAGCTCCAGCCTCCTCACGGGGTCCTGCCGTCCCTTGCAGTGCCATGGGGACGGTGGTGCTGGATGGGCAGATCTACGTGTGCGGTGGATACGACGGCAACTCCTCCCTCAACTCCGTGGAGTCCTACTGTCCAGAGACAAACAAGTAAGAGCCTTCCATGTCCTACGGCTTTTCCAGGAGTTTTGTGCTCCGTGTGCCGTGGGCACCGCAGGGCATCTGGGCTGTGAGGGTGGTTTAAATAAGGGGTGGTAAAAGGTTTAAATAAGGAGAGTTGGTGGAAGCCAGGCCTAGGAGATCGTGGAATACTCTCTGGGACTGTCCCTGAGCTCTGCCCTGTCCCTCCAAGGTGGACAGCAGTGACCCCCATGAGCTCCAACCGCAGCGCCGCCGGAGTCACCGTCTTCGAGGGCCGGATCTACGTGTCAGGAGGGCACGACGGGCTGCAGATCTTCAACAGTGTAAGCCTGGGATCCTGGGAACTGCTTGGCTTGGGGTTGGGAAAGCCCTCTGAGACCATCCACTCCAACCATTCCCCAGCACTGCCCAGGGCCACCACTGGCCCATGTCCCCAAGTGCCACATCCACAGGGCTTGGAAATCCCTCCAGGAATGGGGACTCCACCACTGTGCCAGGGCTGGACAGCCCTTTCCAGGAGGAATTTTCTGTGATCCAACCTGAGCCTCCCCTGGCACAGCCTGAGGCCGTTCCCTCTCCTCCTGTCCCTGTTCCCTGGGAGCAGAGCCCGACCCCCCCCGGCTCCTCCCTCCTGTCAGGGATTGCAGAGCCAGAAGGTCCCCCCTGAGCCTCCTTTTCTCCAGGCTGAGCCCCCCCAGCTCCCTCAGCTGCTCCTGCTGCTGCAGCCCCTCCATGTCTTGTCACGAGATGCCCAAAACTCCTGGAGGACTGGAGGTGGTGCCTCCACAGTGTGGGGGGGATATTCCCTGGGTGTTTCCCAGGCCGGTCTCCCTGACTCTCCGTGCCCTCCCTGCCCGCAGGTGGAGTACTACAACCCGCACACCTCCTCCTGGCACGCCGTGGCCAACATGCTGAACAAGCGGTGCCGCCACGGCGCGGCCGCGCTCGGCAGCCGCATGTTCGTGTGCGGCGGCTACGACGGCTCGGCCTTCCTGAGCGCGGCTGAGGTTTACGGCTCCGCCGCTGACCAGTGGTACGTGCTGGTGCCCATGAACAGCCGCCGCAGCCGCGTGTCCCTCGTGCCCAACTGCGGCCGCCTCTACGCCGTGGGCGGCTACGACGGACAGTCCAACCTCAGCTCCGTGGAGATGTACGACCCCGACAGCGACCGCTGGACGTTCATGGCGCCCATGGTGTGCCACGAGGGCGGGGTGGGCGTGGGCTGCGTGCCCCTCCTCACCGTCTGAGCGCCGCGAGGTGCCGGGGGGGGGCTGTGAGGGGGGTGTTGGTCTTCAGCGAGAGGTTCGGAGCGTGCCGGGGAGTTCCGGGTGCTCGGACCGAGCGCAAAAAGGACTCGACGGGACGATGCCCACGTCAGAGGCTTTTGGGGTGATCAAATGGAAGATGGAATGTGCTGAGTTTCTGTGTGGGGAGGACCCCTCAGCCTCTCCCGGAGCCGTGGCCGAGCGGATCCATCTCTCACTGTCCATCTCCCTTTGGGAAGCGCTGCCGTGGGCTGGGGGAGAAGGGGACAGGCTCAATTCTGACATAAACCCAGCCACTTTAATGACTTTGGAAAATCCATCTGCACCTTCTGGGAGCACCAAAACCACCTGAACCCCCCAAGGGGCGTCGTGGTCACACTGGGGGGGTCTCAGAACAGAACAAACCCAGCGCCATCGGTTCCAGGGGCTTCTTACACAAGACCCTCCCAGCTCCTCGTGCTTTCCACAGCTCGATGTGGAAAACTTCTCCACAGGAGCCACAGGATGGGGAAACCAGGAAGAGGAACAGGTCGGTTAAACCAGCGGATCGTTTGGAGAGGGCTGGACGTGAACGACTCCCAACAGCCTGAGGGTTTCAAAATGGGGAATACGTGATCAAGATGTCCTTCCACATGATCAAGATGTCCTTTAAACTGAATATTGAGATGTTTTCCAAGACCAAGAGGCAGCTGGATTTTTTTTTTTTTTTTTTGTAGGAGAGGAAAGAAAAAAAAGGCATGAATTTGTCGTGCTCCAGCTGGGGAAGGTCTTTTCTGTGGTGGGTTTTGTGCCAGGACACTTTGGAATGCTGGCAGAGCCAAAGAGCTGCCCGTCAGCAGCTTCCCTGCATCAGCCCTTGCCCTGCATGACCGTGATCCGCCGTCCCTCCGGAGCGCTCCGTGCCCGGCTCTTCCCGTGCCAGCCCTGGGCACAGCCATACCTCCTCCGGGCAGGAATGTGACACTAATCCCAGCAGCCAAGGGATGCCCCATCCCAGCGTTCCGGGGGGCTCAGAGTGGGATGTCCCCCCCAGCCCCCTCCCCCTGCTCATTCCTGACTCCCGGCATCCCTCGGGATCGCTCTGGGTGTACATGTCATGTCTATACTGGGGTACTGTGTATATTTTGGGGTCTATGAGGAGCATATCTGCCTATAAATGTGATCTATCAGTACAGATCCATTTCTTCCGTGTACTATCCACTGCTGGCTTCCCGGGAACGGGAATTCCTTTGGGCTTTCCATGCTGCTCACGCTTTAGAAAGGGAAAAACCCACCCAGGAACTTTGGGATCTGAACAAAGTTGTTGCTCGTGGCACCTTCTCTTCCCCAGGACTTATCCTGACGTTCTCCATGTGTAGAGGAGGCTCTGATGAGCTGCTCTCCTGGTGTTCCATCATCCCTTCTCCCTCCCACATCTCCTACCCAGGATTTGTGTCCATGGATCAAATCCCCTTGGAAGAGCCTCAGCTTGGGGCAGGTGATATCCCACGGGATTCCAGGGTGCTGCTCCCAGGTGATCCCAGGGGATTCTGGTGTCCCCCAGCCGCTCTCCTTGGGATTCCTTCCCCAGGGATTCTTTTGCTTTTCCATTGTGGATGAAGCAAAGAGGAAGGGGAGCTCCTGGCTCCAAGGGGGACAGGAAAATACTGAATTTTGGGGAAATGAGCCCCATTCCCCCAGGGAATGCAGCCTGGGAGAGCAGGATTCACCCAGTGCAGTCCTGGGTAAATCCAGGGTTCTTGAATCCAAGGAAATCCTGGTGTTAGGATGAATCTTAGCAGGGTGGGAGAGATTTCAAAAACCCAAACTAATGTAAAGAAAGCAGGAAAGGGAGGGGGGCTCCTGGTTCTATTCCCTGGGAGCTGGGAGGATGCTCTCGCTCCCGGCTCGGGAGGAGCAGGACAGGGGCTGTTCCCTCATGCCAAGAACTGGGAGCAGGCCCAGGGAAGGGGCCGTGGAGGGGGATCGGCCCTGCCGAGCTCCGGCATCGCCGCATCCCCTCCAGGTCCGGCTGCGGGCCAAGGACAACACCGGCAACCCGAGCCCTTCCCACCGAACGGGGGGCCCGCGTTTACCCTGGGGCCGGGGCCGGGGGGCCCCGAGGCGAGGGCCGATCCCGGGAAGGGGGAGAATTCCCTGCTCTGCCGCTCCGATGGCGCTGCTGTTGGGAGCGGTGCTGCTGGCGGCGGGCGCCGCGATCCCGCCGGGAATGCCGGCCCCCGCGACCTGGCCCGCTCCGTGCTGGAGACCCACGGGCAGGACCTGCGGCTGCTCAAGCTGCTGGGAGTCGCCAGGACGGTAGGAATCGGGGGGAAAAGGGGGGGACAGGTGTGTGCCCCCAGCCCCCCATCCCGGGGGGATCCCGGGGGGATCCCGATGGACCTTTTCTCCCGGCAGAGCTTCGACTGGGGAACCCACTTCAGCATCAACTTCACGGCGCGGCAGCCGCCCTGCCCCAAACCCCCCCCGGACCCGCGGGGCTGCCGCGGCCGCCCGGGCAGGGTGAGCTGGACGGGGGTCCCCAGGCGCGGGGTGGGGGGCGCAGGGGGGTCCCCGGGGCGCTGAGGGTCCCTTGTCCGCAGGTGCAGCGGTGCTCGGCCCAGGTGTCCGTGTTCACCTTCCTGCCCGACGTGCCGCTGTCGATGGTGGAATGCGGCCAGGAGCCGGTGAGGGCTCCGGGACCCGCACCCTGGGGGGGGGACACACGCGTGTCCCCCACTTTGGGGTCGGTTTGTTGGGTTCTGGAGTGAAACCCACCTTATTTCTCCCCACAGCCCCCGGTGGCAGCGCCCAACCCCGCTCCCCTGGCACCCCAAAAACCTCCGGCGCCAACCCAGGTCACTCATCCTCCTCATCCTCCTCCTCCTCGCGGCCCCCCCCGCGGCCTCGCCCCCAGCGCGTCCCCCCGGGGGCCCTCCCGCCGCCCCCCGGCCCCAGCGGAGCTGGAATAAAGAGATTTGGGGTTAGATGTGTGTGTGTGTGGGGCTGACACGGTTTGGGGGGCCCGGAGGGGGCACCCCCGGCGTTGGGAAACAGCGATGGGGCAATTTGGGGTTGTGCAAGCCCGGGGGGCACCAACCCCGCCCCTCCCACAGGGCTCCTGGACCCCCAACCCCCCGTGCCCAGCCAAGGGGCTCCAAGGGATGGGACACCCTGGGAGTCCTCCGGGGGTGATGTCACCGCCCACGCATTGGGACACCGTGGGCTCCGTGACCCCAAAACAACGGCCAGCCTGTGGGTTGGGGCCGCGTGTTTCCGGAGCGGGCTGGGGGACAGCCAAGCCCGGGGCGGGTCCCCAACCTGCCGGGGAGGATAAAAGCGGCGCCGGGGTGGCCGTGGGGGACAGGGATGGCGAGCCCGTGGGCGCTGGTGCTGCTGGTGGTGCTGGGGGGGGCCCGTGCCCTCCCCGCCCCGGCCCCCCTCGCCTACACCCAGGCGCTGGCCCAGGCCGTGGACTCCTACAACCAGCGGCCCGAGGTGCAGAACACCTTCAGGCTGCTCAGCGCCGACCCCGAGCCCGCCCCGGTGAGTGCCCCCCACTCGGGACCCCCACCCCTCACCTATGACCCCCTGTTCGTGATCCCCCAAACTCCCGGTACCTGACTCAGACCGCCCAGCGCTCATCTCAAACCCGTCCTGGTGAGTCCCCCACTCGTGACCCCTCTTTGTGACCCCCTGACTCGAGGTACCTGACTCAGGCTGCTCAGTGCCAGCCTCAACCCTACCCCTATGAGTGCCCCCCACTCGGGACCCCCCACACCCCTCCCCTCACCCTCTCCCTATTCCTGATCCCCCATCCATGTTCCCCCACTCGTGACACCCCAATCAGGCTGCACAGCACCGACCCCAAGCCCACCCTGATGAGTGACACTCCCACTCGAGACCCCTCCCCTTCCACTCTTGACCTCCCACTCCCCCTGCTCATCACCAACCCCAATCCCCTGCCCTGGCATTGCTGCCCCACTCGTGACCTCCCTCCACTCCTGAGCCCCCCGGTTGTGGCCCTCTCTCATGACCCCCACCCGTGTTCCCCCCCCACTCGTGCCCCCCAGGGCGTGGAGCTGAGCTCGCTGCGGGAGCTCAACCTGACGCTGATGGAGACGGAGTGTGCTGCCAGCACCCGGCCCGACCCCAACGACTGCGACTTCAAGGAGAACGGGGTGAGGAGGGCGGGAGGAAAGGGGGGGACACGGGGGGTCCCGGTAACCCCTCCGTGACTCGGGGTGTCCCCACTAACCCCCCCGTGACTCCGGGTGTCCCCGTGTCCCCCCCAGGCCATCAAGGAGTGCTCGGGGTCGGTGCAGATCCTGCAGAGCTCCCCCGAGATCGACCTGCGCTGCTCCGACGCCTCCTCCGACGTGAGTGGGGGGCTCGGGAAGCACCTGTGGGTGGGGGTGTCTGTGTCTGTCCCCCTGCCCCACATCCCCCCCACAAGGGACCCCACGATGGCGGTGGAGGGTGGGGTGGGGCTCCGGGAGGTCTCAGGTGGGAGGTCCTGGGTGGGATCCGGGGTGGGGTCCTGGGTGTGGGCCCTTGATGTGTGTCCTGGGTGGGGTCCTGGCTGCAGTGACCTGGGTGCAGGGTACTGGATGGGGGGGGTCTCAGGCGTTGGATCCTCAGTGTGGGGTCCCGAGTGGGGACCCCAAGTGTTGGATTCTGGATATGGGGTGCCAGGTGTCCCAGGTGTGGGGTCCTGGGTGCAGGGACAGGGCATCCCATGGTGTGGGAGCACGAGGGGTCTGGTGCGGGGTCCTGGTGGGGTCTTGATGTGGGTCCTGGGTATGGGGTCCTTGATGTGTGTCCTGGGTGGGGTCCTGGCTGCAGTGACCTGGTGGGTGCTGGGTGTGGGGTCCTGGGTGTGTTCCCAAGAGGGGGTCCCAGCACCCCTCCCCTGACCCCCCTGTCCCCCCCACAGCCGGTTCTGGTCCAGCGCGGCCGCTTCGGGCGTTTCCTGGGCAGGATCCGGCGCTTCCGGCCCCGGATCAAGTTCAACATCCACGCCAGGGGCTCCGTGGGCTTGGGCTGAGCAATAAAGGGCCAGGAGAGGCCGTGTGGGCACCGGGATCCTCCTGCCTCTGTCACACGGGAAAGGGGGGCACACGGGGGCTGCTCCCCCACACTGGGGCCGTGACCCCGCAGGGAGCGGCAAGAGAAGGGTCGGGGGGGGTTTCAGATCCCAAAGGGAACCCCATGATGGACCCATGGGGATGGGGACAGTGGGGGTGAAGGAATGGGGGACTCACAGACCCCTGTGCCCCAAAAGTGGTCAGAGCAGGGTCGTGGCTGCAGCCTCTGGGGGTGTCCCCTCCTCTCCCCCCACCATTCCTGTGGGTCTGTACCCCACACACCCCGTGGGGATCCCACGGCTGGGACAGGATCCCAGGGGACCCCCAAGGTGTCCCAGGATCGGGGGGGGCAATCCTGGGGCACAAGTCCTGTGCCAGGATGAGGTCCCAGAGCCAGTGGTGCCCGTGGGGCTAGGACAGTGCTGTGCCCGTTTTGGGGGTGCTGACCCCACTCTCCCCAAACTGAGACCCGCTGCCATCAGCATCATCCTCCCCTCGTGTCCCGAACTCCCTGAGTGGCAGGAAATGGCACAGCGGGGCTGGGAAGCAGCTGGATTTGGGGGAAGGGTGTCAGGGGGGTCCTGAGGTGGCAGAACCTCCAGGGGGGGTCTCTGCCCCTTCACAGCCTGGAAGAGGTGGGGGGGGACCCCAAACCTGCCCCACTGAGTGCCCCCCACTCGTGACACTCCCCACTCATGGCCCCCCCATCCCCAGGGTGTCCCCAGCCCTCGGAGCCCCTTGGCTGGGCATGGGGAGGTTTGGGGGTCCCGGGAGCCCTCGGGGGTCCCCAGGGGGGAGCAGGGGGAGGGGGTGGCACAGAGACCCTCAGGGTGACACCGGGATCGATGCAGGGACGTTTATTGCCAGCAGAGCACCCAGATGGGGGCACAGGGTGGGGGACAGGGCGGTGCCCCCTCAGGGTTTGGGGACCTGGAGGTTGAGCTTGTCACGGATCCAGATCCGACTGCACTGGAAGATCCTCTGGAAATCCTCTTTGATCCTGGCAAAGAAGTCCTTGACCTTGGATCTGCTGGATCCGGCCGAACTGGGAGGACCAACAGCAGTGTCAAACTCTGAGGGGATGGGGAGGGGGTCTGGGGGAGCCGGGACCCCCATCCCGGCCCCTTCTTACCTTGGTGGGAGCCTTCCCACAGGAGAGCTCCACCGTGGGCTGCTGCTCCTCCAGGAACACGGAGCCCTGGCACCAGGTCAGCGACTGCAGGGACACCGAGGGGACACGGGACAGCCTGAGCCCCCTCCCACTGATCCCAGTTCCTCCTGCTGATCCCAGTTCCTCCCACTGATCCCAGTCCCTCCTGCTGATCCCAGTTCCCTCCCGCTGATCCCAGTTCCCTCCTACTGATCCCAGTTCCTCCTGCTGATCCTGGTTCCCCCTCCTTGATCCCAGTTCCTCCCGCTGATCCCAGTTCCCTCCTACTGATCCCAGTTCCCCCCCGCCTATCCCAGTTCCCTCCCACTGATCCCAGTTCCCCCCACTGATCCCAGTTCCCCCCGCTGATCCCAGTTCCTCCCACTGATCCCAGTTCCCTCCCACTGATCCCAGTTCCCCCCCGCTGATCCCAGTTCCCTCCTGCTGATCCCAGTTCCCTCCTGCTGATCCCAGTTCCCTCCTGCTGATCCCAGTTCCTCCCGCTGATCCCAGTTCCCTCCCACTGGTCCCAGTTCCCGGACGGAGCCTCACCCTGAGCCAGCGGCTCCTGCAGCTCCCGGTGTCCGTTCCCGGGGCCCTGCACGTGGTCTCCTCCAGGACGAAGCTCAGCTCCTGCCGGCTCCGCAGGTCCGAGGGCTGGGAGAGGGGACAGGACCCATCAGGGACCCACCACCCGCAGTGCCCCGTCCCACAACGGGCCCGATCCAGCCCCAGGAGGGGCCACATCCAGCCTGGAATGGGCCCGGCTCAGCCCCGACGTGGCTCATCCCTGTGGGGGTCAGACCTCAGAGGGGGTGGATTTGCCCTGGGAAGGGTGGGATCCAGCACTGCCTGAGCCTGGGAATGGGGAGCTGAAGAAGGGTGGGATCCAGCACTGCCTGAGCCGGAGCTGTGCTGGGAATGGGGAGCTGAAGAAGGGTGGGATCCAGCAGTGCCTGAGCCGGAGCTGTGCCGGGAATGGGGAGCTGAAGAAGGGTGGGATCCAGCACTGCCTGAGCCTGGGAATGGGGAGCTGAAGAAGGGTGGGATCCAGCAGTGCCTGAGCCGGAGCTGTGTTGGGAATGGGGAGCGGAGCACCCACCCATCCGGGCCGGGGCTGGGCCTCCCGCAGCCGCAGCACGTAGGGACTGACGGCCCTGGCATTGAGCAGCTCCACGGCCGCCCGAACCACGGCCTCGTAGCTCACGGTGCCGGATCCCGGCGGGGACGTCGGGATGGATCCGTCCCAAACCTCCGTGGATCCGTCCGGCCCCGGCGTGGAGGCTCCCACCAGCCCCAGCAGCAGCAGCAGCAGCGCCCGGCACGGCCCCATCCTGCTCCTGCCTTCTGCTCCCCACCGGGCTGGAAGGGCTTTTATGGGACCTGCCGGGGGCGTTCCCGTGGGATGTGACACCGGGACATTCCCAGGGGGGTGAGTCTGGCCAGGAGCCCAGGCCAGCCCCCACAGGTCACTGGGGACGGGTGTAGGGTCAGCTGGGGGTCAGCAGGGGAGAGGCCACAGGGTTTGGGGTCCCCCTGCCATGGAGGGGACAACAAGGACAGGGTGACAGTGACAGAGAGACACGACGTGGCCCTGGATGGCCCAGAGCAGGATCTGTCCCCTCTTCCAGACCTGGGGAGCTTCACCCTGGAGGAAACCACGTGCCAGACCCCAAGAAACGGCCCTCGGGGGTGGCAGGAGCTGCTGGCTCGGGAACTGGGATCAGCAGGGGGAACTAGGATTGGTACGAGGGAACTGGGATCAGTGGGGGGAAACTGGGATCAGCAGGAGGGAACTGGGATCAGTGGGAGGGAACTGGGATCAGCAGGGGGAACTCGGATCAAGGGGGGGAACCAGGATCAGCAGGAGGAACTGGGATCAGCAGGAGGGACTGGGATCAGCAGGAGGAACTGGGATCAGCAGGAGGAACTGGGATCAGTGGGAGGGGGCTCAGGCTGTCCCGTGTCCCCTCGGTGTCCCCGCAGGCGCTGACCTGGTGCCAGGGCTCCGTGTTCCTGGAGGAGCAGCAGCCCACGGTGGAGCTCTCCTGCGGGAAGGCTCCCGCCAAGGTAAGAAAGGGCCGGGATGGGGGTCCCGGCTCCCCCAGACCCCCTCCCCATCCCCCCAGAGTTTGACACCGCTGTTTGTCCTCCTAGTTTGGCTGGATCCAGAGATCCAAGGTCAAGGAATTCTTTGCCAGGATCAGGGTGCTTTTCCAGGGGTTTTTCCAGTGCAGTCAGATCTGGATCCGTGACAAGTTCAGCCTCCAGGCCTCAAACCCTGAGGGGGCATCACCGTGTCCCCCACCCTGTGCCCCCATCTGGGTGACAGGAGGGGGGAGCCGGGGGGGGTCGGGCTCTGCTCCCAGGGAACAGGGACAGGAGGAGAGGGAACAGCCTCAGGCTGGGCCGGGGGAGGCTCAGGTTGGATACTGGGATAATTTCTTCCCGGGAAGGGCTGTCCAGCCCTGACACAGGGATGTGGAGTCCCCATCCCTGGAGGGGTTTCAAAGCCCTGTGGATGTGGCACTTGGGGACTTTGATGTGGCACTTGGGGACGTGGCCTCGGCAGTGCTGGGGGACAGCTGGGCTGTCTCAGAGCCTTTTCCACCCCCCCCAATTCCCTGGCTCTCCGAGGACACATTCCTGCCCCAGGCCGGGGTTTTCCAGCCCGGGGCTGATTTACAGCTGATTTACAGCTGATTTACAGCCTGTCCCCCGGGGGGGGGAAACAAGGGGGGTTTGACCAAACAGCTCCCCGGGAGCGGCCGCCCTGCCCCAGGCCCAGCTCCAGGAGGACACCCGGATCCGGGATCCGTGTCCCGGGAATGACCCCCGGTCCAACCCCCAGGGCCACGCGGCAGCTTCGGAGCCGGGATCGCCGGAGGCCCTGGAGAACGTCCCGGTAAATCACAGGGACACAAACACCCGGGGGGCACCGGGAAGGCCCCAGGGAGGGAGGGAGGGTGGCAGTCCCAGCCCTGCAGCACAACGCGGGGTGACCCAGGAAAGATCCGGGTGCCACCAGGTCGAGCCTTCCCCTGGAGAAGGGACCCTGGGTGGGATTATCCTGAACCACATCCAGGTTCATCCTCTCCCTGTTTTCCAAGTCTTCTGCACTTCCCTCCAAATTCTGTGTGATTCTGTGAAGTTCTTCCCAACTCCCTCCCAATCCTTTCCAGTTCCTTACAAATTGTTACCCATTCCTTTCAAATTCCCTTAAAATTTGTCAATTCCATCAAAATTCCTTCTAATTTCCCTCCAGATTCTTCCCCATTCCTTTCAAATTCCCTTCATATTCTTAAATTCCTTCTGAATTTTTTCAAATTCCAGATAAATTCCTGACAAATTCAATTCCTTCCCAATTTTCCCCTATTCCTTCCCAATCCCCTTCCAATTCAATTCCTCCCAAATTCCTGCCCAATTCCTTCCAAAACTCCTCCATTATTCCCATTTTCCCGACAGATCCCTCTTAGGGTTTAACAGTGAGACAAACAGCCACAAAACAGATTTGACATATTTAAATTTGATTTTTCAGCACCTTTGCCAGCCCTGAGCCAGCTCCAAACATCCACAAAATCCTCAGAGGCAACTTTGGCAATGGAAAAGGCAAAATCTGGTGATTTTCCATGGGGAAGTTTCTATTCCAAGGTGAATTCTGACCCTCCTTCCCCCCACACCGCCCAAAACCAAACACTGACCCCTGAGCTGGGGAAATTCCTGCTCATAAATCCATCCCTGGTTTATTTGCCATTTATTTGTCCCTCCCCATTCCGGAACGCCCACAGGGCTGTCTTGGAGTCGTTCCCAGGGGAGCCGTCAGACACTGGAGGGGGTTCAAGGTCCTTCTCATCCAAACCACGCTGGAATTGTGGGATCTGAAGGGGGGGCACGGCCGGGACATCACAGAATGGCCTGGGAATGGTTTGGGCTGGAAGGGACCTTAAGGATCATCCATGGGCAGGGACACCTTCCATTGTCCCAGGCTGATCCAACCTGGCCTGGGACACTCCCAGGGATCCAGGGGCAGCCACAGCTTCTCTGGGCAATCCTGTGCCAGGGCCTGCCCACCCTGACAGCCAGGAATTCCTTCCCAACATCCCATCTATCCCTGCCCTCTGGCAGTGGGAAGCCATTCCCTGTGTCCTGTCCCTCCATGCCTTGTCCCCAGTCCCTCTCCAGCTCTCCTGGAGCCCCTTTAGGCCCTGCAAGGGGCTCTCAGCTCTCCCTGGCTCCTTCTCTTCTCCAGGGGAACCCCCCCAGCTGTCCCAGCCTGGCTCCAGAGCAGAGGGGCTCCAACCCTCAGAGCAGCTCGGGGTTCTCCCCCGCACTCTCTCCCGCCGCTCCCTATCCCTGTTTCCCGTTCCGGAGGAAGCGGTGGGAGCGGTTCCCATGGCAACCGCGGGGGCGTGGCCTCACCGTAACTGCTCAGCGCGCTCTTCCGGCTTAAGCCCCGCCCCCGCACTGCGCGTCCTCCCCCGGACCCGGAAGTGGGGCGTTGTCGGCTCTCACTGGGCGCCGCCATGTTGGGGCGGCCGGGAAACATCCGGGCCGGCGGCGGGCGCTGTGATTGGCGCAGCGCGGCACGTGACCCGCGGAGCGCGCTCCCATTGGCTGGCGGTGCCGCTGCGGCGTCCGCGGCGGGCGGAGGGTCCGGGCGGCCCCGGGGATGGGGACAGGGATGGGACCCACATGGAACAGGGACAGAGCGGCTCCCCGCCTCCCCCCTCCTGGCAGGGATTGCAGAGCCAGAAGGTCCCCCCTGAGCCTCCTTTTCTCCAGGCTGAGCCCCCCCAGCTCCCTCAGCTGCTCCAGCCCCTTCCCAGCTCCCTTCCCTTCCCTGCACACGCTTCCTCCTGGCTCTTCCCATAGCTGGACTCAGGGTCCATCCCTGTGACAGAGGTTTGCTGATTGGTTTGTTTCACCAAAGAAGTTTAATGGAAAGATGGGAAATATGGGAGTGATTGGGCCCATCCTGTCTGGAAAACACCAATCAGCCACCAGTCAGGAAGGACAGGAGATGGGAATGCCTTCCCAGTGCCAGAGGGCAGGGATATTGGGAAGGAATTCTTCTCTGGGAGGGTGGGCAGGCCCTGGCACAGGGTGCCCAGAGAAGCTGTGGCTGCCCCTGGATCCTTGGAAGTGTCCAAGGCCAGGCTGGAGCAACCTGGAATAGCGGAAGGTGTCCCAGCCCATGGGAGGGGTGGCACTGGATGGGCTTTAAGGTCCTTTCCAATTCAAGTGTTTCCATGATTCCATGACTCAGTTCTCCCCTCTCTGTTTTATTTCCTCCTTTGACCCACACTGCTCCTCTCCTTTCCTCAAAGCCTCCCCCTTTCCCACAGGCCCCACACTCCCAGTTTTCCACCCCTGCCCTGTTCCTCCTCCCAGATCCCCCCCTGGCAGGTTTCCCCAGGGACTCCGATCCCTTTTCCCTGGAAGTCACAGCTGTTCAATCTCCGCCACGTTGTCGATCTGGATGATGATGGGCCAGATGCTCTTCCCTTGGGTGAACCCCTGGAGCTCCAGCTTCCGGCACACGGATTCCAACATTTGTCCGACCGTCTGGACCACCGCCTGGAACACGCCCTGGAGCGACGCCACCTCGGCTGTCCCGCATCCCGCACATCCCTTAACGTCCCCCTTGGCTCCAAGATCCTGGAGCCACTGGGTCCTCGGAGCCTCCAGAGGCCTCACTTTTGTGGCCTGCGTGTCCATCGTCCCCCCTCCGGCATTCCCGTCGCTCCGGAGGGCGCCCGGCCCGTCCCGATCCTTGGGAATACAACTCCCCGCAGGCGTCCTGTCCGTCCGAGCGCGGCAGAGGGAGCAGCAGCTCCGGGGCGCGGCCGCCCTCCAGTAGGGCCGGTAGGAGCGCAGGATGTCCCTGGCCCTGCGGAGGATCCCATTCACGTGGGGTCGCTGCCCCAGCAGCGGCCGGGCAGCCCTGGCCCTGCGGCTCCAGGCGCAGCAGAACCCGCCGTGCGTCCAGCGCCTCTGGGAATAGCTGTGCTCCCCCGTGGAGCAGGGCCCCGGAGCGAAGCAGGGCCTTCCCAGCCTGCTCCGCAGGCAGTAGCTGTGATCCTTCAGCACGGCCTTCCTCAGCTCCTCCGTTCCCAGCTCCCACGGCTCCCAGAGGGGCAGCGCCTCCCCCGAGGTGTGTCCGTGGCTTTGGCTGCTCCCAGGACTCCTCTCCCCGGGGTCCTCCCACGGCTGCTCCCGAGGATCCGTGTCCTGCTGTTCCCCCGTGGAGTGAGGCGGGAATGTCCCGCTCTGGGGTGGGTTTTCCGTGACTCCCTGTTCATCCTCTACTTCCTCCTTCACAGGCCACGTCTGGGCTTGGCTTCCCATTCCGCCGGCCGCTTCCAATGGGAATTCGCTCCTTCCCTCCCCACAGCCCAAGTTCTGAACCTGGAGACACCCCAGAGTGCGCCAGCCTGCCGGGAGAGAGGTGGGAAGTTCTTGGATTCTTCCTGGCCAGAGCAGGGAGAGGGAAATGCCTCCTCCCCAGTCTGGAGGAGCCCACATCCAACGTCTGCTGGACACCGGGAGAGTCCAGTGGTGGGAGAAGATGGGAGCAGCACCAGGATGGGGCAGGAGCTCCTGGGGCTCAGGACAGGAAGAGGAGGGATCAGAACTCACCTGGACTTGGGGGATCTGGACCCTCCTCCAGCCCAGGACTCCCACCAGGTGTGGGCCACCAGCTGGAGAGCGGCTCCTCCTGCCAGCTCCTGGTGTGTCCTGAGGGAAAACAGCAGATTGGCTGGGAATTCCATCTGCTCCACAGCCATGGGGGTGGAGGAGGGAGCCCTGTCCTTGGACCTGCTCAGAGGTGACTGAATGGGGGGAAGTTGCTCCATGAGAAGAGGGAGACAAGCAGATCCACAGCATCTCCTGAGCCTCCATCTCCCCCCATGGGGAGGGAATGGGGGAGACCCCCCCAAAACGGGCAGCGAGGAGCAGGAATATGGACAGGGATGAGGTGGGAACACGGGGATGTGCCGGTGACGCAGAGCTTGGAAGGAGCTGCTGCTCCAGGTGGGGATGTTCCTGCTCACCTGGGGATGGGCAGATCCAGGGCTCTTCCCCACGCTCCAGCCGGTGCAGGATGTCGGGTTTGGGGCCTGGATAACCTGGGAATGGGACACACAGTGTTGTCCCACTCCCAGACATGGGAATAAACTGGGAACACGAGAAAACCAAAGTGTGGGACAACCCGGCTGTGCAGAAACACCTCCAGGACGTGGGAAAACAAAGGAGACGCTGCTGGAGAGGGATTTATTCCCAAGGCTGAAGGCAGAGCCCTGATGGGAGTGTGGGAACCACCTCCCAACTTCACTGATGGGTTTTCCCAGGCAGGGAATGCCTCCTGCTCATCCCAGGGCCGGGATCTCCCTCTGCACTCCCTGACCATCCCCAGGATGACAATTCCAGAGCTGCTCAAAACCAGACCCAAATGCTGCTTTTTCCAGCACTAAACTCCCTGATCAGCCCCTGTTAGAGAAAATTCCTCATGGAAAAGGTTGTCCAGCCTGAAAGGATCCCCTGGAGAGATTTCAGCACCGTGTGGATGTGGCACTTGGAGACAGGGACTGGCCTTGGTGGTGCTGAGGGATAGCTGGACTCGGGGTCTCCAAAGCCTTTTCCAACCTCAGTGCCTCTGGGATTCTGAGCTGTGGAAGCCGCTGAGGTGAGACCCGCTGAGGGAATTCCCGCCAGGATGAGCCACAGGGTTACCCAGGGATGTCAGGAGCTCATAGGTGTCCAACACAACGTCCCGGTACAGCTCCCGCTGTCCCGCCTGGAGCGAGTCCCACTCTGCCCGGCCCAGGAACACCATCACATCCTCAAAGGTCACCGGCACCTGCACAGGGAGCAGGGATCACAGCCACAGGAATCACATCCTGCTCCAGGATCACAGCCCCAGGGATCACAGCCTGCTCCGGGATCACAGCCCCAGGGATCACAGCCACAGGGATCACAGCCACAGGGATCACAGCCACAGGGATCACACCCTGCTCAGGGATCACAGCTCCAGGGATCACACCCTGCTCAGGGATCACAGCCCCAGGGATCACACCCTGCTCAGGGATCACAGCCCAGGGATCACAGCTCCAGGGATCACAGCTCCAGGGATCACACCCTGCCCAGGGATCACAGCCCCAGGGATCACACCCTGCTCAGGGATCACAGCCTGCTCACGGATCACACATTCCCACACAAATCACATCCTCCTTCCCAGATTTTCGGTTTTCCAGGTGCTATTCCCGTGCCAGGGGAGCTCCTGGGATATGAGGCCACGGAAGGGCCCCATAGCGGGGTGAATTATGGATCTGGGAGAAGGACAGGCTGGAATCCAGCACCAAACACTGGAATCCGGTACCTCGGGATGTGTTTTCCCACTCCTGCCAGGAGACAACAAGGGATTGGGATATTCCAGGTCACACAAAGCTGGGTGGGATTTTCTGGGCAGCCCCTGGTGACCCCCCATGACCCATCCCAGGAAATCCCTTGGGATCGGTCCCGGAGAGAAGGGTGGAAGGAGGGGTTGGAGAGAGGGAGGGGAAGGATGGGGGGAATGCTGAGGGGGCTTTTGCAGGGTGGCATGGGAGGTTTGGGGGATTTGATGGGGGTGTTGGGTGGGTGATGGGGGTTTGGGGGTGATGAGGGGTGATTTTGGGGCGTGAGGGGGTTTTGGACGGGTGAACTGGGCAGCTGTGAGGGAGGCTTTGGGGGGTAATGGAGGTTTTGGGGGTTAGGGGTGGAGGATAAGGGGGCTGGGATGGGGTGGAGGATGTGCTGGGACACCCATGGGGGATTTTGGGAGGGTCATGGGAGGTATGGTGGGGATTTTGGGGGCAGTGGGGGGTTGGGGTGGGTGATGGGGTGGGGAGCGATGGGGGCTGTGATGGGGCTCTGAGGGGTGGTTTGGGGTGTGATGGGGGTATGGGGGGTCCTGGCTATTTAAGGCCGAGTTCCTCCAGCCCCTGCCCGGGAGGGGCTGTGAGAGCCCCCCCCAAAGACGGGGGGCATCGAGGGCCGGGGCGGTGGGAAGGGCGGCCCGGGGCTCGCCCGGCTCCTACCTGCGCCTGTCCCGCCATGGCGGCCGGAGGGCCGGGGGGCCCGGGGGGACCCCGGAACGTTCCTGGGGGCCCCGCGGCCTCTCCCGCACGCGCTTCCGGCCGAGGCCCCGCCCATCCCGGAAGCGCCGCCATTGTCAACCCGGAAGTAACCCGGAAGTGAAACCCTCCGGGAATGAAATCCCTCCTGGAATGGGGACCCCATCCCTGCCCTGCGGGAAAAGCCCTTCCCAGGAGGGAATTTTCCCCGTGTCCGACCTACCCCTGCCCTGGCACAGCTGGAGGCCGTTCCTGTCCTGTCCCTTGTTCCCTGGAAGCAGAGCCCCCCCAGTCCCACCCCCTGCCACCTGCTTTGAGCTCCAGAGTCTTGGATTCTCCCAGAACCCCCAAAATTCTCGGGAGAATTCTCAGGTTTTCCAGCACAAACTGTCCCGGATCTGGCCCAGCTCCAGGCTCTGGGGTTTTCCACTCTGGATTTGTCCCAGCGATCCTGTGTCTCTGGCTCTTCCTTATTTCCCTCCCTCCCTGATGCTGTGGAAGTGGTTCCCTCTGTTTACCCTTTGGAATTCCCCGTGGAATTCCTCTCTCCTGCCTCCACGTCTTTGGCATTAGAGTCAGAAATGCAGGATCAATCACATCCCATCGTGTCCCAGGGATCAGAGGAGTCAGGATTAGTCCCTGGCTGGGCACGGTGAGTCTGGGTGGGCTCAACAAGGATCCCAGAGTCTGGAATTGGGGGGTTTGTCTGTTGCAGCCATTCCAGGATCTCAGGACTCTCTGTGAGAGGCAGGGGAAGAGCAGGACCCCTCGGACACCACTTTTGGGGGGATATTCCCACCCCATCCCTGATCCAGGATGGTTCTTCCTGTCCCTGGCAGCTCCAGCGCCCATCGACCTCCCGGGGTCAGCCGGTGACGTCCGGGGCCAAGGTCCGTGCGGGACAGAGCTGACAGCTCCGGGACAGCAGGGAGGCGGGAGCAGCCGGAGCGGCTGGAGCAGCGGGAGCAGCGGGAGCAGCTGGATCAGCCGGATCAGCGGGAGCAGCCGGAGCAGGCCATGAGGCTGTGGCTGTTCTGTGCCGTGGCTGCCGTGGCCATGGTGGCTGTGGCCGGATCCGGAGGCAGAGCCGGATCCAGAGCCGAGCTCGGGCACCCGAGGATGGAGGCGCAGGGGAGAGAGGTCGGTGGTGTGAGGAGCAGGGAAAGGCTGGGAATGACGGGGCTGGGAATGACAGGAGTGGGAGCAGAGAGAGCAGCGAGGGGGGAGAACGTTCCCCCACACCGCGGGGATTGATCCGTGCCCCCCATCCCGCTTCCCAGGGGACACCGCTCACCTGCCCAACCCCCAGGACACATCCCTGGGAGAGGCTTTTCCGGCCTCCCCTTCCCTGTGCCGGGAAGGAGCAGGGGATCTCAGGGCTCCAGCCCCTCGGAGTTGCACAACCGGACAGGATCCCACTGGAATGGCGAGGGGAGAGCAGGGGGGACATGGGGGGAGTTCCCTGGGAAGCTCCGTGTCCTGCCCACATTCCCACTGCCCAGGGCTCCGGCAGATCCCAATGCAGCCTCTCCCCCCAGGGCCGGCGGAGGCCGCACAGACCCTGCTCCGGCTGCTTCTCCGTCCTGAGTGAGGTGAGCCGGGATTGGGAATGGATGGGAATGGATCGGGAATGGGGGCAGCAGGATGTGGGACACGGGGCAGGTGGGGACACCCCCCCGGTGTCCGGTGGCTCCGGTGGGTCCCAGACCTGTGTCTGTCCCGCAGGAGTCCCAGTCCATGCCCTGGAATTCCCGTGAGGAGGATGTGGCTCAGCCAGGCAGGAGGGTGAGCACAGAGACAGCCCTGGGATGGGGATGGGATGGGATGGGATGGGATGGGATGGGGTGGGGTGGGGTGGGGTGGGGTGGGATGGGGATGGGATGGGATGGGGATGGGATGGGATGGGATGGGATGGGGATGGGATGGGGATGGGATGGCCTCTCCCTGTCCTGGGATTCTGTGCTGCACTGCCCTTGCTCCCATAGGGAAGAGCCCGGCGGGAGGACCTGGATCTGGCACATCCCGCGGGACACCCTGGCCGTGTCCTGCTGCCGTGACACGTCCCAACAGAGCCCAGCAGGACCCCCGGGCTGGGCAGGGCCCCCTGTGCAGGGCCCCCAGGATGCTCCAAACACCCAGCAGCGCAGCGGGAAGCGACGCCAGAGGCCGGGAGCAATGCCAGGGGCTGGGAAGAGCCCCATGCCAGGAGAGAGCCGGGGGCTCAGCCACCCCCTCCCTGCCCTGAGCTGAGCCCCCCAATCCCTTCCCCCAAAACCCCTCTGGGGGCAACTGCCCCCCTCTTTTCTCAGCTCCCAAATAAAGCCGGAGCACCGGAGGGAGTGGATGTGTTTAGGACACACACACGTGGTGGGTGATTCCTGATGGGATGACCCCACACTGGGGGTGCTGCTCCCAGCCCCACTCCCACCCATCCCAGCCCTCCCTGCACTCCTCACATCCCCATGGATCTCCTCATTGGCACAGCTCAGGTGTTCCTGGTCTGCACTGGGCTCCAGTGGCGGGATACAGGGCCCTGGCTGTATCCCGTGGGAGAGCTGGGTCCCTTCTCCATGGGGTGGGCCTGATCCCAGTGGGCCTGATCCCGCTGTGCCTGAGGATTGCCTGGAGGGACAGCGACCCCCAGGATGGGCAGAACTGGCAGCCCCCTACCCCCAGCTGCTGTGGGACCTGCGCCTGAAGCTGCTCTGGAGGTGTTATCCCCCATCCTGGTGTTCCACATCCCGGTGTTCCCCAAGCCAGTGCTCCGGATCCTGGCACACCGTTCCCAGTGCAGGTGGAGCTGGGGGACCCCTCAGGGCTCCCAGTTCACGGTCCCCAGGGGTGCTGGTTCAGGAGGACTGGGGGGGTCCCCAGGGGTGCTGGTCCCAGGGCAGGGGTCCCCCTGGCGATCCCAGCCCGGGGGTGCCCCTTCGGGGGTCTGGGGCCGTGGGTGGGGACGGTCGGGGGGGCCCTTTGGGGGCCGGCTGCGATGGCCCCGCCTCCTTGGTGTGGCCACGCCCCCTTGTTGTGGCCACGCCCCCTTTATGTGGCCCCGCCTCCTTGATGTGGCCACGCCCCCTTGATGTGGCCCCGCCCCTTGATGTGGCCCCGCCCCCTGGCCGCGGCTCCTCCCGGCCGGCAGGGGGCGCTCGCTCCCGGCGGCGGCGCTGCGGGGGAAGGGCGCCCTCTGCGGGCCCGGCGGGCGGCGCGGGCGCGGGGCCGGAGCGGCCATGGCCACGTCCCGGCGGGGAGCGGGAGCGCAGGTGGCACCGGGGACACCGCGCACGGACACGGGCAGCGGGCAGCGGGGGAACCGCGGGGGAACCGCGCGTGGGGGCTGGGGCTGGGGAGGGGGAAGGGGGGTCCCTGGGGGGGACACTTCAAGGGGTTCCCCCGGGGGCGCTGGTTCAGGGGCGCGGGAGTGTCCCCCAGGGGCGCTGGTCCGGTGAGAGGCGGGGCTGGGGGACCCCTCGGGGGGCTGGACATGGGGGTCCTTTAGGGGTGACAGTTCATGGGGACAGGAGGGTCCCCCAGGGGTGCTGGGGGTCCCTCAGGGCTGCCAGTGCGGGGGTCTGGGGGCTCCTTTGCATCCCGGGGAAGGCAGGGATGAGGTGGTCCCTTAGGGGTGCTGCTTCGGGGTCTGGGGGCTCCTTTGCATCCTGGGGAAGGCAGGGATGGGGGGGATCCCTTGGGGTGCTGGTTTAGGGTCTGGGGGCTCCTTTGGATCCGGGGGAAGGCAGGGATGAGGTGGTCCCTTAGGGGTGCTGCTTCGGGGTCTGGGGGCTCCTTTGGGCACTGGGGAAGGCAGGGATGGGGGGGATCCCTTGAGGGGCTGGTTCAGGGTCTGGGGGCTCCTTTGCATCCTGGGGAAGGCAGGGATGGGGGGGATCCCTTGGGGGGCTGGTTCAGGGTCTGGGGGTCTCCTTTGGGCACTGGGGAAGGCAGGGATGGGGGGATCCCTTGGGGTGCTGGTTTGGGGTCTGGGGGTCTCCTTTGGGCCTGGGGAAAGCGGGGATGGGGGGATCCCTTGGGGGTGCTGGTTTGGGGTATGGGGGTCTCCTTTGGGCCTGGGGAAAGCGGGGATGGCGATGCTCCCCTGGGGGTGGCAGGCAGGCTCTGGCAGATCCCTGCGGGATGGGGGTCTGGGGAACCCCTGGGGCTGCCGGGGGTCCTGACCCCCAAACCCCCTGCTGACCCCCAGGTGGGCTCCCCGCGGCAGAGGGCGGGGCCGGGCGCGGAGCTGCAGGAGCTGCGGAGCCGCACGGAACGCGCCGAGCGCCGGCTCCTGGCCTGCGAGACCCTGGTGGGGGAGCTGGGCAGCGGCCTGGCCGCCCTGGGCACCCTCCTGCAGGGCTACGGGGAGCTGCAGCAGCGCCTGCTCAACCTGGAGAACCTCCTCAAGAACAGGAACTTCTGGCTGCTGCGCCTGCCCCCCGGCTCCCGCGGGGAGGTCCCCAAGGTAACGGTGTCCAGGGGGCTCCCCGGGGCGCGGGCCGAGCTCCTGCGTGCGCGGGGGCTGCGGAGCCAGGCGGGGTCCCTGTGGTTCCAGGTGCCGCTGACCTTCGATGACGTCTCGGTGTATTTCAACGAGCTGGAGTGGCAGAGGCTGGAGCGCTGGCAGAAGGACCTGTACAGGGCCGTGATGAGGGGCAACTACGAGACGCTGGTGTCCCTGGGTAAGGCTCGGGGAGCCCTGGAATGTCCCCAGCTGGGAAGGATCACGGGTCCACCCCCTGGCCCTGCAAAGCCCCAACAATCCCACCCTGCCCCTGAGAGCGTTATCCAAACGCTCCCTGAGCTCTGTGCCCGCTGCCCTGGGGAGCTGTTCCAGGGCCCAGCCACCCTCTGGGGAAGAACCTTTTCCTGACATCCAGCCTAACCCTCCCCTGGCACAGCTCCAGCCGTCCCCTCAGGTCCCCAGTGGCAGAACCACTCCTGGGCTGCCAGACCCTCACTGTTTCCCCTCGCTCCTGCCTGTGAGCCAGGAGCAGCATCCGGAGAGAATTCCTGGAGTAAATAATAACAGTAAAGCAAAATAATTTCTTAGAGAGAAATATCTACGTGGAATTCTGTTCCTCCTGGCTATGGAAGTGGATTCCAGAGCTGGGGAACCATTGTGATGCAGTGCCAGGGCAAGGGGGAATGGCTTCCCACTGCCAGAAGGCAGGGAAGGTTGGGATACTGGAAAGGAATTCCTGGCTGGGAGGGTGGGCAGGCCCTGGCACAGGTTGCCCAGAGAAGCTGTGGCTGCCCCTGGATCCTTGGAAGTGTCCAAGGCCAGGCTGGACAGGGCTTGGAGCAACCTGTGATAGTGGAAGGTGTCTCTGCCTTCCACTAGAGGAAAATGTTCCAGCCAAGGCTTTTCCCTCTCCTTTGAAATTTTAGTTCATGCTCTGTTGGTTGAGATACTTTTCCTGGGTGGATCCTGCCACGGGACCAAGGAAATGGCTCTGCCATGGATGGAGCAGGGATGAGGTTTTTGTGTCTCTGCCGGGGCTGGGGAGAAGGGAGAAGGGTCCCTTTGGGAATCTGCCAGGATGAAGGTGCAGCAGCTCCCAGTAACCCCATCCTCTGCTCCATGGACAGACTATGCCATTTCCAAGCCCGACATCCTGTCCCAGATCGAGAGGGATGAAGAGCTCAGTGACAAAGAGCATCGAGAGCCCACACAGACACAGGAGCCCCCCCAGGCACCAGAGGAGATGAACCAGGCAGAGGAGTCTCTGGAAGATGAAATGCCCATGGAAGCTGGCCCAGGTGGGTGCCAGGAGGAGGTGGCTGTTCCTGGAGATCTCCTGGAGCACTGTGAACCTTCATTCCAAGGGGGGTGTTTGTGCTGTGTCAATGGATCCCATGGAGAAAAGCAGGCAAAGCCTGCAGGAGGGGCTGGGCTGGGGTCTGGAGCAATGGGGCTTCCAGAGACATTCCTGCCTGACGTGGTGGGAAGTGAGGAACTGGGAGCTGAGGTGGGAGGAGGAGGCTGGAGCTGCTCTGCTTGTCCTGCTCCACCCCCGGGGTTGGGGCAGGGAGGAGGTGTTTGTGTGTCTGGCTGGGCTGGGGACAAGGGTCACTTTGGGAATCTGGCAGGGTAAAGGTGCAGCCAAACCCTGACAAACACCTTTTCCTCTGCCCCAGGAGCAGACAGTGCTGTGGCCAAGGCCAACAGCCCATCCCGGATCGAGAGGGAGGAAGAGCTCCCTGACAAAGAGGGTCAGGAGCCCCCAGGGACACACGTTGGGAACAGCCAGGAACACCCCCAGGAACAGACTGGGGACAGCCAGGAACACTCCCAGGAACACACTGGGGACAGCCAGGAACACTCCCAGGAACACACTGGGGACAACCAGAATCATCCACAGACACAGGCTGGGGAGAACCAGAATCACCCTCAGACACAGACTGGGGACAGCCAGAAACACCCCCAGGAACAGACTGGGGACAGACAGAAACCACCACAGACACACACTGGGGACAGACAGAAACAGCACAGACTGGTGACAGCCATAAACACTCCCAGGAACAGACTGGGGACAGACAGAAATCATCCACAGACACAGGCTGGGGACAGACCAGAATCATCCACAGACACAGGCTGGGGACAGCCAGAATCATCCACGGGCACAAACTGGAGAGAGCCAGAATCACCCTCAGACACAGACTGAGGACAGCCAGAAACACCCTCAGACACAGACTGGGGACAGACAGACACGTTCCCGGACACGGACTGGGGACAGACAGACACGTTCCCAGATATGGACTGGGGACAGACAGACACGTTCCCAGATGCAGACTGGGGACAGACAGACACGTTCCCGGACACAGACAGGGGACAGACAGAAACCCCCCCAGACAGGTGCCCCCAACATTCAGAAGCCCCCACAGCCACCATCAGAGACAGAGCAGCAGGAAGAGGCTTCGGGAGAAGGTCCTGTCCCCATGGAAGCGGAGCCAGGTGAGTCCCAGGGGTGCCAGGGGTGTTTCTCTGGCAGTGCCCGTGGCAGAGGGCACAGTTGGTCCTGGTGCTCAGAGGAGCATCAAGAGGGAGGAGTGGGAGCCTTGGGTCGCTGGCACTGGACAGTGGAAGGGGCTGAGGGCCTGGACATGGGAATGCAGCCTGTGGAGATGGTGGAGTGAGGCTGCTCCATGGAGGTGATGGCACATGGCACCTTGGTGTCCTTCTCCCAGCCCTCCCTCTGCTTTTGGTCCATGTGTGACTTCAGTTCCTCCTAACACCTCACAGGCTTTCCTTAGAATCCATGAGGTTGGAAAAGCCCTCTAAGACCATCATCTTCCCCCATCCCCCAGCACTGCCAAGGCCACCACTGACCATGTCCCCAAGTGCCACATGCACAGGGCTTTGAAATCCCTCCAGGGATGGGGACTGCACCCCTGCCCTGGGCAGCTGTGCCAGGGCTGGGCAGCCCTTCCCAGGAGGAATTTTCGCAATATCTAATCCGTGTTGTGGCTCTTGAGCCACAGCTCTCTCCGGCTTTTCCGCACACTCCTGGCAATCTCCAGTTCCTCACACCGGAGCGGGGAGCTCTCCATGGGTCTTTCAAATCCCTCTTCCCTGCAAACAGAACTCCCCATCCTGGTGATGAACGTCATGTCCCTGGGGGACCATCGGCCAGGGATGGAGATGGAGGAGGATCCAGAGGATCCGGAGGATCCCGACACAGGTGAGTCACCCTGTGCTGGGGACATGGGATCTGTTGGATGGGAAGCAGCTCCCAGAGCCCTGATGGGCTGGAAGTGGGGAGGGAGAAGGACAACCATCAGGACATGGGCCACCAGTGACCCATGTCCTCAGGTGCCACATCCACATGGCTTTGAAATCCCTCCAGGGATGGGGACTCCACCCCTGCCCTGGACAAGCCCTTTCCAGGAGGAATTTTCCCAGTATCCGACCTGCCCCTCCCCTGGCACAGCCTGAGGCCGTTCCTTCTCCTCCTGTCCCTGTTCCCTGGGAGCAGAACCCGACCCCCCCCCCGGCTCCCCCCTCCTGTCAGGGATTGCAGAGCCAGAAGGTCCCCCCTGAGCCTCCTTTTCTCCAGGCTGAGCCCCCCCAGCTCCCTCAGCTGCTCCTGCTGCTCCAGCCCCTTCCCAGCTCCCTTCCCTTCCCTGCACACGCTCCAGCCCCTCAATGTCTTTATTGTTCTGAGGGTCCCAGAACTGCCCCCAGCACTGGAGGTGCCACCTCAGCAGTGCCAGCACAGGGACAGGCACTGCCCTGCTCTGTGTCACACCTGGTGACACAAACCCGGTGTCCCTCTGTTCCAGAGGAAGCCTGGTTACCAGAAGATGAAATGCCGTGTGAAGGGGCTTCTCCTGAGAACACGGAGGTGAAGGAAGAGGAGTCCGAGGTGCTGCCAGAGGATTCCACAGAGGGTTCCTGTCCCGGCTTGGAGATACAGAAGTTCCCCAAAAACGAGCTGGTCAAAGCCAAGGGCAAGAAGAAGCCGAGCCGGTGCGAGACCAGCAGCCTCCTGATGGGGAACTGCCGGCGCGGGTACGTGCGGGAATGGTGCCATCCCTGCACGGAGTGCGGGAAGCGCTTCCGCCTCAAGATCAACCTCATCATCCACCAGCGCAGCCACGCCAAGGAGGGGCCCTACGAGTGCCCCGTGTGCGAGATCGGCTTCACCGACAAGCGGCACCTGGACCTGCACCGGAGCATCCACATCAAGGACAGGGCCTTCGGGGCCAAGGTGTGGGGCAACGTCCACCCGGAGCTGCGCGTCCGCCCGCGGAGGGACCTGTGCGGCGGCGCCCCCGGGCTGGGCAACGGCATCCACGCCGGGGGGGCCTGGCTGGGCCAGCCCAAGGAGGAGCCGGACGGAGGGGGCCTGTCCGGCGCCGGGGCCGCGCGGCCGCCGAACCCCAAGACGAAGTGCATGTACTGCAAGAGGGTGCTGTCCTGCTCCGTGTCGCTGCAGCGGCACCTCCGCACCCACATGCGGGAGCGGCCCCACTGCTGCAGCTCCTGCAACAAGTGCTTCACCCGCCGCACCCACCTCCTGCGCCACGAGAAGATCCACGAGCGAGCCCTGGCCGCGCTGCGGGCGGCGGGGAACGCCCAGCCCGCCGCCGCCATCCCGGCACCCCAGCATCCCGCGGTTCCCGGGGCCCAGAGGAACGTTTCCAAGGGGAACGCGAGCCCCAAGCCGACAAAAGTGGGCCCGCCCAACGTGCTCCTGTTGGGAGCGACGCAGCTGGAGCTCCCGGACAAGGACTGCCCCCTTCCCAACTGCGTCGGGAGAGCCGTGCAGCCCGTGGTCCGGCTGGGAACCAGGGCGGCGCTGTCGGCGATGATGCAGAAATGACCGCGGGGCAGATCCGAACTGGGCGTGGCCCCGGAGAAAAGCTGTGAGCGTTGGGTTTGCGCGTGGTGGGCACCGGGGTTGGGAATCTGCTGCGTTTTAGGAGCTTCCCCGAGTTGTAGAAGGAATGGGAAGCACGGAGACCACCACAGAGAGCAAATTGCAGGAGCCTCCAGCGACCCGAAAAGCTTCACCATTCCACTGACTCTTGTGCCTGTTGGCTGATGCTTGGAATTTTGCCAAGCTGACGTGCCTGGGAGATGACCAGGTCAAACAGCAGCTGAGCTCTCTCATTACTTGACACTGGAACTGACCCCTCGCCTTGGGAACACAACTGAAGAGGACAGGGAGAAGGGAATGGAGTGGCAGCCTTCCCAAGGAGCCCTTCGCTCCACCGACCAAGCTTCCTGACCAAGACGCCGGATGAAGGGAGACCCCACCACGTCCTGGCCACGCTTGTCACTCCCCATCCCAGGGAGGAAATCCACCAACCCCTCCAGGAGGCTGGGAACGCCAGAGCTTTGCACTGGAAGATCCATAGAACAAATCAAACCCCACTGTTCCGATCTTGCATATTCCAGGGGTCCTGGCCAGTCCATCAGGGAGTCCACAGCCACTCTTGGGACCATCCTGCATGGATGCAGTCATTTTGGGAATACTTGATGGGTCAGCCAGCCCTGTGCTGCCAGCAGTACCTGATCCTCGTGGATCCGCCACGGCAGCCACCGGCTCCTGCTCCCGCTCTCCCAGCCACAGCTCATCTCCTTGTGCCCCAAATCCCACCGTAACAAATCCCAAGGGAAACCAGTTCTGCAGCTACCTCAGCCGGAGGGGAGTGAGACCTGCCCGGAGGCAGCCAGTGAAAGCCAGGCCTGGCACCGCTCCGGCATCGCCGGAGCCACCGGAACGTGTCCGTGGCCTGAGCCCCACACTCACCCCACGCACTGCTGGTGCACGGGGAACGTCCCTCCCAGTGCCACTGCCCAACAGACAAGCTGTTGGGACTCTTGAATTTAGTTTTCCAGGTGTTTTTTTTGTTTTCTTTGAGTTGTTTAATGTAGTTACCTGACATCCCAAAGTTTCTGTCCCTCTCCACGCAGTGAGGCGGGGACCTGGTTGGCTTTTCCCATCTTTCATTCCTGGCCATTCCCGAGGTGTGATGGTGCTGCTGTGGGAAGCTTTGGGAGCTGTGCCACATCCAGCTGTGCCCCTCAGCTGCCTCCCTGCCCCTGGGAGGGACAGCAGAGTCTGAGCTGCTCCATGGGGACACACACCCTGTCCCACAGCTCCTCCAGACCAGTGTCTCACAATTCCTGCCCCTGCATTCCCAGACATCAGTGGGAGGGAAGCAGGAGGGGTGACGATGGCAGATGAGTCACTCTGTGTTCCCCATAGGATGTGGGGGCGGTTGATGCCTTATGGATTGCATATGGATTACCATATGGATTACCATGGATCTGGCAGTGAGCCCGTGGCTGTTTATCCCTGCGGGGGTGAGATCCCAGGGGATCCCATGACTGAGCTGGTGGTGCCAGCAGGTGATCCCCCAGCCCATGGAGGTGCCGGCCCCTCCTCAGCCCAGCAGCCCCAACTGGGGGCACTTCTAAAGCTGTTTCAACCAGGACCAGCGTTTCCTATGACATTCCCAATCCCTTTCTCAGGATGTGGAATTAATAAAGTATTTGCCTCTATGTCTGGCTGTTCTGGGGGCTGTGCCAGTGCCTGTGGGAACAGCCGGGGCTGGAGAAACTGGGATCAGTCAGGAGAGCTCTGACCAGGGTGGGGAGTTTTTGGAATCACTGCTGGCAGCTCCATCCCTACGGAGCCCCTGGAAGAGCAGTCTGGAAGGATGAGGCCTCCACAGGCAGAAGGATGAGCGGCTGAGGGGAGCAGGGAAGGGCAGGGGATGGAGCGGCCCTGGCTGCCGTGGGCAGGGGGATGTGTCGCTCAGCACTGCCAGGGAGTCCCGTGGTGCCCAGATCCCACATGGGGGATTCTTGTGGGACCACTCCAAATTCCCATCAGGCAGTTCCACATTCCTCCCCCCATCACCCCAGGAAGATGGTGATCCCCATCCCTTTCCATCCCCATCCCTCTCCAATGTCCCAAGCCCACCCCCTGGAGCACAACAGGAGACCATGAGTCTTTTATCCAAGTCTCTTCCTGGTTCATCCACTGATCCCAACTGTGGCCCAGGCCCCTCAGTGTATCCAGACTAATCCTGGGCCACCAACCATCCCAGGGACACTGACCACTCCCAGACCATCAACCACCCCCAGGCCAGTGACCACTCCCAGGCCACCTCCCTCCAGACTGGCAGTGTTCAAACAACCCTGAATTCCACCATTCCCCGGGATCCCACAGCCACTGAATCCACGGGGCAGTGGCACCGCCCGGCTCAGCTCCAGCCACTGACCCTCCTCTGCTGCCTCCTGACCAGTCCCTGGGGGCCTTTCCCTGCCCACGCAGCACATCCTTCCTCCTCCTCCTCCTCCTCCTCCTCCTGGAGCCCCCGGTGGTGCCACAAGTCCTATGGTGATGTGACACCAGCTGCCTTCCCTCCTCCAGCCCTCAGCTACCGACTGTCCTGGCCCAGAGCCTCGCAGGGCTCCAGGTCCCGCCTGTGTCCCGGCAAGCTGCCGGCCGGGGAGCCGGCCACGGCGTGCACCTTCTGGTGGTGGTTCAGCGACTGCCGGTGCCGGAAGCTCTTGGTGCAGCCGTGGCACTGGAAGGGCCGTTGCTGGGTGTGCCGGCGCTGGTGCTCCTCCAGCGACGCTTTCTGGGGGAAGCTCTCGGCGCACTCGATGCAGCGGTAGAGCCGCTCCCCGGCGGCGCTGGCCCGCGCCGGCCGGCCCGGCCAGGTGCCCCGCGGCGGCCCGTGGATGCGCTGGTGCTTCTGCAGGTGGTGCTTCTGCACGAAGCCCTGCCCGCAGGAGGGGCAGCGGTAGGGCCGCTCCCCGGTGTGGATCCGGTAGTGCTTGTTGAGGTTGGACTTCTCGTTGAAGCTCTTGCCGCAGTCCGGGCACTGGAAGGGCCTCTCGCCCGTGTGCAGGCGCTGGTGCCGCAGCAGCGCCGCGTGGTGCGCCAGGCTCTTCCCGCAGGACGAGCAGATGAAGGAGCCGTTGCTCTTCCTCTGCTGCCGCGCCAGGAGGTTGCGCGTCAGCCGGGCGCTCTTCCAGCCCGGCGGGAGCGCCCTGGGATCGTCCCCGGCGGCGCAGGGATCGTGCTGCTCCCAGCCGGGCTGCGGCGAGGCCCCCTCGGCGCCGGGGTCTTCTGCCAGCGGCATTCCCTGCGGAAGGGCGAACGGCTGCTCCGTCCCTGCGCCCAGCGCGTGCTCCATGGGGAAGGGCAGCCCCGGGGCGGGATGAGCCTCCACTGGCACCACCACTGGCTTGAATTCCCCCAGGGAGAACTCCCCCAGTCCCGCCCCGGCCGCCTTGGGCCCAGCCACGCCGTGGCTCTCCCAGGGAACCGGCTGCTCCTGGCTCAGGGGAACCTCCTCGTCCAGCCTCTCCGCGGGGACCGTGGGCAGAGCCAGGAGCTCGGCCCCGTCCTCCGGCAGCTGCTGCTCTTCCTTCTTGATCACGATCACCTCACCTGCGGAGACACAGCAGTTCGTGCCCGGGAAGGGAAGTTCTGCCATGCCCACAGCTCCAGAGCCGGAGCAGGAAAGGAGCTTCCCCACCACCTGTCGGTGAGAGGAACCGGCAAAGAACAAAAGGGAGCAGGAAGGTTTTACTGGGAAGAGAAGGGGGACCTCAGGGCAGCTTGTTGGACCTCAGAGACGTGGAATCATGGAATCATTGAGGTTATAAAGCCCTCTGAGATCACCAAATCAAATCATTAACCAAGGACTGCCAAGGCCACGACTAACTCGTGTCCCCAAGTGTCACATCCACATGGCTTTAAATCCCTCCAGGAATGGGGACTCCACCACTGCCCTGGACATGCTGGACACGGTGGACACAAAGGACTGACAATACAATCCTCACAAAGAATCCAAACCAGAGGGAAAATGAAGGCAAAGCTGAGCTGCGGAGTCCTCTATCTTGGAAGGAACTGCCAGGAATGGTGGAGTTTAAGTGGGTGAATCCAGGGAAAAAGGTCAAAGCAAAACCTCCCTGGAGCAGGAGGGAGAATCCACCTGCAGGCACCCAGCCCCAGAGCCACTCTCTCTGAGCCTTGCTTCCCATTTTCCATCCTGATAAACCCCATCCAGTCCAAGTGGGTCCCTAGTGCCCATCCTCAGCCCCCAGCACTGTCACTCACCATCACCAAGCTGTCCCACCACCACTCCCTTCTCTGGCAGCTCAGGGATCCCGGGATCCTCCCTGTCCTCATCCGGTGGCAGCAGCGTGGATTTGCCATTTCCAGGCCCTGGGAAGGAGGGAGTGATGGGATGAACGCTGATGGTGAGGCTCAGCCAAAGGGGTGTCCTGGGCTCCCAGGATGATCCGATCACACAGGACACAGTCAGTCAAACCAGGCACGAGATTTCCCAGGAAGTGTCTGTCCAACACTCAGCCTCTAAAATTTTAGCCCAGAATTAATCAGCACTAAAACTTAGGACTCTCTGCAGCAAATCCCTGCCTGGTGGTCCATGTATGGCCCATATCCCAGGAAAAAAAAATGGTGCAGGAACACCGGCTTCCGGACAAGTTACCTGGAATCCCCCCACATTCCGTGTGGGGAGGGCTCGGGAGCTGGATCAGCCCAGGGATGATGATGCCTCTGACGTGATCTGACTGATCCTCCACGAGAGGGACAGTGGCCTCGTAATTCCCCTTCACAGCGAGTCCGTGGAGCTCCCGGCTGTCCGTGTTCACCCATTCCTGCTCCGGCAGAACGGCCGCCTCGCCCTCGCCCGCCACTGGCACCTGGAAACATGGGAGGCTCCACCACAGGGATCCCAACCTCTTCCCCCTCCGAGCCCCACCGGTGCTCCAGGAGAGTCCTGCAGGGTCCGGAGCTCCTACAGATGGAGCTGTGCCATGAGGGACATTCCCAGACATCCCAGTGAGGCTCCGGTGTTTCCCCTCAGACCACTCACCGTGGGCTCATTCCCATCCGCATTCCCATCCCCATCCCTGTCACCATGAACTCATCCCTGTTCCCATTCCCTCGGGTTCATCTCCATCCCCGTTCCCCAAGTCACTGTCAGTCTGTCCCTGTTCCCCGGGTCCCATTCCCTGGTGCTGGTCCCCATTCCCCGTGCCCCGTCCCTGTCGCCGTTCCCTGACCCCATCCCCGTCCCTCTCACCGCGCGGGCCGTTCCCGGTTCGCCGGGCCCCATTCCCGTGCCGGTCTCCCGTGTGCGCTCCGGGCCGTTCCCGCTGCCGTTCCGGGGGCGGGGGGCCCGGCCGGCCCCGCAGCGGCAGCGGCGGAGCTGTCTCTGCAGGCGGCGGAGGCGGCGGGCGTTGTCGCCCAGCAGCGCTGCCAGGCGGGCCCCGCCGGCCCGCACCGCCCGCTCCAGCCCCGCCACGCGCCGCTCCAGCCGCTCCAGCCGCCGCTCCGCCGCCGCCCACGGAGCCGCCATGGCCGGGGCCGCCCCGCCGCCAACACCGGCGCCCGGCCAGGCCTCGGGAGCCCACGCGGGGCGGTGCTGCGGGGGCAGCGGGCGGGGCGGTCCCGGTGCCCGCGGGGGTCCCGTCGGTGGCTGCGCCGGGCCCCGCCAGGCCATGGCCGCCCCTCAGCGCCGCCCGCCCGCAGCGCCCCCTGCCGGCACCGGCACCGGCACCGCCGCACCCCACACGGCCACGCCCCCCGCCCCGACCACCCGCGTACCCATCCCACTCTATCCATCCATCCCATCCTATCCCATTCCATCCATCCATCCCATCCCATTCCATCCATCCCACCCCATCCCATCCATCCCATCCTATCCTATCCCATTCCATCCATCCCATCCCATCCCACCCCATTCCATCCATCCATCCCATCCCACCCCATTCCATCCATCCATCCCATCCCATCCATCCCATCCCATCCCACCCCATCCATCCCATCCTATCCCACCCCATCCCATCCATCCCATCCCATCCCATCCCACTCTATCCATCCCATCCCACTTTATCCATCCCATCCTATCCCATCCCATCCCATCCCATTCCATCCCATCCCATCCCATTCCATCCATCCCATCCCATCCCACCCCATTCCATCCCATCCCATCCCACCCCATTCCATCCATCCCATCCCATCCCATCCCATCCCACTCTATCCATCCCATCCCATCCCATCCCATCCCACTCTATCCATCCCATCCCATCCCATCCCATCCCATCCCATCCCATCCCATCCCATCCCATCCCACTCTATCCATCCCATCCCATCCCATCCCATCCCATTCCATTCCATCCATCCCATCCCATCCCATCCCACCCCATTCCATCCATCCCATCCCATCCCATTCCATCCATCTCATCCCATCCCATTCCATCCATCCCACCCCATTCCATCCATCCCATCCCATCCCACTTTATCCATCCCATCCTATCCCATTCCATCCCATCCCATTCCATCCATCCCATCCCACCCCATTCCATCCATCCCATCCCATTCCATCCCATCCCATCCCATCCATCCCATCCCACCCCATTCCATCCATCCCACCCCATTCCATCCCACCCCATCCCATCCATCCCATCCCACCCCATTCCATCCATCCCATCCCATCCCACCCCATTCCATCCATCCATCCCATCCCATCCCATTCCATCCATCCCATCCCATCCCATCCCATCCATCCTATCCCATTCCATCCATCCCACCCCATTCCATCCATCCATCCCATCCCACCCCATTCCATCCATCCATCCCATCCCACCCCATTCCATCCATCCCATCCCATCCCATCCCATCCCACCTATCCCATCCCATCACATCCCCCCCACATCCCTATCCCATTCCCACTCCCACACCTGGACCGCACCTCCAGCCCCCAAACCCCCAGTGCCCAGTGACTCCCCCAAACCCAGTGCTTCTCCAGCCTCATCACTCTCTCACTGCATCTCATGGCAGGCCTCACTGCCATTTCCAGTGCCCCCCAAGGCCTGGCCATACTCCCCATCCCATCCCCTTCCCCATCCCCATCCCAAACTGGGACTGCAGCTGCAGCCCCCCAGCACCACATGACACCCCTACCCAGTGCTCCATTCTCACTCTTCCCTCACCCCATCCCACTGGGACACCCCCTCTGCCATTCCTGGTGCCCCACTAGATCCAGCAGGACCCTCCCAGAGCCCCCCAAGGAATCAACGTTCAGCATCCTGGTTTCTACAGCATCTATTGGCACTCTCCAGAACAGGGACCCACTCCTGGCATCCCACCCGCTCCATCATGGCTCAGAAACAAGGAGCACCCCCAGCATGGGCAGGGTGGGTTCCCTCCACCCCAGGGGTAGGAGAGTCAGAGAGATAGAGGGAGAGGGGAGGAGACAAGAAGGCCCACAGCAGCTTCCCATCCCCAGAAGGTCACTTCAAGGTCCAGCAGTGACCTCCCATTCCCAGGAGGTCACTTTGAGGCTCAGCAGTGGCATCCCATTCCTGGCAGGACACCTCAAGTTCCAACAGCAGCTTCCCATCCCTGAGAGGACACATCAAAGTTTAGCAGCAGCTTTCTGTGCCCAGGAGGACACCTCAAAGTCCATAAGCAGCTTCCCATCTCCGTGAGGTCAATTCAAGGTCCATCAGCAGCATCCCATTCCTGGGAGGTCAATTCAAGGTCCATCAGCAGCATCCCATTCCTGGGAGGTCAATTCAAGGTCCATAAGCAGCATCCCATTCCTGGGAGGACACTTCAAAGTCCACCAGCAACATTACATTCCTGGGAGGACACCTCAAGGTCCCACAGCAGGTTCCCATCCCTGCGAGTACACCCCGAGGTCCAAGAGCAGCCTCCCATTCCCGGGAGGAGCCCTCAAGGTCCAGCAGCAGCACAGCACCCCTGGGGGGTCACACCCTGGCTTCCCACCCGGTCTCCTGGCGCGGTTCCCGCCGGGACGGGCAGCGGGGCGGCGCAGGGGAGCGGCCGGTTCTGCCGCATGTGGATCCTGCGGTGCACCTTGAGGTGGGAGAACCTCTTGAAAGTCTTCTGGCAGATGCCGCACTGGTGGGGCCGGACGCCCGTGTGTGCCCAGTGCTGCCGGACGAAGTCGGAGACGCAGGTGAAGCTCTGGTTGCAGCAGGGGCACAGCATGAGGTGGCGGCCGGAGTGCCGGCGCTGGTGCACCGTCAGGAAGCTCTGGCTGGAGAAGTTCTCCAGGCACTCGCTGCACGTGTACAGCATTTTCCCAGGGGACAGAGGGCACCTGGCAGGGCTGGGCTTCTCCCACACCACGCCACAGTCCCTGCTCAGGGCTTGGGGCTGAGAGGCCGGGCACGGCGCTCGACTGGGACACGCCTCTGGCTGAGTCAGGGGTTGGCAGATCCCACTGGCTGCCCAGGTTTGGGGCTGGGACGTCAGCCACGGTGCGTGGCTGGGACGTGCCTCCGGCTTTGAGGCCTGGCAGGTCCCATTGGCCACCCAGGCTTGGGGCTGGGATGGTGGGCACGGTGTCTGATTGGGAAACGCCTCCGGCTCCGAGGGCTGGCACAGCCTGTTGACTGCCCAGGTTTGGGGCTGGGATGTTGGGCATGGCACCTGGTTGGGACACGCCTCCGGCTTTGAGGCCTGGCAGGTCCTGTTGACTGCCCAGGTTTGGGGCTGGGACGTTGGGCACGGTGTCCAGCTGGGACACTTCTCTGGCTCTGAGCCCTGGCAGGTCCCATTGGCCACAAAGATTTGAGGCTGGGATGTCGGGCACGGCACCTGGCTGGGACACACCTGTGCATCCAGGGGCTGGCACGTCCCGTTGGCTGCCCAGGTCTGGGGCTGGGATGTTGGGCACAGTGTCTGACTGTGACACACCCTGGGCTCCGAGGGCTGGCAGGTCCCCTTGGGCACCGAGGCCTGGGGCTGGGATGTCGGGCATAGCACCTGCCTAGGACACACCTGAGCATCCGGGGGCTGGCACGGCCCGTTGGCCACCTGTGTTTGGGGCTGGGAGGTTGGACACGGTGTCCGGTTGGGACACGGCTCCGGCTCCGAGGGCTGGCACGTCCCGCTGGCCGCCCAGGCCCGCAGGTGCCGCCTGATTTTCTTCTTGGACATGAAGTGGCGGTCGCAGTGCACGCAGACGTAGGGCGCCAAGTTGCTGTGGCTGTGCTGGTGGATAAGGAAGTTGATCTTCAGCAGGAAGTTTTTGCTGCAGATGGGGCAGGAGTAGAATTCCCGGGTGGCATTTCGCTGGCAGGCTGCCGGCCGGCCCAGGCAGGAGCCCTTCTCTGGCTTTTCTGGGCCAGGATCGACCTTTCCTGGTCCTTCAGGAACGTCGGCCACTGGACCTTGGCCAGCATTCCCTGAATCCACACCCTCCTGTTCCAGACCCTTCTCCTCTTCCGGACCCTCTGAGGATGTTTCAGGCACTATTGGTTTCTCCACAGTGACCTCCTCCTGTGGCACCTCCATTGGGATCCCCACCTCAGTGTCTGCTGGGAATTTTTCACAGCCCAAACATCACTTTTCCACATGGTTTTGAGGCATGAACGGCAAAAAGCTTTGCTCCCACCCTCACTCACTTCCCAACCCGTTCCCAGCCAGCACCCAGCACAAATCCCAGCCCTGCTCTCCTCTTCCAGCTCGATCCCTGCACCGTGCAAAAGCCAGGAACAGCCCCAGCCCACCCCTGCAGACACCCCAGGGGCAGTTTGAGGTGGCGAACACCACCCAGGTAGGACAAGGAAGTCTGAAACCACATCAGGGCTTGTCCAGGCAGGTGGTGCCCCATCCCAAATGGTTTCAAGGCTGGCAACTGGATTTGCTGCCAGAGTCCTTTCCTGGAAGCCCCAGGCCTAGAGAGAGCCCCAAGGAGGGATAAAGGTTCTGCCCCAGTACCTGCTGCGAGGGGAGATGATGGAGACTGGTTCTGATCCACTGCTGCAGAGAGTGGGCAGGAAGGGGCCGGGGTCAGCTGGCTGAGATCCCCTGGGACAGCAGCTTCCAGAGGGACGGGGGCTGTGAGGGCAGGAGGAGCAATGCAGGTGGGTGAGAAACAGCAGGGCAGGGGTCCAGGACCCCTTGCAGCAGCAGTGGAGTGTGCCAGGCACTCACGTGTGCTGCAGTTCTCCGGGACTGCAGGGCTCCCACTTTCCTCTGCCCACTTCCCACCTTTCTCTGCTGACTTCCCACTTTGCTCTGATGGGTTCCCACCTTCCTCTGCCAGTTTTCCACTTTCCTCCGCCAGGTTCCCGCTCTCCTCTGGCTCCCTGCAGCTCCCGTCACCAGGCTCTGTTGTCTTTGCCTCCAGCACCCCATCCCCTCTGGAGCAGCTTGGGCGGGCCAGCTCTGCAGAGGACAAGGACACTTGGATTTCCCAGGAGTCAGGGAGCTCCAAGGAGCCAGCACAGGATCCCATCCCACAGGGTGTCAGGATCCCTCACACACAGCTGCTGCTGGGGCAGGGGTGTTCCAAGCTATCCCAATGTCCCAGTGTGTGTTCCCTGTGTTCTCTCCCAGCACAGGCTGTCACAGCCATCACAGGACACCTCCCCATCCCTGGGAGTGTTCAAGGCCAGGTTGGACGGGGCTTGGAGCAACCTGGTCTATGGAAGCTGTCCCTGCCCATGGCATGGGGCTGGAACAAGATGAGCTTTAAGGTCTCTTCCAACCCAAACCACTCTGGGATTCTGGGATTCTGAGTCACTGGGGCTGAGGACAGGGACAACCATGGTCCTGGTGAGCAGCCAGGAGCTCCTGGCATGGAAAAACCCCAGTGTCACACACCTCCAGCTGGCTCTGGGGACACATCCGCTGCCTCTGGCTCCGGCTCCGTCAGCGTGCTCAGCTCTTCTCTTTCCAGCCAGAGTAGCAGGTCAGGCTTGGACAGGGCACAGTCTGGGCAAGAGTAGGACAGACATCAGGGACATGATGGGACAGGGACTCTGTGGGTGCACCCACAGCTGGGCAACACAGAGCCAGACCCAGCCCAGGAAACTTCTCCAACCAGGACAGCGACGGGAGTTACGGACACAGACAGGAAACAGCAGGCAGAGCTCACAGGGGAACATGGAAAGCAGCCTGGGACAGCCCCCCAGGAACAACAGCAAGAAAATCCATCCTTGCTCCAGCCCTGCATCAGAATCCCTCATTCTCCCAAAAATTTACCTCAGGGATAGGAAAATACCCCAAAAAACAGGAATTGTTGAGGCTCCTGACTGAATGTTCAATCAGGAGCACCAGGGCAGTGCCTGTCCCTGTGCTGGCACTGCTGAGACACCTCCAGTGCTGGGGGCAGTTCTGGGGTCTCCAGGTACAGGACATGGAGGGGCTGGAGCGTGTGCAGGGAAGGGAAGGGAGCTGGGAAGGGGCTGGAGCAGCAGGAGCAGCTGAGGGAGCTGGGGGGCTCAGCCTGGAGGAAAGGAGGCTCAGGGGGGACCTTCTGGCTCTGCAACTCCCTGACAGGAGGGGGGAGCCAGGAGGAGTTGGGCTCTGCTCCCAGGGAACAGGGACAGGAGGAGCAGGATGACAGGAAACAGCCTCAGTTGGAAGTTCAAGTTCAAATTTGGGAAAATTCCTTCCTGGGAAGGGCTGTCCAGCCCAGCACAGCCTGCTCTCCCCATCCCTGAAAAACCACTTGAGGACTTGGGTTGGTGGAGGACTTGGTGGTCTTGGTAGTTCTGAGGGAATGGCTGGACTTGATGACCTCAGAGGCCTTTTCCAACCTCAGCAATTCCATGATTCTATGAGTCTGTGCTTCCTGCAGCTCCACAGCCTGTCTCACTACCACACAAGGATCTGGATGGACACAGAGAGCAAATTCCTGTGCTGAAAAGAGGGAATTTCAACCCAGGGAGTTCAGTGTCCCTGTTCTCCACGAGGAAAAGGCACCGAGTGCTTACTAACCCTTCCTGCGCATCCCTGCCAAGCTCCAACCGCTGCCGGAGGGGACAGGGAATGGAGAGGATCATTTGAGAGCTGGAGAGATCCCAGTGAAAGGCAAAGAGGCAGAAAAGTGACCCCGAGAGAGCTCCCCGGGGCAAGCACAGCCTACACAGGGACACCAGCATCTCGTAGTTGCCTTCCATGACGCTCCGGTAGAGCTCCCGCTGTCCCTCGTCCAGCGTGTCCCACTCCTGCCGGCTGAACCGCACCGCCACCTCCTCGAACCGCACCGGCACCTGCGGCAGGGCTGCCATGGGGGAGAGGGCAGCTCCCAGACCCTCAGACACCCCCCTCTGACCTCCAACAGCCCCAAAAGCAGCCCCTCAAAAGCACCCCTGAGGAGTGCCCCGTGCTTATTCCCACCCCCATAAAGATCCCCCCTCCCAGCGGCCCACAGGATTCACCCCTGCTCTCCCGAGATCCACCGCAGCCTCCTCAGGAGACACCCACCCAGCCTCGTAGGCAGCCCCCAGATTCACCCTCAGTCCCCTGAGGAGCCCCCCAAACCGCTCCCAAATCCTAAACAGCCCTGCATGCTCCTCCCCCCAGGCTCCCCCTCAACTTCCCACCATGCCCAAAGTGACTCCGGGATCACTCCCACCCCCCAAGCAACCCCTCAGCCCCACAATAGCCCCGTAAGTGCCCTCCCGGCCCAATTCCAGCACTCCTCGACCCTCACCACCCCTCAAAGTTCCCCCCAGCTCACCTCCAGCCCCCACAATGGTCCCATAAGTGACCGCCCCCGACCCATTCCCAGCCCTTCCTCGCCGCGCATCACTCCCCTAAGCGCCCCCCAGCCCCACAATCGCCCCACCCGGCCCTCCCATCCCGGTTCTCACGGCGTGGAGCCGCAGGGCCGCGGGGCTCCGATCCCGCAGCGCCGCCTCCGCCCGCTCCATCCTCCGCTCCAGCGCCTCGAGGCGCTCCCGCAGCTCCGCCATAGCCCCCTCCGGTCCCCTCGGCGCGGGCCCGGCTCGGGACACGCCCCGGGGGAGGAGCCCTGGAGGGTCCCAGAGGGGTCCCGGTGTCGTTCCGAGGTGGCCAAGTGGCTCCCGGGGACCCGCACAGCATCCAGCGCAAGGGATGTGCGTTGCTTGAATGGGCAGTGGGATGGATTGGGAACTTGGCTGAGTGGCAGATTCCAGAGGGTTGGGATCAGTGGCACGGGTCTGGACTCCTCGGGACAAGAAGCTCCTGGCAGATGATTGTCCTGTGGAGGCGCTGAAGGGATGGAGCATCTCTGTCCGTGAGCAGGACAGGCTGAGGGAGCTGGGGCTGTTCAGCCTCCAGAGCAGGCACTGAGAGGGGACCTCCCCATTGTCCCTCAGGGGCTGCAGGGGATGGCCCAGCTCTGCTCGAGGGGGCCCAGCAATGGCACAGGAGGATGGGCAGGAATTGATACCCGGACACGAGGAAGAATTTGTAGCTGTGCAGTGGCCGAGCACTGATCAGATTGTCCAGGCAGGGGATGGAGTCTCCTCCCTGGGGATATTCCAGAACCATCTGGACACAATCCTGGGGTCATGTGCTCTGGGATGGCCCTGTTGGGGCAGGGATGTGGCACCAGACACCCCACTGTGGTCCCTCCCAGCCTGAGCCCTGCTGGGATCCTGTGGGGAAGCGCCGCTGCAGGGGTTACTGCCCGGCGGGGTTGCTGCCCGTGCGCTCAGCCCTCTCGGTGACTGACAGCTGTCAATCATCGCCGGGATGCCGGCCGGCGCTGCCGCGGCGGCTGCGGAGGAAGAGGAGGAGGATGCGGAGGAGGAAGAGGAGGAGGAAGAGGAGGAGGAAGCGGAAGCGGCGCCTCTGGGCGGCAAGAAAAGACGACGGTGCGGGACGGCGGGAGCAGCGACGGGGGACACCGGCGGGGAAGGGCCGGCCCCGGGTCCGGTGCGGGAGGGAGGGACAGGCCGGGCCGCACCGGAGCGGCCCCGGTGTGCGGCGGCCGAGCCGCTCCCTCCTTCCCCAGCCCCGGTGCCGCAGCCTCTCCCGGGGCTCCGTCTGTCCCGGTGCGGGGATGGAGCTGCTGGACGGCGGCAGCATCTCGCTGTGGACCGTGGTGGGGGCCGTGCAGGCGCTGGAGCGGAGCGTGGCCGCACACGCGTCCCGCCTGCTCAGCCTGGAGCACCGCGCCGGGAACGCCGAGAAGAAGCACCTGGAATACGAGAAAGGAATGGGAGAGCTGGGGAACCAGCTGGACAGCAAGTGGACGGCGCTGGGCAACCTCGTCCAGGAGTACGGGCAGCTCCAGCGGCGCCTGGAGAACATGGAGAACCTGCTGAAGAACAGGAACTTCTGGGTGCTGCGGCTGCCCCCCGGCGGGGGGGTCCCCAAGGTAACAGAAGGGTCTCTGAGGGGTCTGGGACACATGCTGCTCTGCTCCTCACCTCTGCCCGGCAGCCTTCCCCCGTGGAAGCTATTCCATGGATCCTGCCGGGGTGCAGGGGCACCAAGCAGGCAGCGATCACTCCTGTGTATTGCTGTATTTGGCTGGTTTTCCCAGCAGAAGGACGGGTTGACATGTTTTCACCAAAAACGGGAGGTTCTTCCCGACTCTGATATTCCCAGTAGGATCAGACTCCACACAGGGGGAAGTAAGATCATTGTGGAATTCACAATTCATACCCCCAAGGATTAGCAAAGAACATTACTCTCTGTGGCCAGAGGATGCCCCAAGGCAGGCGCTTTCTTTTCCTGACACCTGGTAGCTGGGATGAATAGGAAGGAGGATTCTTGGGGTTCCAGGCTCAGTGCTGAGCGTGTGGCTTTTGGGATTGCAGGCCCCGACCCTGGTGCTGGAAAACGACGCCACTGGCTTTTCGGCTCAGGAGTGGGAGAACCTGGAGGAGTGGCAGAGGGAGCTGTGCAGGAAGGTGCTGGCAGGGAAGAGCCAAGCCCTGGTCCTGCCGGGTGAGTGTTGCTGTTCCGGTCGGTTATCAGCGCTTCCAGACTAGCTTGGGTTTGGGGAGTCTTTCCCACCCCTGGGAAGCAGATCTGTGGGAACATGGAGAGGCCAGTGTGTGTCACACCCTGTCCCATCGGTCACCTCCATGCCTGGGGCCAGCACAGGCCCCTTCCCTCAGCCCACAGGGTCCTTCCCGGTTGGAGTGGGGTTGGCTGTCGGCGTGGAAGCCGCTGTGTCCCGGTGAGCCACACAAAGGGCTCTCCGTGCTGCCAGCCCGGGTGTTGTAACCAGTGCAGCCGGTCCCAGGAGTGTGTTCCTCCCTGTGGATGCAGCACGGAAACGTTCCTGTCTCTGTTCCTTGTCAGACGATGCCGTGTCTGAACCTGCCCTCCTGTCCCGGCTCCAGGGAGGGGAAGTGCCCTGCAGTGAGGATGAGGTGGCTTCCACAGAGATCCCAGAAGATCCAGATACAGGCAAGAGATGAGTTAAAGCTTCAATCCCAGGGTATGGGGGTCGTGTGGTGCTGTCACCAGGCAGAGATTGTCACAAGGGATGGTCCTGGTTTGCTCAGAGGGAACTTCTTGGGTCCCAGAAGAAGCGGGTTCAAGGGGAGTAACAGAGGCTGAGAAAAAAAGTAACAGGTTTGATTTTCAGGTTTAGAGATCGGGAAGGAATTCTTGGCTGTGAGGGTGAGGAGGGCCTGGCACAGGTTGCCCAGAGAAGCTGTGGCTGCCTCACCCCTGAAAGTGTCCAAGGCCAGGTTGGACAAGGCTTGGAGCAACCTGGGCTCGTGGAAGGTGTCCCTACCTTGGGGACACCTGTGCCTGGTGAGGGGAGCACAGCAGATGAAGGAATCCAGGAATGAACTGTTAGACGAGCAGGACAAACTGCTGTTGCAGAATCATGGAATGGTTTGGGCTGGAAGGGACCTTAGGGATCATCCAGTTCCATCCCCTACCATGGGCAGGGACACCTTCCACCAGCCCAGGTTGCTCTGACCTGGCCTTGGACACTTCCAGGGATCCAGGGGCAGCCACAGCTTCTCTGGGCAAGCTGTGCCAGGGCCTGCCCACCCTCCAGGGAAGGATTTCTGTTGGATGAGTGCGAGCCCAGAAGGCTCCACTCCCTCTGGCTCCTGGCTTGTGTCCTCCAGAGCACACCTGCTCTTCTCCTGGGATTTCTGCTGTTTGGTGGCTGCACCCTCAGGAGAGCTGTGCTCCAGGGCAGTGCCTCCATGGCTGCTTAGGGAAGTCACTGGTGAGCTGGGTTGGCTCTGTTATTCCCAGTAGTAATGGTTTTGATGGTGTTTTCCCTGCTGTGACTAACTCTTGGATGTTTTTTCTCAAGCCCCTTGTGTCATGTTGTCACCTCTCCACTGTCAGGCACTGCACAGTGGGGATGGACACTCCAGACGGGAGGCTGATCCCTGCTTGGATGAAACAGCCTCAAGTTGTGCCAGGGGAGGTTTGGGTTGGAAACTGGGACAATTTCTGCCTGAAAAGGGCTGTCCAGCCCTGGCACAGCTGCCCAGGGCAGGGGTGGAGTCCCCATCCCTGGAGGGATTTCAAAGCCCTGTGGATGTGGCACTTGGGGACGTGGATCAGTGGTGGCCTTGGCAGTGCTGGGGGACAGTTGGACTCCACGGTCCAAGAGGTCTTTTCCAACCTCGTTGGTTCTGTTTTATGAGTTTGCCCTCACACTTGGCTCTCTGTTGGCAGTTTCCATCCTTGACCTTTGGGTGGTTTTATGCTTGAAATCGTATTCACTTTGCTATGATTGAGGGTGACAAGGCCACGTTCTGCTTGGGGTTGTTCTGATGTGGACCAGGACATGCTCCACTGGAGCCTCTGGATTTGCACTGCCGTAACTGAGGGGAATTTGCTCTGGTCTTGTCACCTGTGAGCACCCCTGTGGTGGCATCACCACCTCTGTGGTGTTCCCAGTGCAACCGAGCCGGGAAACCCCTTGTTTGGTTTTCCAGCCACTTGGTTTGGGAGAATTGCCTCTCCATTCACGCTTGGGTTTGTATTTCACGGTTGCCTTCATCTCCCACTTCTGGGTGGTTTTTGTTCCTGAGGATCAGCTTTCACCGTATCCCAAACCACTAAGAATTCCCAGGGTTTGAGGTTTCCCAAACACGGGGATGACGTTGCTGCTCGAGCTGTTCTAAACCTGCTGCTCATTTTCCTCATCACTGGCTGGGCTTTAGTCCCTTCCTGCTCCCAAAGTGTCTTCCAAGGGGAGGGTGCAGCTGGCTGCCTCATCCCCTCGGAGACAGCGATCCGAGTGCTGCCGAGGTCTTGGATCCCGTGGCTCCGGAGCAGGTCCACGTGGAGTGCACTTATCCATTATTTTCCCCAAATCAAACCTGTGAGGACAGAGAGTGTCACCTTTTGTCACTTCTCAGTGTTGGGTGGCCGTGCCCTGACAGGCAGTTTGGGTCTGTCCAATAAGTGGATAAACTAATCAGACCCCTGGTGTTTTCAGTGGGTTCTGGTTAAACTGTTTCTATATTTTCTATATTTCCTATATTTTTTTAAACTCAGCCTGTGAGCCTTCAGGGCAGGGAACTTGTTTCTATCTGTTTGTAAAGTGCTGATTTAAATTTGCAGCAGTAAAGACTTGATCTTTAATAAAAATAACGTTCAACTTGTCAAGTTCTTAATGCTTCTTTTTTTGCTCTATTTTTACTTTTCGAATCATTTTACCTGCTGCTGGTCTGTAGTGTCATAACTTATGGATGGAGAGGCAAAAATTGTCCTCAAATCAGAAAAAAAACCAGTGGGGTTTAATTGTTTTTAATTTTTTTTTAAACACTGTGAGCAGGAGAACTGTTTTCTGGGTCTTTATCTCAGACCCAACAGGCCTGAAGGGTAAAAATGTCTAAAATTATGATGTAAATAAGCTCACAATACAATTCTCACCCTGATCATGTCCATCCTGCTGCCAGCAAAACGTTGTCAGTGTTTTAGTTGTGATGGGTTAAGTCCAGGAAGAAAACAATGTTTAATTTCTGTGTTGTTTTGTGGTTGTTTTTTTTTTCTTTCTTGGTGCATTTGGCTTGTGCTTTGACAGCAGTTGTTGCCTCCTTGTTCTGGAACACGAATTCAGGGGGGTTGTTGCCCTCCAGAGTCGTGGTGTAGCAGAATATTGCGACTTAGACCAAAATGTAGAGTGTGGAGGGAAGGGAATTTGAAAAGAAACAGAATTAACACATGAAAACACCTAAATAATCATGACCCTGTGATTATTTAGATCACCCTGAGCTCTGCTTCCCAGGGAAAAGCTTATTCTCGCTGGTTCCAGTGTAAAATTTGGGGTTTCGGCCAAAATATTCAATTGTAAAGAGCATTTTCAGCGTGTTGTTATCCAGGAATCCATGGGTTCTGCAGGCAGGCAGATGATTGGAGTGGAGTTTTTCCTTCCCGAGTTAAGTCAGTCAGGAATTAACAGTTCATCTTGCACCCGGATTTCATGGAGAGGTCGAACCTTCTGACTCGATGGCAGCATCTCAGAGTGCAGCTGTTGAGTTCTTTCTGCACTTCATCTCCTTGTGGATTTACTTGTTGGATATGGAAACCAACTTCCAGTCACAGTCCCCTTTGTCAAGTGTTACTCAGGAACAAATGAGTTTAGAACTATCCCTAAAATACTGGCTGATTTGCTGCTTTAGTACAGGAAAAAGGGAAATTGCACTCTGTGGTTTTTGTTCCAGTTAGAACTTGATTCATTTTATGGCTTAATTTTTTTTTTTTTTAAATGTTCTTAGTCCCTAAATTGCAGGGTAATGTAGAGGCAAAGGCTTTATGCTGCCAGAGGGCAGGGTTAGGTGGGATATTGGGAAGGAATTCCTGGCTGGGAGGGTGGGCAGGCCCTGGCACAGGTTGCCCAGAGAAGCTGTGGCTGCCCCTGGATCCCTGGAAGTGTCCAAGGCCACGTTGGAGCAGCCTGGGCTAGTGGAAGGTGTTGCTGCCCATGGAACTGGATGATCTTTAAGATCCCTTCCTACCCAAACCATTCTGGAATTCTGTAAGAGCAGGACGTTTTCTGGGATAAAGATGCAAGATTGCAGCTGCATAGAGCAGTGGAGGAACACTTGCAATTCCCTTGTGACAGAACATCCTGAATCTAGTCAGGATCAGTCCAGCAGCGCTCCTGGATTGTTCTACAAACAACCAGAGGTGCCTTTTCTGGGCTGTTTCTTTATTTTGTTTCATCACTCCTTGAAGCTGCCTTTGATACCCCAGGTGACGCACAGTGAGTCACCATTTCTCTATTCCAGCCCATCTCTCCTGAATTTCAGAGACAAATGCGTGTATTTATACCAAATCTCGGAGCTATTCTGAGATTTGTGTTGTTTGAGTTGCAAAATTGAACCCTGATTTCAAGACAAAATGTGAAGTGGCACAGAAATGTGCTGCTTTTCCAAGACTGAGAGGAAGAGGAGAAATGGTCCCTGTGCACGGGTAGAGTGATGCTGACAGGAATCACAGAATCAGGAGACCTGTTGAGGTTTGAAAAGGCCTCGGAGACCATCAAATCCAACTGTTCCCCCAGCACTGCCAAGGCCACCACTGACCCATGTCCCCAAGTGCCACATCCACACAGCTTTGAAATCCCTCCTTGGCAAATTGATGGAGCAGGGCTGAGGAGATTCCAAGTCCCCAGAGCTCTGAGAGGAGCCCAAACCCTCACACCTCTGAGGGGACCCCGATTCCCCATGGTTATGAGGACTCTGTGTTCCCACGGCTTGAGGAAATCCCACACCCTCATGGCTCTGAGGAGATCCTGTTCCCTGAGGGCTCTGAGATGACCCTGATCCTTCACTGCTCGAGGATCCTGTGCTGTCACAGCTCTGTGGGGAACTCGTCCCTCAGGGCACTCCGGGAAAGCCGGCTCGGAGGGGATCCCCGAGCCCCTCATGGCTCTGAGTGGAGCCCAGATCCCAACCGTTATGAGAGGATCCCAGGTCCCTCATGGCTCTGAAGGGACCCCGATCCCTCACAGCTCGGAGAGGATCCCAGCTCCCTCACAGCCCTGAGGGGACCGATCCCTGCCATTCCCGGTGCCTCCCGACCCCGCGCCCTCCCGCCGTGGGGCTCCGCGGGCCGGGCCGGCAGGGGGCGCTGCGGGGCGGCGCCGGGGCCGGTGTCGGTGCCCGGTGTCGGTGCCCGGTGTCGGTGCCCGGTGTCGGTGCCCAGTGTTGGTTCCCGGTACCCGGTATCGGTGCCCGGTGTCGGTGCCCGGTGCCCGGTGTCGGTGTCCATTCCCAGTGTCGGTGCCCGGTGCCGCCGGTCCGGGCCCGGCCGCAGCGTGCATGGCCGGTCCCCGCGCGGGGCGCTCGGTGGCGGCGCGGCTGCTGCGGCTGGAGGCCCGCGTGGCTCGGGCGGAGCGGCGGCTCCGGGCCGCGCTGGCCCTGGGCGGGCGGCTGCGGGCGCTGGAGCGGCGGCTGCAGCCCGGGCCGGCGCGGCCGCGGGCCCCGCGGGTGCCGGAGGAGAAGGTGTGGGTGCAGCTCGGGCAGCGGCCGGGGCGCGGTAAGGGCGGCCCGGGGGGTGGAGGGGGCAGAGGGGACCCCGCGGGGCCCCCGCCCCGGCCGCTCCCCTCACCCGCTCCCCCCGCAGGCCCGGACGGTGCCGGACACAACGCCCAGCCCCCGGAGGACGGCGGGGACCGGGACGGGCATGGGGATCCCGCGGAGAACGGCGGCGGTGAGCGGGGACGGGGCGGCTGAGGGAGGGACGTGGGGCACCCGCCGGGTTTGGGGGATGTCCGCGGTTTTAGCCTGAAGAAAAGGAGGCTCGGGGGGGACCTGGAGCTCTCCACAGCTCCCTGACAGGAGGGGGGAGCCGGGCGGGGTCGGGCTCTGCTCCCAGGGAACAAGGGACAAGAGGAGAGGGAACGGCCTCAGGCTGTGCCAGGGGAGGGGCAGGTGGGATGCTTGGACAATTCCTTCCTGGAAAGGGCTGCCCAGCCCCAGCACAGGCTGCCCTCCCCATCCCTGCAGGGATTTCAAAGCCATGTGAGTGTGGCACTTGGGGACATGGGTTAGTGGTGGCCTTGGCAGTGCTGGGGGAGTGGTTGGACTTGATAATCTCCAAGGCCTTTTCCAACCTCAACAATTCCATGATTCGATGGCCAGCCTGTCTCCAAGGCACTCGCTGTGCTGAGTGTGATCCTCCAAACTTAGCTGTCAGGCATCCCCCTGCCTTCCCAGGACGCTCCATCATTCCCTTCTTTTCCCCTCTCCTGGTTGCTGAGCTGCACTCCCTCAGTCCCCCTGGATTGCGCCCGGGCTGGGTCTGCACCACCAGGAAAAGCAGGATGGATTTTGGTTTTCCAGTCTGGCAAGAGGATTTTTCATTCCATTGTGCACAAGCATGCACAATGTAGTTGGTTTTAAACACGTGTGAAGTGTTCCCTCGAGTCACTGATCAGGTTATGGAAGTGTCCACGGCCAGGCTGGATGGGGCTTGGAGCAACCTGGGCTGGTGGAAGGTGTCCCTGCCCATGGCAGGGGGTGGAATTAGATGAGCTTCAAAGTCCCTTCCAACCCAAACCATTCTGGGATGCTGTAAAGGTGCAGAGCACTGGCCCTTCTGCTTTCCCTTAATAATTCTACAGACTTTAGTTTTCTTTTTCCCATAAATTTTGTGACTTACTCTCTAAGGACACTCTTCTCATGAGTGTTTCTGTGATGGGTTTCACTGAGAGGGACTGAAAAGGAAATGACAGAACTCCAGTGGTGCCAAGAGAGAAACAAAACTTAAGGACAAGAATTGCAGTGGCTCCATCCTCTCCTGGGGCGCTGGAGAACATGTTTTCACTTGCAGACAGTTTTATGTGTTTCTGAGGCTCAAATATCTGCTGAGGGTTTTGTAGCCAACATTCTAGGTCTGTTCAAGAGACCTTGGTCAGCGGGAACTGGAACTGGAGTGAGATGTTCTCTGGAATGTGTTCTCTAGAACAGAGCAGCTCTGCCTGGGATGGGCTGAGAATTGGAATTAATTAGGTATGGAACTAAAACAACAGTGGTTCCCATTGACAGAAGACAGCATAATCCAGATTAAGCAAGAGGAAGAGCTGTGCACTGCAGTTCAGGAGGAGGAGGAGGCTGGAGAAGCTCCTGGAGAGCCCTGCCCAGGTGAGTAACTGCATACCTGGGAGAGAAAATGAACCTGAGGGATTAAATTCCAAGTTGTGTGAGGGTTTTTTTCCCCCACCTCTTTTCATGTATTCCAGATCTTTTAGAAGTGTAGAGCAGACTTGCCAGCAGCCCTGACAGGTGAGGGCTGGTGTTGCCTCTTTCCCTTCTTGAGGCCCTTTTGGAGTTTGGCTGGGTTTTATCCAAGCAGGAGATGTTTCACTCTCCCCTAAATTCCTTACTTTGCTTCCCTCCAGTCGATAAATCCAAACTGGTTAAATATTTAGTGCAAATTAGTCACTTTTTGGGGACAGTGGGTTAACTTGGAGGAGGCAAAGTCAGTGTTCCCGTGTGTGGTTGGAGCGTGGAGGCAGGATCTGGCTGTTCTGGGGAACTGGAGCAGCTGCAGCAGCTCCTCAGCTCCACTCCTCTGGCAGTGCCTCTATTCCTGCAGATCCAGAGCCTTCAGGTGCCCTTTCCCTCCTCCCTTCCCTTCTGGGGTTTTCCTGGTTCCAGGAGTGAGCCCATGGACCCCTCAGGGAGGCCGCCCAGCCCAGGGCCCCGTTCTTTGCCCTCTCACTTGGAACCTCTTTGTTTTACAAACAAACTGCTCTGCTTTGCAGATTCTCCTCACTCTTCACAAAGGATATCAATGCTGCCTTTTGGCTCCACGGGAATTGTATGGATTTTTAGACTTTTCCATCAGGTTTCCTTAAGAAACTGGGCTTATGGGAGCTTGGCTTTGGGGGAAACCAAGCCCAAACCCAGAGCAGGTTTCAGCCCTGTGAAATCTTGAGTTTATGGAGGTACTATACACTTTTCCTGGATTTTCTCCTATAGCAGAGCAAACATTTTGTGATCCTGAGGCATCCAGTCAGGCCAGGAAAGGCAAGGAGGTGGATGCCAGGGAGCTGCCAGGCGCCGAGGGTGAGGACATTCCAAGACACCCTGCCACAGGTGAGGAGGAGGAGTCCAGGGCAAAAACTCCCACTGCAGGAATTACCCCTCTTCGTGTTGTGTCTTCCCTGATGTGCCTGAATTCCAGAATCTTCCCTGGAGTTTCTCAGCTGTGCAAATTCTCCCCAACAAACAGGATTTCAGACTTATGCAACGGATGTTTCATCGTGGATTAAACGAGAGGAGGAGCCACGCTGCCCTGAGCAGCAGCACTTGGAGAGGGAGGAAATCTCTGCAGATCCAAGTACAGGTCAGTAATGGATTTCAGCTGGGATTTCAGGGGCAGTAAATCTAGTTTAGAGTATTTTTTTAATGCTATATGAGATGTCACAGCCCTGTGGTGTAAGCAGCAAAAGAACTGGGACAAACCTCAGTCTGCTGGTTAATATTTGGGCACAGAAATGTTGGGTTCTGTTGGCTGAAGAGGCTCCTTCCTCCTTCAGCTGGCCTAAAGCTGCTGAGGTGCTGGTTTGGGCTTGTGTTCAGGCATGCCCAGAGCTGTGCTCAGGCAGCACAGGATCAAGTTTGTGCTGCTTTCACCTGGATAAAAACCTGGCTGAGGGCTGGGCCCAGAGCGTGGTGGGGAAGGGAGTGACATCAGCTGGTGGCTGGTCCCCAGTGGTGTCCCCAGGGCTCAGTGCTGGGGCCAGCCCTGTTTAATGTCTTTATCAACCATCTGGACACGGGAATTAAGGCCACCCTCGGGCAGTTTGGAGAGGACACCAGGTTGGGTGGGATGTTGATCTGCTGGAGGGCAGGAAGGCTCCACAGAGGGATCTGAACAGGCTGGATCCATGGGGTTGATGGGCCAAGGCCCATGTGGATGTGGCACCTGGGGACATGGCCAGTGGTGGCCCATCTCCTGATGGGTTTCTCGCTTTCCATTCAAATTAGTTCTCATACATAGTCCATTTTTTTCAAGCCTTTCTGGAAATGGATCAGAGGCTTTGGGGGTCTTTGGATGTTTTGATCCCCTTTACAGTCCATGCCCATTCCTTGGCCTCATTCCTGCTGTGCTTATCTCCAGGAACTACAAGGATGTTTGTCCCAGAAAAGTGCTGCCCTATCTCTGCAAGGCCCCTTCTGCAGCAGATCTTGCTCTTTCTCACAGTGTGCTGATCAAACAGTCCTTGGTTGGCTCCATGGCCATCCAGCTATGGGGGTTTGGGACACACACATTCCCTGATCTTCTGGGAGCTGGGAGCTCCAAGGGTCTCACTTTGCACTGTTGTTTATGGAGTCACAGGAGAGTGGGCTTTAGTCACGGTAGATTTTCCATCCTGGACACAATTCCAGTCAGTAACTTTCTTTGAAGGTTCAGTAACAAAAATATTACTCCACTTGGGTTGTTGTTCAGGCAAGAAAAATGAGGCTGTTCATTAAAAAGCAGTTCCTGGGGTCAGACAGTATTTCTGATGGGCTCAGCAGAGGAGGTTTAGGTTGGATATTAGGGCAAGGTCCTTCACCCAAGGTGTGACAGTGTCCCCTCTGTCAGGGAGCTCAGACCTCCCAATTCAGATACCTGAGTGAAAGGGTGAATCTAAGACATTACAGCAGCGATTTTTTTAATGTAGATTTAAAAATATATAATTGGGAAAAAGTCTTTCTGTTTTCCTGGAGATTGTGTTTCAGTGGACGCTGGTACTTGTTCCCCCCTCAGTATTAATGACATGGCTGAGGGCTGGGAGGGACATTCCCAAGGGTTAAAAGGGACGTTCCCTGAGTTAAAAGGCTCTGAAATCTCTCTGTTTCAGATGAAAACACGAAGAGGGACCCTCCAGCAGATTGCTTTGAGAGCACCACCTGTGACTCAGGGGCACCAGGAAGGCCAGGAGAAAGGTTTCCCAAGGATCCCAGCCCCGGAATGCCGTGGGACGGTCAGTGGAATTCAGAAATGATGGAAACAAACAGCACTGGGATTGGGAACGGGTACAGCCAAGGGTTTGGTGAGCACTTGGATTTCTTTAGTGCTCAGGAAAAGAGGCCGTGTGTGTCCAAGTGTGAGAGAAACTCCCTGCAGCAGGACCAGCCCCAGGCTCCACAGGGACAAGGGGAGATGTTTCCAGGCCCCACGTGTGAGAGGGTGTTCCCTCTGCTGCACCCACAGCTGGGAGAGAAGGGAATGGGGCCGGGAGCCGCCCCTGCCCCCTGCCCAGGGCCCCGCTCCGAGTGCGGACAGACCCCCATGGGCACCGCCAGGCTCCGGGACCAGGACCTGGGCGGGGAGGAACCTGCTGAAAACGAGGAGAACTTCCCCATGGACACCTCTGGAGCCTGCTGGGATCACCCCCAGGCCCGGGGCAGCCCCATCCACCAGCAGCAGAGCCAGGGCCGGGGCAAGTCCTACATTTGCAGCGACTGCGGGAAAAGCTTCGTTTGCCACTCGTGGCTGGTCAGACACCAGACAACCCACACGGGAGAGAGGCCCTACAAGTGCTCCGAGTGTGACAAAACCTACAGGAGGAAGGATTACCTGCTCAACCACCAGCGGCGGCACACGGGGGAGGGCCTTTTCCAGTGCCCTCTCTGCAGGAAGAGGTTTGTGCTCAGGAGGAGCCTGGTGAAGCATCAGGAAAGCCACGTCCAGGAGGCACAGCTGCCGCTGGCTGGCTGGCCCTGCGCTGACATCAGGGGCTCCGTGATGCATTCCATATAAAACAACCCCCCAGCCCCCTCGGGGCTGGGCAGGACCCCCAGCTCTGTCCCCCACCACGGTGGGAGGAGGAGGCTGTGGAACAGCCACCCCGAGCCCCTCCCAGGCCCAGGGAGGTGGTTGGGGGTTGTTTTCCACCGGTGCCTGTAGATCTGGGGAGGTGTGGGAGCTCAGAGGTGCTGCTGGCTGTGAACCCACGTGGGAGAGAAACCACGTGGACACGGAACAATTTGGGATGTGCGTTACAAAGAAGAGTTATCTAACAGAGAGAAAATATCTGAAATGTTATCCCACGGCTGCTGGGAGTCCAGAGTCCTTGGACTGGGCTGGCAGCAAGGGAGCTGAAAGTGTTAATTGTCCACTGCTTGGGTGAAATGCTTTGGGAAAGGAAGTGTTGCCCCTGTGGCTGTAAGAAGAAGCATCTTCATACAGTGGCAACTAAACAGAAGGGCACAGAGCCTGGGAATCAGCTAATTCCTGCTGATGATCCCAGAGCTCTTGAGTCTCTCTGTTGCTGAACCCCAGGATAGGATTCCTAAAGGATGGGATCCTCACTGGGATTTGCAAAACCACTGGGGAGCCTGGAACGTGGTTTGAATTTTGCAGAGCCTTAAAGTTGTGTTGCATTTATTTTCCCACATTGTCTTCTGTGTCTGTTCGATTTTCCGAATCCTGCGAAAGCAGAACATGGAGGTGCTGCAGAAACCTGGGAAACGAGGAGTTAACGTGCTGCCAGTGTCCCACACACCCATAACGAGTGGAATGGGATCTGCTGGAGAGGGCCATGTGGAGGTAGGGCAGCACTGCTCCTCCAGCCTCTTCCTCTGGGTCTGGCACATCCCACCCCAAAGCAGAAGGGAGCTCCCAAGATGCCCATGGTTAAAAAGGAATGACAGGTGTCAGAGGGATCCATAAAAACTTACAGTTTTATTAGCAAATTCCATGCTCAGCATGGGAATTGCTTTTTTTTTTCCCCCTTACCTTCTAATAGAGGAAAAGAGGGAAGAGGGAGATCAGAGAGGAGAGGGAAGGAGATCACCAGTCCTGGCTGCAGCATCGGTCTGGCTGACACCACGCTCAGGATCCCAGGGGTGACCCCAAACCCTGTGTCATCCTTTTCTATAGCCAAGTTTTCCCCACCCTGGGGCTTGTTTTCCCACTTCTCATGGAAATGAGTGATCCAGCACAGTCCATTCCCCTGGATCCTCCTGGAAATAAATCAGGAGGGCTTCAAGGGTCTTGACCCCATCCAAACTGATCCACCTTTGGCTGACACTCCGTGCCTGCTCCTTGACCCCACTCCTGTGCCTACACTGTTCCATGTCATCTCCAGGAGCCAGAACAAGGGTGTTTGTCCCAGAGAAGTGCTGCCCCACCTCCCTGTGCCCCCTTTTCCCAGGCACATCCCATCCCTCCCTGCACAGAGTGTTCTCACCCCCCAGTCCTTGGCTGGCTCCGGGCTATCGGTGTTTGAGACACACACGCTGGCCCCTTATCTCCCGGCCTTCCACAGAATCCAAGCTGAGAAACGTAGGCATGACCAGCTTGGGACTCTCACTTGCTGCAGCTGAGTGCAGGGAAGGAGAATTGCTGGAGAATTTAGACAGGAAAAAGCACAGTAGAGAGAAATGAGAGCTGAGAGAGGAAACAGAAGGGAGGAAAACAGATGATTTATTGCTGTCAGTGAAAACTGACCAGCTGCAGAAACAGTTACAAGGAAAGGAGAACAAAAAAACCCTCAAAATTGAAGAAAAAAAAAAAAGGTAGAGATGATGCTGAAGAAATATCAGAGGGTCCCCCTCTGCAGCCACACCCTGTTTCAGTTTGTCCCCTGTTATCCGTGTTTGGGACACAGCAGCACAGTAACTCCCTGCTGCCTGGGCTGCTGCACCCCAGTCACTGCCCAGCAATTCTGGGACCCGCAGCTCCAAGTGGGGCCAAATCATCTGGAACTCCAGAAATTCCCTTTCCTGGCACAGCAGGAATTTGTTGTTGTGCTACATTAATAATTCTGGAATCAGGGAGTGCCCGTGCTGCATTCAGGTTTAAGGTTGGCCCATTCCTGCTTCTCACCCATAAATTAACCTGAGCAGTTTGGCACCTGGAGCATTTGCTCCAGGGATTTTAACTCTTTGCCCTCCAGATCCTACACCAGCATCCCACTGTTAATATTGGATGTTGTGCTTTCATGTCTATTAGAAATTTTATTAATTATTGATGAGAACCAACTGGAATCTGAATGCCCAGGCCATGGGTAAGACACCACTTGCTGGATTTCAGTCTCTCCTGGCTTGTGGCTGTTAAGGAAACTTCCCTGTCTGACCATCCAGGAGCCACTCTGGAAGTCACATTCCTGCCTGCTGAGCTGGGACCAGCTCCAGGGAGGCCATGGATCCTGCTTGACTCCTCATCCCACTCACACAGTGCAACCAGGTTTTCCATAGCATCCTGGACACATGGATCCTTAAAATATTTCCTTAAAATAACTTAATCCTGATGCAGGACAACAGCAGTAACAGCTGGAGCTGGTGCCTCCGGGGAGGGACTCCAAACAAAGGGCCCCCCACCCGGGCTTTTATGCCCTCACAGTCTAAGATGACAATCGGGGATGATCAGCTCCTGCTGTGTCCCAATGTCCCTCACTGTGCCCTTTGTTATGGAAAGGCCGGCAGTTCCCGGGCTCTCGATCGTTCCCCTCGGCGGTGCCCGGGATGCTCTTGCAAATCAGCCCCCAGGATCCGATCGGATGGGGTCGGTTTTGGTGTCCTCCACCTCGAGCTCCAGGAGATTCAGGGGGATCACCATCTTTCCCCGGATTTCGGGATCGCCGAGTTTCCACCCCGTTCTTGGGGGCACACGATTCGCTCTCTGAGCGGTGCAGCTGCAGCAGCCCGGGCCCCAAGGAGTTAAAGCGCTGCTGTGTCCCCAGCACCGATAAGGAGCGGCACACAACAGGATGTGGCCGGGAAGGGGGGCACGGGAGATAGGGCAGCGCTGTTCCCGAGGCCAACCTCCTCCTCCGGGCCCGGAGACACAACAAACCCCGCACTAGGGCGGGCTGGGCAGCTCGGCACGGGGGGATCGGGACCACCAAACCCCCCCCGACCCATTTCCAGAAGGGTCCGGGAGGAGGAATCGCGCACACTCCCTGATTTGCATGGGAAGTGGGAAATCTGATCCTGGGGCGGGGAAAACTTACCCATAAAAAGGTGCCCCCACGGCGGCCGGGTGGCATCGCCAGGACCCTGGACACCTTGGACACCGGGATCGGCAGTGGAATCGAACTGGTGATCTTCCCTGACCTCTCCCTCTCCCCTCCTTTCTTTTACTCTTTTATTTCTCTTACTACTAAAAGATGCGGGACTAACTCATCCCGATTTCTTATCCAGTGTGTGATTTACTAATCAAACCTCCTGAGCTCTTTTGGGACCCTCTGGCGTTTGTCGTTGCTTTTGGATCCCGGGCATCTGCACACCCTGGGAGCTCCCCTGCTCTCCGGAGCGGGAGTTGACAGCTGCTCCTTAAACATCCTCCTGCAGAGACTGGTTTTGCTCCAGGTCAGGGTCTCTCAGGGGATCGAGTCTCTTGCAAGGACACGATTTATCCCTTTTACTGATAAGAGGTTGGATTTGTCACCTTGGCGGTGAATAATGGAGGAGCAGCAGCGGCTGAGTCGGGGCAGAGCCTGTTTGGGGTCGGGGCTCCTTCCCTTCTCCTTTAAGGAAACTTTCTTAAAGGGCCTTTTTTTACGTGCTTGTTTCTGCTTAACTTGTGCCAGAATGGTTTTTTTTTTGTTGTTGTTGGCTGGAAATTTCGGGGGGGGGGGGGAGAGGGGTTTAATTAAAATTGTTAAATGCCACCAGTGGTTCCACGGCGGGAGGGGAAGGGAGAGGCGAGGCTGCAGCCGGAGGAGGAACTCTGAGGCGGCTACCGCTCCCCAAATCCCGGCTTTCAGGGCATCTTTGGGAAGAGGCGGGGGTTCGCCTGCTCTCCGGGCGGGGGGGCTCCCACCTCGGGCCGGGACCCGGGACGGTGCATCCCCAGTCCCGCCGCCGGTGCTCAGGGAGGGGTTCCGGTGCTCGGGGGCGGTCTCGGGGCTCGGGGAGGGGTCCCGATGCTCAGGGGGGGTCCCGATGCTCAGGGGGGTCCCGGTATTTCGGAGCCCCACGCGGTCCCGCCGCGCCGTTGCCATGACAACGAGAGGACGCCGCTCCCACTCCCCGCCCCCCTCCCCGTGTGGTCCAATCAGCGCCCCCGCTGCCCCGCGCGCGGGCCAATGGGGATGTGGGACTCTGCCCCCCTCCTTTCGGAGGCCGCTGGGGGGCGGAGCCGGGAGGGCGGTGGGCCAATGGCGTGGGGGCAGCGGCGAGGGCTGGCTTCTGATTGGCTGTTGCCGCCTGGCGCCGCCGCTGATTGGCTGGCGCGGCTTGGCGCGGCTGAGGAGGAGGAGGCAGAAGGCGGCGATGGCGGCGCGGGGTGAGCGATGGTCTCGCCGTGCTTGGGGCCCTGTCCTGCCTTCCCCCTACAGCCCTGTGTGCTGTCCATCTATGCCTTGTCCCCAGTCCCTCTCCAGCTCTCCTGGAGCCCCTTTAGGCCCTGCAAGGGGCTCTCAGGTCTCCCTGGATCCTTCTCTTCTCCAGGGGAACCCCCCCAGCTGTCCCAGCCTGGCTCCAGAGCAGAGGGCCCACATCCCTCTCCTCATCTCTGTGATCTTCTCTGGACTCTCCCCAGCATGTCCCTGCCCCTCCTGTACTGGCACGTGGCCACCAAGGAGTCGATGGTGTCCCAGCTCCGATGGGAAGCACCTGGGGAGGGGATGTGGCTGGAAAAAGGGGGCACACAGAGATGGGGAGCACCTTTCTGGGGCCACTTCCCTGCTGTGCTGCATGGAGATGAACACAAAGTCATTGTCAGTGCAGGACCAAAGGTCCATCCAGTTGTGGATCTCTCAGGTTTTTTTTACTCTTTTATTTCCCTCACTACCAGAAAATAAAGGCAAAAATACCAATTCCCATGCTGAGTGCATAATTTACTGATCAAACCCCGGGAGCTTTTTTTACCCTCTGATCCTTCTTCCTTTCTGATCTACAAACCTTGGGATCTCCCCTCCTCTTCGGAGCGAGATCCAACAAGATCCCTGGATGGTTTTCCCCTGTTTCAGCGCTCCTGTTCAAACATGTCCTCATCTCTGACACGATGGGGGAGCCCTTGCTACACTCCAAACCTTCATTTATTTTTTAATTACTTGTCTCTCAGCCCTTTCCTGAGTTGTGGATAACCTTTGGAGTGTGGGAGGATCCCCCACGGATACACAGATTAAGGAAGCACTGTCTGTGTGCACATCACAGGGGTTGTTTAAATGTAAATCTGCATATTCATGGGGCATTACGCTGATTTTGAAGCGGGTTTGCCTTTCAGATTGTTGAGTTGGAGCAGCTGGGAAAGATTTGGCTCCTTCCAGTGGGGAGCTCCATGCCCCTGGGAATTCAGTGCCACGCTTCCCCTGCCTCACCTCAGCTCTTCCTCTGGGCCAACACCATGTTTTTTCAGACAAATTTAGGCCTGTTTGACCCCGAAGTTGACCAGGAACTCTCCAGACTCCCCTCCTGGCGTGTGTTTCTGGGGCTGAGCTCCCGTGGCCATGGTTTACTGCGCCGCCCTGAACTGCCGGAACGCCACGAGCGGCGCCTACAAGAACAGCTCCGTGACTTTTTATGGGTTCCCCCTGCAAAACGAAGCCCTCCTGCAGCAGTGGATCCACAACATGGGCAGGGACATGGGGACCCCCTCCAAGTACCAGCGCCTGTGCTCGGATCACTTCGAGGAGAGCTCCTTCGAGAGGGACCCCCTGAGCGTGCGCAGGAACAGGAGGCTGCTGAAGGGGGCTGTTCCCAACAGGTTCATCCTGGGCCAGGATGGGAAGTGGCTCGTGGGGACACCCCAGGGCTTCTGCGACGAGATGAGGAACAAAACTCGGAAGCGAATCCGGAGCCCCGACAGCTGGAGGGTAATTGGGGTTGGTACCAGGAATAAATGGAATTAAAGGAAGGGGTTGTGTGTAAAGCCTTGGAAGAGGCTTGGAAAAATATCCTTAGGGGGGCTTAATTAATAATAATATTATTATTCCCTAATAATAAGCTTTTATTATTAGGGAGGAGCTTTTCCAGCCAGTCTGGAACTGCCTCTGGGCTTATTGAAATCACTGAATTATTAAGGAAGAGCCACATTCCCTGAGGGAGCTGGGTGTGGATAATGACCCTGGATATTTTTGACCCAATTGTTTGAAAAAATCATTGTTTTGGTTGAGTCACATAATTTTTAAGGCATTTCACTCATTCTGAAATAACAGTAGAAAATTCCTAATATAAAATCCATTATTATTGTGGTGGTTACACACACAGACACTGCTGGGAGCAGTTGGGTTGTGACCACCAGTTAAGAACCACTGGAAAAAGAGGGTTTTTAGGGATTTACGACTCCCCAGCAGCACTGACTGTTGAACATTTTGGTTTTTAGGTCACTGAGAAGTTTCCCAATGGTGCTAGGGGACTGACTTTGGAAGACTGGCAGAATGAATTTTACAAGACAATCCTAAAGGAGAATTATGGATCTTTAGCAGTGTCTGGAAAAGGTCAGTTTTCCCTCTCCCAAGGGTGACGTGTGCTGGGCCAGACCTGGCTCCTGTCACTCCTCAAATCCCTGGATTTTTAGAGAGTTCACCTTTAGGTGCTTGGGAATCTGTGTGAGAGTCTTCCTTTTAAAGGCTGGAGGATGGGCAGAGGGTTTAGGATCCCTGGGAATGTACATACCAACAAAAACAAGGACAAAGCAGTCCTTCTCACCTTCATCCCACCACTCTTTGAGACACTGGAGCAGCTGCACTGGCTGTTCCCTCCTGGTTGGATTTTCCCTGGAATAACAGAGATGCTCGTTAGACAGTGAATTATGCAGGAAAACAGTCAGAGGAAAATAATAATAACAATCATTTCCATGTTCTTTCTGCTGCTTGTTCAGATTATCCTGTTCCCAAAAGCAAAGTCCCGGTGGGAGAAGCGGCGCAGGTCAAGGCTCAGCAGGGTTTGGAGGCAAGGAAGATTCCTGCCAGCCTCAGCACAGGTATGAGGCTCGTTGGGAATTAACTGGCAACACCTGGAGCCCGGTAGGATTGGAGGGAGGGGGGACTGCAGCCCACCCCTGCTTTTTTTTTTTTACCCAACACGTGGGCTTTTGCACAGGTGCAAAAATCGGGAATTGTTTTTCTTTGGAGATTTATGAATAAAGGGAATGAGATAAAGGGAACATTGGGAATGTTACTGTTCCAGGCTGTGGTGGTGCCATGATCAGATCCCAGCAGCAGAGTGCAGAAGACACACAAGTTCATGGATCATCCTCAGGAGGATCCCAAAACCTGCGCTGGAACGTTCCGGACAAGGGGAAACATCGGAGAGCCACCAGAGTTCCCCAGGCAAGGCAAATCCCGTGGGGAACGGAGGAGGCAGCAGCTCCCCTGCAGAAGGACGAGCCGGTGAACCCAAACAGTCCCCCTGTGAGCAGCAGAGCCATCCCAAGACGCCCGAGGTGCCGTGGTTCATCTGCGCCGAGTGCGGCAAGAGCTTCGCCCGGCACGCCTACCTGCTCCGGCACCGCAGGATCCACTCGGGGGAGAGGCCCCACACCTGCCTGGAGTGCGGGAAGAGCTTCCTGGAAAAGCCCAGGCTCGTTAACCACCTGAGAACACATTTTAATATCATCCACGTGCCGAAGGATTTCGTAGGATAGGTTTTTCCGCTCGGGTGTTGAAAATCCCCCCTCAGTCCAGAGGTGATGGTTTATAGCCCTGTGTGGATTACAGGGGAGCTTTTGGGATAAGGCACTTTGCCTAAATTTAATCAACTTCAGGTTCAAAAGGCATCTGCTGGGTGCCAGTCTAATAGTCATTGATTAGGACCCAATTTTAATTAGTGGCTGGATAATTCCTATCGTGCTCTGTCCATCCCTTCCTGGGAGCAGGAGCTGGGATAGAGCAGCGTTGGCTGTACCCAAATGGGTGTTAAAAAAAACCTGGTGCACCAAACAACATGTGCTGGAGAGCAGCCAGAGTAAGAGAGAAACACTGGAAGTTTTCAGGGATGAAAAACCAAGACTTGGGAATGGGATTGTCCCCCGATAAATTGGTGTTTGAAGTAACCAGTTCCAGGCATTATTTCCCCGTTTTCGGTGCTCTCCCATTGACTGTAACTGCTGAAGTAACTCCGGTTTTGGGTTCTATTTTTATGATGACCCCATGTATTTCCTGTGGGGTGAGATGCTGCTGTGATTCCTGAGATTATGGGAAAAAACCATGGGTATATTCTTAATATGTGTGCAATGTGTTGGTGATGTTCCTTTGGAAAGTGGAAAAAGCAGCGGGGAGAAGGTAAGCAGAGAGAAGGGGGGTCCTGTCACATGTTTTCTCCCCATGGGCTGGTGGTTTTCATCACTTTTGCTTATTCCAGTGAAGTGCCAGGAGGGAAAATGTGTTCCTTCCAGTTGGAGGGATGTGCTCAGTCGTGGACTCCTCTTGGAGTGAAATCCATGGGCTCAGCTGCCCCCGAGGAGCAGCAAAGAGCTGGTGCTGTGGTGGAGTTCTGTAAGTTCTGGAGGGGACTGGGGGAATGCACTTGGCCCCAAAGGAGGTTTAGGTTGGATATTGGGAAAATTTCATCCTGGAGAGGGCTGTCCAGCCCTGGCACAGGCTGCCCAGGGTTGTGGTGGAGTCCCCATCCCTGGGGGGATTTAAGAAGTGCAGATATGCCATTTACAGACATGATTCCGTACCCTGGGCTTTGGGATCACCAAAGCTGAACAGCCCCAAGCAGCTGTGAGTGTTGAAGGCTAAGGACTCAAACAAAAGCAGCAGGTTCTTTGCTGAGCCCAGGTTTTCCCCCAGACAAAGGGGAGGAGATCTTTTGGATGTGTGGTGGTGAAACCTCCGATCCACATAAGGACAGCCCAGGGTGACCACTACAAACCCACCTTTGTTTAGAAATGAGCTGCGTTTGAGCCAGGTGAGGGGAAAGGCTGAAAAGCAGCAGATCCAGGTGGGATAATGGTTTTTATCCTGCCCATGTCCTCCCTCACACCCCTGGCTCAGGTGTGACACTCCCCTGCCAGGGGGGACATTCCCAGGTAGGGCTGGAGGTTTCCATCCCTTCTGATGGGGCACAACTGGCCCAACTACGTTGGTCACATCTTAGAAGGGTCATAAAACATCCAAGACCCCCAAAGTGGCCCCAGACTCATTTCTGGGGTGTTCCCATCTGAACCTGGATCGCTGCCAGAGCCACCGATGCTCCTGCCGACATTGGTGCCCATGCCTGTGCCCGTGCGATGCCGCTGCCAGTGCCAGTACAGGTGGCTGTGTCTGACAGAGCCAGACCCACTGCCAGTGCCGGTGTGGGTGCCCGAGCCAGTACTGGTGCCAGTGGCAGTGCCAGAGCCGGTACTGGTGATGGTGGTGGCAGTACCAGTGCCAGTGGCAGAGCCGCTCCCGGTGGCAGACCTGATGCTGATCCCGGTGCGCGGTGGCAGTACCAGTGCTGATCCTGGAGCTGATCCCGGAGCCGCTCCCGGTGGCAGAGCTGCTCCCGATCCCAGCGATGGAGTGGATCCCGGTGCTGGTCGGTGGTGGCAGTGCCGGTGCCGGTGTCGATGCCGCTGCCGGTGGCGGAGCCGCTGCCGGTGCCGGTAGGCGGCACTGCTCCGCGCTCCGCGCTCCCGCCGCTCCCCGCCCGCTGCCGCCCAGCCCGGAGGAGGCGGATGCGATTCCCCGGCTGCCCGTGGCTGCTCGGCGGGGCGGCGGGGCCCGGCCCGTGCGCAGGCACCGACAGCGGCCCGGCCCCGCGCCCGGCCCCGGCCCCGCTCCGCGCTCTCCCGCCGCCGCCCGGCCCCGGCCCCGGCCCCGGCCCCAGCCCCAGCCCCGGCCGCGGCCGCCGGGCCCGGCCCAGCTCCTCGGGGCCATGGCCGAGTGGGCGCCCGCCCAGGTAAGCGCGGCCCGGGGCACCGACCCCCGGCTGCGGGCACCGGCACCAGGCACCGGCCGCGGGCGGAGCCGCCCCGCCCGCCCCGCTCCCGCCACCACCCGGCCCGGCCCGGCCGGGACGCTCCGGCACCCCCCGACCCGCGGGGCCCCCGCGACCCCCGGCGACGCGACCCGGGGTGGCCCCCGTGCCCCCGGGACGTGACTGAGCACCCCTGACCCGGGATGATCGTGAGACCCCGGGATGGCCCGGGTACCGCTGACCCGGGATGTCCATGTGCCCACGGGGTGCCCCGGGATGCTCCGTGCAGGCTCCAGCCCCGGGATGTCCCCAGGGACCCGACCCGCGATGGCCCCGGTGCCCCCGGGGTGCCCTGGGCACCGCTGACCCAGGATGCCCGTGTGTTCCCAGCGTGTCCTCAGGCACCTCTGCCCCGGATGTCCCCGTGGCCCCGGGATGCCCCAGAGTGCCCCGGGATGCTCCTGCAGGCTCCAGCCCCGGGGATGCCCCGGGCACTCCTGTCCTGGCATGTCCCTGTCTGTCCCCAGGTATCCCCGGGCACCCCTGGTCCACACCTGCCCCTGGCTACTCCCTGTCCTCCCATCTCCATCCTTCTCCCCCACTGGAGTTCCAGCCTGGGCAGGAATGGCTCCCACAGGATGGAGGTCTGGGATGACAGGGTGGGGAGTCACCTGGCTGGCGTCCCACAGGGACAGTGACCCCGTGGCTGTCCTGGTCACTCTCCCCTCAGGCCAGTGGGCATCACACATGGGGGGTCCCTGATGCAGTTCTGGGGGTGCTGGTGGCTGAAAGCCCTAGAAGTGGGGGACAGGGGCTTGGAGGGAGTGACCGTGGGCCTCGTCCCACTCGTACCCTCCCCACGGCGCAGGTGCAGGAGTGGAACATGGAGGCCCCTCACCTGATGCCGCTGCAGCCGCCGCTGCTGCCGGAGCGGGCGCACGTGCGGGAGGCGCAGCTGCACTCGGCAGAGGCCTCGCTCTGGACCGTGGTGGCCACGGTGCAGGCCATGGAGAGGAAGATCGACCTCCTGGCCACCCGCCTGCTCAGCCTGGAGGGCCGCTCCGGCACGGCCGAGAAGAAGCTCCTGGACTGCGAGAAGACGGCCATGGAGTTCGGGAACCAGCTGGAGAGCAAGTGGGCCGTGCTGGGCACCCTCATCCAGGAGTACGGGCTGCTCCAGAGGCGCCTGGAGAACGTGGAGAACCTCCTGAAGAACAGGAATTTCTGGGTGCTGCGGCTGCCCCCCGGCCCCCGGGGCGAGGTCCCCAAGGTAAGGGCTCCCAGGGGGCTGCAGGACAGGGGCAACCTCAGTTTCCCTGAGGAGCAGGCGCCACTGAGCCGTGGGGACGTGTCCCCGCAGGTGCCGGTGACGTTTGTTGACATCGCCGTCTACTTCTCGGCGGAGGAGTGGAAGAACCTGGAGGAGTGGCAGAAGGAGCTGTACAACAACCTAGTGAAGGAGAACTACGAGGCTTTGCTCTCCCTGGGTAAACATTCCCTTTTCCCCCTTTCCTGGCAGGCTACATCTCCCTGCAGGGTCCCCAGCGTGGGTGGTGGCACTCGCTGTTTCCCTGGGACCACCCATTTTGGAGGGAACGCTCCATGGCTTGTGTGGGGACAGGGTGACATGCCATGCCATGGGGGGCAGTCCCTGCTACCCCAGGGGGCTGTAGAGGGTCCTTGTCCCCCAAAACCGAGGGCTTGAGCCTCCAACATGGAGGTCCTGTGGGGTTTAGGCGGGTTCTGTGCCAGGAGGGACGCCGGCACAAATGTGTCCCCTGCGTGTCCCCTGCGTGTCCCCCTGTGTCTGGGTGACAGGGAGGCTGTGCCGGGCACAGCCCCGGTGCCATCAGTGCTGTGTCCCCACAGACGGTGCCCTCTCCAGGAGTGAGGCTCAGCCCCGCAGTGAGCGCGGGGAAGGGCCCTGTGTCCCCGAGCAGCGGGAGCTGGAGCAGCGGGAGCTGCCACCGGACGCCTGCGCAGGTGAGGCATGGCAGGAGGAGCCCACTGTCCCCCACCTCCTGTTCCCCCACCCTGCCCACCCCAGGGATGCCTCTCCTCCTTCCCCAATGGTCCTGTCCCCGCTGGGCCCAGTTTCCCAGCTGTGACTGGGAATTACCATGAGTGACCCCAGAACATCCCAATGACTGATGCACCGGGGGTCTTGGGAGATCCATCACTGGGAGATCCACGTGTCCCCCACTGCCACCACGTTGTGTCAGAGCCTGTAGGCTGTGTCACAGCCACCCACAGTCACCCAGCCCCACTGGCCCTGTGGTTTTCTCCTGTCTCCAATGGTCTGTGCCTCAGTCATCTGTTCCCAATGGGCTGTGCCAGAGTCATCTGTTCCCAGGGGTTGTGCCACAGTCACTTATCCCCAAGGGCTATCTCAGGGTCTCCCATCCCCATGGGACATCTCAGGGTCACCCATCCCCAAGGACTGTCCCACAGTTACCCATGCCTAAGGACTGTCCCCCAGTCACCTGTCCCCACAGCTACCTGGGCGTGTTTGATGCCCCACAACTGCTGTGGGACGGGGAAGTTCCACTCAGCTGGAGCCCAGGGGTCCCACACCCTTAGTGGCCGTGGGTCACACAGTGAGGCCACATCCAGCCCCTGGACAAGTCTCTCCTCATGAACAGAGTCGCTGATCTCCACCTCCGACATCCTGTCCCGGATCAAGCAGGAGGTGGCCTTTGTGGGGGAGCAGCAGTTCCCGGAGGAGCGGGGGATGCCCCCGGACCCCTGTGCAGGTGAGCCCGGGGCTGAGCCACCCTGGCCCTGCTGCCTGTTGGAGCTGTTCCCTCCCCATCCTCCTGGAGCAGGATGTGGCCCGGCGTGGCTAAATCTCCGTTCCTGCAGGCGCGGACGCCCTGATCACTGCGCACGACTTCTTGTCGTGGATCAAGCAGGAGGAGGAGCCCTGTGTCCGTGAGCCCTGGGAGCTGCCGGACAGGGAGATGCTGCCCCCGGGTCCTGGTCCTGGTGAGCGATGCCCCACATGGGGCCGGGATGGGGCTGGGGCAGGGGGAGCACGGCCCACCAGGCTGAGCTGTGACTCGGGCCGCAGCTTGGGGGGCGCTGACCAGTTTCCCGTCCTCCGCAGCCGGCGAGGGGCTGCTGGTGAAGACGGAGGAGCGGTGCCCCCACGCCGAGCCCCCCGAGGAGGTGGGTTTGCCGGGCGGCTCCGGGGAGCTGCTCTTCCCCGGCACGGGCTTCGGGACCCCCGAGGGACAGGCGGCGGTGCCAGCGGCCGTGGCTCTGCCGGCGCAGCACAGACTGGGCAAAGCTCCGGGCCCCGAGCCGGGCCCGGGCGCCGAGAGCGGGGCGGTCCCCGCGGCGCCGCCGGGACCCGCCGAGGAGCGCCCGCACGGCTGTGCCGAGTGCGGGAAGAGCTTCAGCGGGAAGAAGAGCCTGCGGATCCACCAGCGCAGCCACGCGGCCGAGCGGCCCTACCCCTGCGCCGAGTGCGGCAAGAGCTTCAATTGCCACTCGGGGCTGGTGCGGCACCAGATGATCCACCGCGGGGAGCGGCCCTACAAGTGCTCCGAGTGCGGCAAGTGCTACAGCCGCAAGGAGCACCTGCAGAACCACCAGCGGCTGCACACCGGGGAGCGCCCCTTCGCCTGCGCCCAGTGCGGCAAGAGCTTCATCCGCAAGCAGAACCTGCTCAAGCACCAGCGCATCCACACCGGGGAGCGCCCGTACCAGTGCCCGGCCTGCGGCCGCAGCTTCCGCTACAAGGAGTCCCTCAAGGACCACCAGCGGGTCCACGGGGCCGAGGCGGGGCCGCCCCCGCTGCCCCCGCCCGGGATCATGCCCCCCGGGGATTAGGGGTCCCCCCGCCGCGGACTGACACCCCCCGGGACGGGGACAGGCACCGGCCACGCAGCTTCCCACCAAATCGAGGTGCCCGGCCGGGGCGGGGGCGCGCGGGGACCCCCGGGGGGGTCGTGCACCCCCCGGTCCCCCGCCGTGGACGGACACTTCGGCCCCCAGCGCTCCCCCCACAGACAATGCCGCTGCACGGGGTTGGGAGCAGCCCCTCCGCCGTGCCCCCCGCGCCACCCCCCGCCTGCCGCTCTGTCCCCCGGCCCCCGCTGCTTATTTTTACTGCCCCCCGCCCCCCGTCCCGCTGTACAGTGCTTGGGGTGTAGTTTTGTATGGACGAAGCGATCCGGAATAAAGTCGTGCTGGGCTGCAGCGCCTTCACCCCAAACCCCGCGGGGTCCCCCGGGGTCTGCGGCCGCTCCTGCCCCGCCCGGGGGTCCCGCACCCCGGGAAGGCAGCGGCAGCAGGGTGGGGAAGGGGGAGTATCGTGGTGGGACACGGGACACGTGGGAATGGGGGAGCTGGGGGTGTGGGGGCTGTGGGATGTCCCCGTGTCACCGGCTGTGGTGGGGCTGTGGAGACCCCCAGAGCAGGGAGGTGCTGCACCCATGGGTGACACTGCTGGGAAGGGAAGGACACGGAACACTGCTCCAGGGAGTGCGTGCACATGTGTGTCTGTGTGTGTGCTCACATGTGTGTCTCTGTGTGTGCTCACGTGTGTGTCTCTGTGTGTGCTCACGTGTGTGTCTGTGTGTGTGCTCACATGTGTGTCTGTGTGTGTGCTCACGTCTGTATGTGTGCTCACGTGTGTGTCTCTGTGTGTGCTCACATGCAGCATGTCTGTGTGTGCTCACATGTGTGTCTCTGTGTGTGCTCACATGTGTGTCTGTGTGTGTGCTCACGTGTGTGTCTGTGTGTGTGCTCACGTGTGTGTCTGTGTGTGTGCTCACATGGGTGTCTGTGTGTGTGCTCACATGCATGTCTGTGTGTGCAGTGTCTATGTGTGCTCACATCTCTGTGTGCTCACGTGTCTGTGCTCACACATCTGTGAGTGCTCATGTGTGTCTGTGTGTGCTCACACGTGTCTGTGTGTGCTCACCTGTGTGTCTGTGTGTGCTCACACCTGTGTGTCTGTGTGTGCTCACACGTGTCTGTGTGTGCTCACACGTCTGTGTGTGCTCACACCTGTGTGTCTGTGTGTGCTCACACGTGTCTGTGTGTGCTCACACGTGTGTCTGTGTGCTCACACGTGTCTGTGTGTGCTCACACCTGTGTCTGTGTGCTCACACCTGTGTGTCTGTGTGTGCTCACACGTCTGTGTGTGCTCACACCTGTGTGTCTGTGTGTGCTCACACATATTCACACCCCAGCCCTGGTGTGTCGAGCTCCCTGGAGTCAAGAGTGCCCTGAGTCTCCCCATGCACCTGATCCCCCCAACCCACAGCCCCCCGCTTCTCAAACCCTTTCCTGCATCTCCACTTCCCAACATTTCTCATTTTTCCTGCCTTTCCTGAGGCTCTGGGGCTGCCTCCAAGGTCTCCCCAGGGCACGAGCCCAGCACCCACCTCCCTGCACCCCTAAACCCTTCTGCAAATCATGTGAATTGGCTGAACCTGCCCCTCCTGTTCTCCATCCCCAGGTCCCTCCTGTCCCCTGTCACTGACCCATCCCCAGGTCCCTCCTACCCTTGATTTGGGGATATTTCACTCCATTTTTTCACTGCAGCCATGGGAAGCTGTGGCCCTTCCCCAGGCACCCCCTGGTCCCCAGCTGGGTGTCCCTGTCCCCCTCGAGGCCCCAAACAGAGCCGGGTGACCCAGCAAGTGCCACAGCTCCTGCTGCCCCACTGCCCCTCCCCGGGGGCTGCCCCCACCTGCCCCATCCCAGGCAGGGGGGAAGGAGCTGGCACCGAGCAGGACGTGGCAGGTGGGGTGTCCCCATGTCCTGGGGGGCTGGAGGGGGGGACACAGCACAGGAGGGGCCCAGGGCTCGGCAGTGCTGTCACCCCGATGTGGGCTGGGGATGGAGGGGGCAGAGGGTATGACACTGGGGTGCCCTGGGGACACTGCACAATCCTTGGGGACACTGCACACTGCTGGGGACACTGCAAGTTGTTGGGGACCGTGCACACATCCTGGGGACACTGCACAACCCCTGGGGACTTCACACGCTGCTGGGGGACACTGCCCGGGGTCACTGCACAATGCCCAGGGACCCCACGTGCTGCTGGCAACCTGGGACACTCCCTGGGGACACTGCGTGTTGCCCAAAGCTCTTTACACAATGCGAGGGACCCTCTGCACCGCCTGGGGACCCCAAACACTGCTGGAAACCTTGGGCAACTCCCTGGGGACACTGCACACTCCTGGGAACCTGGCAGGCTGCCTGGGCACACTCACACTGCTGGGGACCCCAAACATTGCCTGGGCACCCCTAACACTGCTGAGGACCCCAAACCCTCCTGAGGACTATCCTCACTGCCTGGGGACCTCAAACACTCCTGGGGACCCTGAACACTGCTGAGGACTCTCCACATTGCCTGGAGACCCCAGACACTCCTGGGAACCTTCCACGCTGCCCCTGCAGGCCCCCCCCACCAAGCTGTACATGCCATCACCCCTCTCCAGGTCCACAAAGGCAGACAAAGTTCCCAGTTCCAAGCCCAGATCCTGCTCTCCCGAGGCTGATCCTGGGTGCTGGGCTCCCCCATAGCAGTGGGGTGAAGCTCAGAGCCACCAAGGTCATTTGTCCCACGTCCCTGTCCCTGTTCAGGGCTGCGCCAGGCAGGGCCATGGGACAAACAACCCCCCGGCCCAGCTCCCGCCCCTACACAGAGATCACACATGAAAAAAAAAAAAAAAAAAGTCTTTTCTGTTTGGATTTTTTTTTTTTTGGAGGCTTTTTTTTTTTTAACAGAAGTTTTATGGTTATATGCAAATTAGTTCATTAAATGATTTGCATAAAATGTTCGCACGTCAGCGACTAAGTGTTCCTAACTCCCCACCCCCCGGAAGGTAGTAAATCCTACTCGACTATGGGCGTCACGCCGCCCCGGCGACACCCACGCGTGTCCCCCGCGGGCTCGGCGTGACCTCGGGGCGCTCACACGCCTCAACACGCGTGTGGGGGACACGTGCCTGGTGCATCGGAGCACAGGGCACGGCACCGGCCACCTGTGTCCCCCCGTGTTCCCCCGCACCTCCCCGCGGAGCAGCGCCCGCACGCGCCGTCCCCGGGGCCGGGCACCCAGCGTGTCCTTGGCGGGCCGGCGCTCGGCCCGTCCCTAGCTGTTGGTGAGGAACAGGCGTCTGTGTCTGGAAGCGGAGCCACGTGGCCGCCCGCGGCGCCGGCCCCGGCCACGGCCACCGAAGGGGCTCCGGCTGGGCACGGCGGCGTCCGCCCACGCGGCGCTCTCGCTCGGCGGCTCCGGGAAGCCGGGCTCGACTTTGGGCTGCTCGAGGAGCGGGCTGGGGTCGCGGCGGGGCTCGGGGGGCGGCGGCGCCGGGCTCTGGCGGGTGCTGGATCGCTCCTGGCGCAGGTAGCGCAGCTCGTCCCGGATGTCCGTGAGGACGCCGAGCAGGCGGAACTGCAGCTCCCGGTCGCGCGCCCGCTCCTCGCGCTGGGTGGCCCGCTCCTCCTGCCACATGGCCAGCTCCTGGTGGTACAGCTGGTCCCACTGCTCCTCCAGGTCGAGCAGGTGATGGATGCTAGTCCTCCAGCTGTCCCGGCGCTCCTCGCGCAGCCGGGAGCAGCCCAGCCCGCGCGGGGGGCCGGGGGCGGCCGGGGCGTCTCCGGGGGGGGAGGCGGAGGAGGGCAGCGATTCCTCGGTCAGGGCGCCGTGGAGCGGGGAACGGGCCGGGGGCTCCTCGTCCGCCGGGGCCTTCTCCCAGGTGGGCCCCATCAGTACCCTGGGCAAGGCGCCCATCTCGGGGCCCGGGCCCCCCGCCTGCTCCTCGGGATGCGCCGAGTCCATCCCGCGGCCCAGGGCGGGCAGGTCGGACACCCCCTCGTGCCCCCAGTCCGAGTGAGCGTCCGCGGGGTTCAAGGAGTCCTCGGGTAGGGAGGTGACGGAGCCCTGGGAGCTGCAGCGGCGGATCAGCATGGCCTGGCGGGACAGCTTCATGTCCTCCTCCGCAGACATGGGGGCCTCGGGCCCCGGCTGCATCCCCGCGGCCCCGCCGTGGCCACGCTCCACCTCCCGGCCCTCCCGTTCCTCCTCCTCCGACATGGAGGCGTAGGAGACCAGGGACTCGTTCCGCAGGGACGGGGAGATGGCCGACACGTCTGGAGTCCGCAGCTCCGGCCCCGACTCGGCTGGAAGAGAAGAGGAAACCTCTGGTGAGACCCAGCGCTGGCCCAGCCCCTGGGGCCCTCACTGACACACAGATCCCAGTGGATCTCCATCGTGACTCCATTGGCAGTGGATCTGCAACCAAATCTGCTGCCAGCAGATCTCCATCCTGACCCTGTGGTCTCCATGCAGACCTCACTCCCAGTAGATCTCCATCCTGACCCCGTCACCTCCATCCAGATTCTGCTCCCAGCGGATCTCCATCTGGACTCAGTGGATCTCCATCCAGACCCAGAGGATCTCCACCCAAACCCCACTCCCAGCGGATCCCCCCTGCTCATTCCCACGTACCGGAGCCGGCCTGCCCCTCTCCTCGGCCGTAGTCGGTGCCGCCGGCGGGGTCGGGGCTCTGTCCCGGCAGCCGCGGCGCGGCCGAGCCCTCCACGTCCGGCAGGGCCGAGGGCTGCCCGTTGGTGTCGATGTAGATGCTGGGGTGGCTCACGCCGGGCTGCAGGTGCATGAAGGGCTGCTTGGACGCGCCAGGGAAGAACAGATCTGTGGGACACACGGGATCCGGCCTCAGCCCGGGGGGACGCGGTGGCACCGAGGCACAGACACCCTGTACGGCCATCCCGTGTGGTCACCATCACCATCACCTCCCCAGCACCACCCTGCACCCTGAGGGCTGGCAACCTTTAATGCCACAGAATCACAGATCAAGGGATCATGGAATACCCTGAGTTGGGACGGACCCCCAAGGATCATCCAGTCCAACTCCTGGCCCCGCACAGGACATCCCAATAATCCCACCCTGTCCCTCAGAGCACTGTCCAAACCCTCCTTGAGCTCTGGTAGCCTTGGGGCTGTGCCCACTGCCCTGGGGAGCCTGTTCAGTGCCAACCACCCTCTGGGGGAAGAGCCTTTCCTGATATTCAACCTAACCCTGCCCTGGCACAGCTCCAGCCATTCCATAGGACTTCCTTCAGCCTAGAGATCTCCTGCTTGGCAAATGATGCATGTCTGGTCCACATTGACCAAGCCCTGAAATGCCCCCAGTGGAATCAGAGGGGCCACACTGGGATCAAAGAACACCAAATTAAAGAAAGAAGAACAAAAAAGATGCGCTTCTGCAAAGTTTGAGAAGTTCCTGCTGATCCTATTGATCTGGCACAGGTTGCCCAGAGAAGCTGTGACTGCCCCATCCCTGGAAGTGTCCAAGGCCAGGTTGGATAGGGCTTGGAGCAGCCTGGGATAGTGGAAGGTGTCCCTGATGATTGCCAGGGGGCTGGAACAAGATGAGCTTTAAGGCCCCTTCCACCCCAAACCATCGCATGACTTCTGTGACTCGTGATCCCGGGTTATTTCCACAGCGGGTTGTTAATCCCAGCACATTCAGTTCCCACCCCTGGCAGTTTGGTACTTGGGCACAACAGGACCACGGCTCTGCTGGGTGCCGTAATCCCAGCACAGACCCCAAAATCTCCTTCCAGAATCCATCACGGAACACCGACACTCGGCAAACACCAGACCTCCCCCATGGAGTACAGCAGGAATGCCGACGCTCCACCCCCCCTGTGCCCGGAGCCCCAGCGCCACTGACCCGGGTCCAGGATGATCTCGGGCTCCGAGTCGTGGCTGGCCTGCAGGAAGGTGGAGGCCACCATCTTCTCCAGGGGCGTGAGGCGCGGCTTGTGGAGCGGCCCCCCGGCGCGGTTCATGGGCAGGTGCTTCTTGGAGGTGATCTTCTTCTTGACGTCCAGCCGCAGGTCGCGCCACTTGTGCTTGAGGTCGTCGATGGAGCGCTCGGTGTAGCCCAGGAAGTTGACGCGGCTTTGGATTTGGGTCCAGAGCTGCTTCCGCCGCACGGGGTGAGCCCGCAGGGCCTCGGACCCGTACAGGGCGCTGAAATGCCGGACCACATTCCAGACCAGCGTCTCGGTCTCGTCATTGGAGAAGTTGGCCTTCCTCTTCCGGCCAGACGCTGGCATCGCCTGCGAGGCTGCGGCAGAGGTGGAAGGGGCACAATTGAACCTCGGTCCCCACTCCTCTCTGTCAGCTCCGGGGGGGAACAGGGGGCTGCGGGAGCCCGAGGGAGCCGCGGAGGAGGGAGCCGAAGCAAGAGCCCCGGAGGCATCCATGGCATGGGAGGCTCGGGCCGGGGAGGATCTAAAGAGCCGCTTCGGCGCAGCACGCGGCGCGGGCGCACCGCATCCCCTCGCCCCGGCTCGGGAGCACCTGGGAGGGGAGAAAAGGAAAGGGCAGCGGTGGGTGGTGGCAGCGTGGGGTGACGGCGAGGGGGCCCCCGGCTCTCTCCAAGCAGAGGCACCCGGGAGCCCCCAGCCAGCTGCCACGGGGGCCACGGAGAGGGACGTGGCCGTGGAGAGCGCTGGGACTGCGGTGAGGGGTGGTGGAGAGCGCCTCGGCCACAGCTCATGCTGCAGCTGCCTCAGAGGGTGCCGAGGAGCACCTCAGGGCCAGGCTGAGGGTGGTGGGGGGCACCTCACGGCCACGGTGAGGGTCTCATGGCCATGTTGACCATGACGGGGAAAGCCTCGGACGTGAGGAGCGCTTGAGGTTCCCAGCAAGGGCCTCGGGGCCACGGCACTGACCGTGACCTTAAGGACAGGTCACTGGGCCAGGCAAAGGCCTTGGCCACGGGGAGCACCTCACGGCCATGGCGAGGACCTCAGTCAAGGCAGGCCTTGCCAAGGGTCTTGGCCATGGTGAGAACATCAAGAGCCCAGTGAGCACCTCAGGTTCCCGGTGAGGACCTTGGGGTCATGGTGAAGCCCAGAGCCATGGTGAGAGCCTCAGGGCCACGGCACAGGCGTTATGGAAGGCCTTGGCCATGGTGAGCACCTCGAGCTCCCAGTGAGGATCTTGGCACCATTGCAGTGATCAAGGCCACGGCAAGTGTTGCAAGGCCATGACAAAGACCATGACGAAGGTCTTGGCCACGGTGAACACCTGAAGATCCCCATGAGGATCTTGGGGACATGGCAAAGACCTTGGCCACGCTGAAGGCCTTGGCCACAGTGAACACCTCAAGTCCCCCATGAGGACCCCAGGGCCGTGGCAAAGACCTTGGTCGTGTTGAAGACCTGCAGCTCCCAGTGAGGACCTTGGGGCCACCACAGCAAAGTCCTTGGCCATGGTGAAGACCCCAAGCTCCCTGTGAGCACCTCAGGACCACGTCAAGAACCTTGGCCGTGGCAAGGGCTGCAAAGCCATGAAGAAGACCTTGGCTATGATGCACACCTGGGCCAGGGGTCACGGTGCACACCTGGGCCAGCAGTGCACCCCTCCGGCTCCCGGCGAGGACCTCGGGACCGCAGCAAAGCCCTCCACCGGGGCGCCCACCCCAACCTCCCACGGCCCCCCGACCCCGGGAGCACAGCGCGGACCCCGCACAAAGCCCCCAGCCCCGCCGTGCCCCCGCCGTCCCTGCCGAGCCCCTCCCCACCCCCTGAGCCCCCGAGCCCGGGCAGCGCCCACCCCGCGGCCTCGGGGCGCCCTGGGATGGGGCGGGGGCTGCGAGCGGCACCCCTCGGCTTTGTTCGCGCTGCTCTTCCCGGGGACAAAGCGGCGGGGCCGGTGCTCGCCCGGCGGACCCCCCCATCCGGGATCCCACTCGGGGGCGCGGGGCAGGCACCGGCCCTGCTCCAGCCCTCCTGCCGCGCCGCAGCGCCCCGGCCCGGGGCATCGCTTACCTGTGCCGGGGCGGGCTGTGGGGCGGGGGCGGCGGCAGGGCCCCGGCGGCGGCGGGAGGGGGCTCAGGTCCGGCGGCGGGTAATGGCTCCCGCCTCGGCGGAACTCGCCTTCATTTCCTCCGAGCGCCGGCGCGGGCCCTGCGCGACCGAGCCGCCCGTGGGCCCCCCCTGCTGGTCCCGCCGTGGAGGGACGGGGGGCGGGGACGGCGGCGGGGGACGGGGGACATCCCTCCGGGATGGGGCATCCCTGCGTCCCGCCCCCGAGCGGCCTGCGGGTACCGCCGTGCGGGTGGACCCCCGTGGGGATCCCGCCGGCATGGGGCATCCCTGCATCCCGCCCCCGAGCGGGCTGCGGTACCCACGCGATGGTGTATCCCCGTGGGGATCCCCCGTGCACCCTGCCCCTGCATCCCCCTCACCCTCTCCTGGATGCTGCGTGTACGCCCGTGGTGGTGCATCCCGGCGGGAATCTCGCCGGGATGGTCCATTCCTGAGTCCCACCCCCCGGGGGGCTGCGGGTATACCTGTGGTGGTGTATCCCTGTGGGGTTCCCTCCCCCCCATTTCACCCCGTCCCTGCCTCCCCTTCCCCCTCTCCTGGGTGCTGAGTTTACCCCTGTAATGGTGTATCCCCCTGGGGGTTCTCCCATGCAACCCATAACTGCACTCCCCCCTCCGGGTCCTGCTTGCCCACCTGTGACTGTGCATCCCTGTGGGGATCCCCCTGCTGCACCCCACAAATGCATCCCTCCCTCCCCGGGTGCTGCTTGCCTGGCACCTATGGGGAGATGGCACAGGTTGGGGTGCTGTGGGGGCCCAGGAGCAGCAATGGTGTCCTCAGGGCAGGGGAGGGGAGGTTTGGGGTTGGGTGTGGGGTGGTCCCGCTGCTCCCAGCAGATGTGAGGGTAAAATACAACATCCACCAGCCGTGCTCCACTTCGCTGAATTCCAGCCTTTTAATGCCTGTAACGCTCCGGGCACCACGTGGTGACAGCAGCCGGTGGCACCTGGTCCCTCTGTGGGAAGGAGCCACTGTCCCTACCACGGGGACACCCCAGCACCACCCCACATACCCCCACAGCAAACACAACTACCCCACTCAGGGCAAATTCCCGCCGGCAGCAGCTCCACACCCATTCCCTTTGGCTGCAGCAGCCACCCCTCTGGAGAAGGTTCTGGAACCAGGTTTGTGCCCCTGGCACTGCCCCATGGGTGACACCCAGAGCGCGGTGGCTCTGCAGCCCCCACGCACGGTGACCCCACGGGGCCACGCAGACCCACAGCAAACCCCACGGCACAACTGCAGGGCACGGTGGCCAGGCCGGGCCGGTGACAGCCCCGGTGAGCACCGGGCACGAGTGGCTCTGGGCATGGCCAGACGCCCCCTCACTGCCTGGGAGGGGTGTCCCCACGGAGGGCTCGCCCGGCGCCGGCCGACACCATGTGCACCGCGTCCTCCAGCTCGTAGAAGGCCTGGAAGAGGTCTGGCGAGGTGGCCTGGCACTCCAGGTACCGCCGCAGCGTGGCCAGGCTCCTCCAGACCTCCCGCTCCGAGGGGCAGGGCGGCACGGCCGCCAGCTCTGCCCCATCCTCGCCCTCCGCCATCCCCTCGTCCCCGTCCGCCCCCGCCAGTTCCCCGCCGCGCTCCAGCTGCTCCCGGCCCAGCGCCCCGTGTGCCGGGCTGAGGGACGCGGCCTCGGCACCGGGGGTGAAGCCGGCGGCACGGAAGCAGCTGGCGATGAGCCCCGGGGACACGTCCCCCCAGGCCTGCGCCAGCATGTGCAGCACGTCCAGCAGGGTGGGCTGGCCCGCGCCGCGCTCCACCGGCAGCCACCGCAGCAGCCGGCGCCGGTAGTGGCCCTTGAGGTCGCCGGCGATGCCGCGGTCCAGGGGCTGTGCCAGGGCGGCGGCCAGAGGGACGAAGACCATCCTGACGTTGGACAGCTGGAGGTAGGGGTGCGCCTCGTGCTTGGCGAGGAGCAGGAGGACCCTCTTGCCCTGTCGCCGCATCCCCTCGTTGAACTCCTGCAGCCACTCGGCAAAGAGCGGCGCGGTCAGGCCGCCCGGGCTGCCGGCGCGGTAACTCCACGGCATCTGCTCCAGGTTGACGCCGCGCAGGCAGCGCGGCCGGGGGCTCTCGCCCAGCGCCCGCAGCGGCAGCTTCTCAGAGCCGCTGGCGTTGGCGCAGAGCAGCAGCGTGAGCCGCTCGCCGGGGCAGCCGGCCGGGAGCGGCACCGCAGCCTCCCCGCAGGAGAAGATGTCGGAGGGCGCGTAGCCGCGGAGCAGCGCGGGCAGCACCGTGCCGGCCCAGTGCTCCGCCGGCGGCTGCTCCGCGTCCCCCTTCTCTGCCGGCGGCTTCTTGAAGGCCGCGACACGTGCCAGCCACCCGCCGCTGTGCTCGGGGCCGGGCCGGCCCAGCGCCCCTGCCAGCTGCCTGGCCCTGAGCTGCAGCAGCGGGCGGCCCGCGGGCAGCTCGGCGGCGCGGGCGCCCTCCACCCAGCGCAGCAGCGCGGCCTCCAGCGCCCCGTCCTTGCCCTCCCGCTTGCGCTTGCGCTCGGGGTCTCCGCTGCGCTGCCACTCGCTCAGGATGCGCTCCTTGTTCTTGATGATGCGGCAGATCTGGGGCTGCGACACCCCGAAGCGCTTGGCCAGCTCGCTCTGCGACACCTTGGGGCCCTCCAGCATCTCCAGCACTCGCACCTTCTCCGTCAGCGACAGCTCCTTGCGCTCCTTGCGCGGTGCCACCGCGGCCCCCTCGGCCGTTCCTGGGGCACGGCCGGCACAGGGAGCTGGGCGGTGGGTGCTGCCCGTGGCCCCCAGCCCCGCCGGCTCGGCGAGGCCCCCGTCACAGCGGCCGCAGGCGTAGCCGCGCTCCAGACCACGCACCAGCCGGTGCCGCACCAGGTCCGGCTTCTGCCCCACGCCCCGGCCGCACTCGGGGCACTCCAGCGGCGGCTCCCCCGGCCGGCAGCGGTGGCTCTCGAAGGCGGGGAGGGAGGTGATGAACGCCCCGGTACCCGCACCGGGATTCAGCTCCGGCTCGGCGACGCCGCAGTAGCTGCAGCCCTGCTCCCGCAGCGGGACGAGGAATTCGGTGGGGCCCGTGTGGAGGGCCGGGGGGGAGCAGGGGGGTGGGGACACCCCCTCCTCAGTCTTCACCTCCTTCCCCAGCCAGTCCCCTGTGGAGACAGGAGTGCGCTGCGGAGGGCCCTCCTCACCGGGATTGCCATGGCTTGGTAGGATCCGACCCATCACCCGATCCCTGTTCCCAATCCCATCTGCCCCCCTGTCCCGCTCACCCTGGGAGGGGCCGGCGGGTGTCGCACGTGGCCGGGGGCTCTGGTGCTCCCCGTAGCGCCCCACGGCCACCTCCACCACCTCGTCCCCTCGCTCCACCTCGGCCAGGATGTCGGGTTTGGTGACGGCGTAACCTGTCACGGAGACAAGGGGAGGGATGGCCGGTGATGCCACCGGAGATGCAACTGGTCACAACAGGCCGGTGTTCACATCCCCCACCACAGCTGTCCGTGGTCCCGCGGTGGCCCCGGAGCCACGCCGTGACCTCCTGTTCCCAGTGAGCGCTGGCCGCGCTCACGGCCGGGACACGACCGGCAGCACCGGGACCGGTGCCGGGATAGATCGGGCGCCTCACCCAGGTCGACGGGATGCTGGCGGTCCTCCTTCATGGCACCGGCCTCGTCCCGCTCCTCGGGGAGGCGCGGGAGCGCCTGCTCCAGGTGCCGCTGCCGGTCCCGCTCCCGCCGAGGCCTCCCCGGTGGGCGGGGGGTTCAGTGATGCCGCACCGGGATGACGGCGCGCGGGATGACGGGCGACGGGACGCGGCGAGGGCGGTGCCCGTGGCGGGGGCGGCGAGCCCCGTCGGGCCGCGGCGGCGGTGCCGCACCCGTCCCCGTCCGTGTCCCCGTCCGTGTCCCCGTCCGTGTCCCCCTCCCCGTCCCCTCCCGGTGCCGCCGCCGCCCCCGCCCCGCGCGCGGCCCCGCCATAGGCGACGCCGGGAGCGGCGCGACCGCCCTGCCGGCGCCCGCCCAGCGCGCGGTCCGCCCGCCGCCCCGCCCAATGGGCACGCGGTCCGCCCGCCGCCCCGCCCAATGGGCGCGCGGTCCGCCCGCCGGCGGGGCGCCGCGGCGGTGCCGGCGCTCCCAGCGCGCCCCGCGCCCTCGGCATGGCCGCCCCGCCCCGCCGCTGCTGAGCCGCCGCCGCCGCCGCCGCCCGCAACCCCGCGCTCCCGCCCCGCGCCGCCCGCACCGCCCGCGCCGCCCGCGCCGCATGGCCGACTGGGCCCCCGCTCAGGTAAGCGCTGCCCGGCCCCTCCGCCCCGCCGCCCGCCGCCTCCCCCGCCGCCCCGGCCCTGCGTCCCGCCCCCCCCCGCCACGGGTGCGGGAGCGTCCCCGCGCTGAGCGCCGCGCCGTCCCCGCAGGAGCTGGAGAGCATGATGGAGTCGCAGGAGCTGGGCCTGGAGCAGGCGCTGGCCGCCCCCGAGCAGGGCCCCGGCGGCGAGGCCGAGCTGCCCGCCGCGGAGATCTCCCTGACGCTCGTCACCGAGATCCAGGCCGTGGACAGGAAGGTGGACACGCAGGCGGCCCAGCTGATGAACCTGGAGGGCAGGATGAGGATGGCCGAGACGAAGCTGATCGGCTGCGAGAAGACGGCGGTGGAGTTCGGGAACCAGCTGGAGAGCAAGTGGACGGCGCTGGGCACCCTCATCCAGGAGTACGGGCAGCTGCAGAAGCGCCTGGAGAACATGGAGAACCTGCTCAAGAACAGGAACTTCTGGATCCTGCGGCTGCCCCCGGGGGCGAAAGGGGAAGTCCCCAAGGTAACGGTCCGATGCTCCCCGATGCTCCCTGCTGCAAAACCGGGCTGCTCTGCACATCTGCTGGGCTAGAGCCCCGTGCCCTCTGCTCACAGACCCATAGCCTGGGCTCACAGCCCCATGTCCTGCGCTCACAGCCCCATATTCTCGCTCACAGCCCCATGTCCTCGCTCACAGCCCCGTGCTCACAGATCCACATCTTGCACTCACAGCCCTGTGCCCTGTAGAGCCCCATGCCCTGTGCAGCCCCGTGCCCAGCACTCAGAGCCCCCAGAGGCTGCATTCCCAGCCCTGTGCCCTGCACTCACAGCTCCATACCCTGCGCTCAGCCCTGTGTTCTCTGGCCCATATCCTGCACTCCCAGCCCCACAGCCCTGCACTCCCAGCCCGTTTTGGGGCAGCTGCAGTGCTGAGCAGCAGTTCCCCCACAGCAGTGCCTTTCCTTCAGCCCTGGGTGAGAAGCACCAGCACAGGTCCCATTGTGTTAATGATGCTCTCCTCATTATGTACTTGGGATCCTCCCAAAACGCTCTGGGGGGGTCACAAACTCCTCAGGGGGCAGCCCTGCTCGGCTCATGTGGAACTGTGTGGCTCAGCCCCCTGTGCCTGGGGGGGTTTGGGAGCACCCCTGGTGCCTGCCCAGAGGTGATGAGCAACCGAACTGTGTCAAAAATGAGGCGTAAAAGCGCCTGTGAAGGCAGGAGGAGGCTGAGCAGGGGGGAGGTGACAGAAGGGGACAGGGGAAATCCCTGTCGGGTCCCCTGGGGGATGAGGCACGTGGGAAGGACCAAGTGCTCTTGCCTGGGACTGTCCTGTGTGATGCTTGAGGAGCTTGAAGGAGAGAACTGAATGAGAAAACACCCCCAGGTGTTTCCTTAAACGAGAAACAAACCCCTGATGCTTCCCCGTGCAGGTCCCTGTGGCCTTCAACGACGCTTCGTTCAACTTCTCGGAGGAGGAGTGGAAGAGCCTGAACGAGTGGCAGAAGGAGCTGTACAGGCACATCATGAAGGGCAACTACGAGGCCGTCATCTCCATGGGTAACCACGGGCTGGGGTCTGCCCTGAGCCCCCTGGGGCACCAGCTTTTCCCGGGAACTGGTGGATGGATGGATGGAAGCAGCGCCGTGTCCGGCAGGAGCAGGGAGGGGGATGGTGTGCTGGTTTGGGAAGGTGTTGCGCAGCCCTGGCAATGAGTTCAGCCCTCACCAGCTCAGGGGAAGGGTGGAAGGATGTCCCTGGTGGTCCTTGTGGCCAGGAGAGCACCTGGGTCGTGAGGAGGAGGAGGAGGAGGAGGAGGAGGAGGAAGAGGGGAAGTGAGAGGACCCTCAATCCAAGCAAAGCTGAGCGATAGGGGAGTTCCTTTGTCATGCCAAGGTCCACAGATCCACTGCTCTGGGTGCATCAGCCTGCTGGCCCCTTCGGGCAGCAGAGGGGTGCCCTGTGCCCTGCCTCTGAGGGTCCTTCCAGCCCTTTCCGTGGCCCTTCCGTGAGGAGGAGGTTTGCCAGTGCTGCCTGGGCACTCTGTCTGGCCCCAGGGAGCGAGTCCTGCTCCATCTGTTGCTGGGGAGAAGCTGCAGGCGAGACCGAGCTCTGCCTTCTGCTTTCCCCTCAGCAGCTCAGGGCACAGCATTCCCAGCTGAAGGAATGCGCTCCGCTCGCTCCTGCCAGTCCTGGCTGTGGGAATTCCCTCTGGGGAACGTTGCCTTCACAACATGTTCTCAGAAATGACCTTGCCTTGGCTGGACAGGGGGTGGGAGCACAGACACCGTCCCTGGTGCTCGGGCACTTCCCTGTGCCGAGGGCAGGCTCACCCACCTCCCTCCATCCGGCTCTGCCCAGCCCAGCCCTTTTGTGCTGGTTTTCCCCCTCCTTTCTTCCTTTATTTCTCTGAACGGAGGTCTCGTGCAGTCCCTGTGCACCAGGGAAGAAGGTGAGGGGTAAACACTGCCCCCCACTCTCCTGTTTACACACCAGTCCCGTGTGCTGCTCCCGAGGCACGGGAACATAACGGTCCCAAAGAAGGGGACCTGGGGATCTGAGCCTGGAGCTCAGAAAAACGTGTCTGTGCTTTATCCAAAGGTTTCCTTTGAGAAACAAGGTCACGGGGTTTGGCTCTGGTATAAGGCCAACAGATCCACTAGAGCGGGGTGGAATTTAATCCCCAGAGACTCACACGTGTCTGGAAATGAAGTTTTCCGCTCTCTGCTCGAGGAGAGATGGTGATTGTCCCCTTTCCCAAAATCCACGAGCAGCCTGTGGCTCGGACGAGTAGGAGGAGCGGTCCTGGCTGGAGGGAACCACACAGGGAGGGCACTGCTGACAGCTCTGGTGCTGTCCCCGAGCTGAAGTCCCCATTGCAATGGATCTTAGGGAGGAGAAGACAGGAAGCCTGGAGGTGAGTGCAGATGCATTTTCTTATTCTCCTCCTCACACTGCAGGCTGGGAGTTGCTCCTCACCTGAGCAGAGTGTGCTCCTGCATCGCTCAGTCCAGGGCCCACACAAGGTGAGAGGTGCACACGGGTGGGAGCACCTTCCTCAGCCTCTCTCTTTGTGTTCCCCAGCGAAGGAAGGTTGGTGGGCGAAGGTCTGAGTTCCTCTCCCACGAGGGCAGGGGGAATCATCCTGATCCTCTTTTCCCGTGCAGACGCTGCCATTTCCAAGCCCGACATGCTGTCCCGGATCGAGCAGGGAGAGGATCCCAACGCCGAGGAGCAGGAGGACTCTGAGGCAGGGGAGACCCCCACAGACCCCAGCACCGGTGAGCCACCAGACTGCTGGGACTCGCTGGGGCTGAGATCCGATTCGTGGGCGATGTTTGAGTCCTTCCAGGCGGGGAGGTGGAAGCAGATTGGGGTGGTTTTGTCCTCTCTGTCCCCGGGTACAGGGGGACTTTCCCAGTCGTCCCCCGCCTGGTGCCTCCGTCTCTCCCGGAATCCTCTGAAGCAGCTGGGAGGTGGGAGTGTAACTCCTGTTGTTTTCTCTCACGCAGAGTTTTTCTTCCCTGGGCCTGACGAGAGCTCGTGGGGTAAATACGAGGAGACTCTGGCTGAGAGCCACGAGGGCTCTGAGGAAGAGGAGAGCATGGAGGTCCCTGGTACATGTGAGTGCACTGACCTGCTTGGCAAGTGTCCCTTGCCTGGATGTGCTTTTGCTTCTCATTCCCGGGAGCAGCTCAGCTGTTCTGGATGATGCTTTTCCAGAATTTCAGTGTTGATAGTTACTTTGAGTCACTGTCTATACCATGGGAGACCCTTCGGCCTCAGGCAGTGGGGGCCTTCCCAACCCACGAGGAAAAGAGATTTTACTCTCCTTTCCACAATTTTTTTTGCCTTTATCCTAAACCACAAGACCTGTCTTGTTACACCTTCTGCTGAGCAAGCCCCTTTTTCCCTTTGGCCAGATATATATAGGTTATATATAGAATATTATAATATATTTGAGGGCAAGAAGGTGCTGGAGCATGTGCAGGGAAGGGAGCAGAGCTGGTAAGGGGCTGGAGCAGCTGAGGGAGCTGGGGGGGCTCAGCCTGGAGAAAAGGAGGCTCAGGGGGGACCTTCTGGCTCTGCAATCCCTGACAGGAGGGGGGAGCCGGGGGGTTCGGGCTCTGCTCCCAGGGAACAGGGACAGGAGGAGAGGGAACGGCCTCAGGCTGTGCCAGGGGAGGCTCAGGTTGGATACTGGGAAAATTTCTTGCCCCAAAGGATTGTCAGGCACTGGAACAGGATGCCCAGGGCAGGGGTGGAGTCCCCATCCCTGGAAGGATTTAAAAGCTGTGTGGATGTGGCATCTGGGGACAGGGGTCAGCGGCCCTGGCAGTGCTGGGGGACCAGTTGGGTTCGATGGTCTCCGAGGGCTTTTCCAGCCTTAACAATTCTGTGATTCCTTTGGCCTTGGCTGTGTCCCAGGACAGCAGTGCCAGGCACTGAGCTGGGTGTGCACGGCAGAGCCCACCCGTGCCCCGGGGAATTGTGGTGTAAATAACGACCCGGTTCTTGTCTCGGCGAGTGACGAGTGCTCTGCCCTGCCAGACGAACAGCCCTGCGACGAGGAAGGTCCCGAGAGCCTGGAGCTTCCCAGGTCGTTGGCAGGGAAGTGGGAAGAGGTTTTTTCCGCCCCGGAGGAGGAAATGCAGTCGAGCAGCAAGAACCAGAGCGGGTCGGACCCGCAGCAGCGAACGGCAGCGGGCAACGGGCTGAGACGCTCCGTGCGCCGCAGGAGGGACTTGGCCAAGAAGGATCCCCCCGAGGAAGGAGCCGCGGAAAAGGGGCCCTACATCTGCTGCGAGTGCGGGGAGAGCTTCCTGGACAAGCAGCTCTTTGCCACCCACCAGAAGGCGCACGCCAGGGAGGAGGCCTGCACTTCCCTGGAGCGCGGCGAGGGCCTCTGGCAGAAATCCAAGCCCAAGGGCCAGGGCTCCTCCCGCTCCAAACCGTCCAAGCGCCCCGACGGCGACAAGGGCTCCGGCATCAAGTACGGCCTCGTCAGGCACCAGGTGAACAACATGGTGGAGAGGCCTTACACCTGCTCCCAGTGCAAGGAGAGCTTCAGCCTGGAAGTGAGTCTTATCCTGCACCAGAAGCTGCACACGGGGAAGGGCGACGGGCCGCTGACGTGCACCTACTGCGGGAAGGACTTCCGAGACCTCTCCAAAGCCATCCGCCACCAGCGCATCCACACCGGGGAGAGGCCCTACCAGTGCACGGAGTGCGGGAAGAGCTTCATCCGCCGGGATCACCTGCTCAAGCACTGGCGGGTGCACACCGGGGAGACCCCCTACCAGTGCCCCGTCTGCGGGAAGCACTTCCGCTACAAAGAGTCCCTGAATTGCCACCAGAAAATCCACTCCCGCAACCCGCGGCCCACGGAGGATTCGCAGCTGGGCCTGGAGTCGGCGGGGACCCAAACCAAGCATTTCTGCGTGAAAAAAGAGACTACGCAGTAGCCGAGGTGGGGCCGGGGCAGGAGGGCTCGCGGTGACCGTGACGGTGCAGCATGATGGCAGGTGACTTGTATCGCAGCTAATCCACGTGGTCATGCTACAAAAGCTTTGGTGAAGCATCCAAGGAATTCCTCTTACAAACTCTGACCGGCCGGCCCAGGCACCTCTGCGGCCCCGCGGGGTCCCGCGGCTCTCCCGCCGCGGCGGCGGCCCCTGCACAGGGTTGGATTTTGCCTGTAGAGAATAATCCCGAGCGATTCTCCGGGGCCCGTATTTAGCAGGTGTTCCCCCACCTATCTTTGTGCATATTCAGGAGTGACAAGCTTTCGCTTTCTTTTTTCCACTCGTTTCACTGCAAGGCTGGAAGCGCGAGGAGGGAGGAGGGAAGGAAGGTGCCATTCCCAGGCGGCTGGTCGCCCGCTCCCGCCGTGCTGCCGCGTCCCGAGAGGCTGCCAGGCCAGGACTGGGATGAAGGGAGGAGAGGCGAGGCAGAGAGGTGGGTTAGGGCACGACACGGGGTTTGTGGAAGGCGGGAGAGCGGAGAGGAGAGCGCGGCAAAGAGCAAGGTGAGAGAAAGCAGGTGCGGGAGAAGGGGCTGAGGACATTTGGAGCAGGAGGAGTCGGGAAGGGCAGCGTTTGGAGGCGTGGTGGGATCACGTCTCCCCTCTTTGGAAGGGTGTCTCTGGCACCAGGCGGGCTGTGGTTTCCCTCTGGCCCAAGGGGACGGCACTGCTGGGCCGACACACGGACTCCTGTCAGTGAAGGTGATTTTATTACTGTTTTTTAACTGGGTTTGGTCTCACTCAGGTAAGTCAGACGAGTGAAAGCAGCTTCTCCTAACCCCTGTAAAGAGCTGTTTGGTTTTTAGTTAACATAGAAGTAGTATATTATTATTATTATTATTATTATTATGAACTATTATTATTATTATTATTAATTATTATGATGATGATAATACTACAAGGAAAGGTGTGACACTATATTTCACAGTTGCTCTAAAACACTTCCATGTTATGCGATAAAACGCCCGGAGTTTTCCAGCCGTTTGTGTAAATATTGGTTGACTTCTGGAGCTGTTGGTGTTGTTCCGAGGTGCCTGTACGTGGTGTCTCTTCGCTGTGTATCGTCAGCTGCTGGTTCGTGACCGTGTTTTGTAACAACTTTTGTAAAGTCTGTCAATACAGTGTTTCCACTCTGAATTCCGTGTGGGATGAGCCGTGGCAGCCCCTCGCGGATTCCTGCAGCTCCCCCGCCCTGCTCCTGGCTGTCGGTCGGGAGCTGTGCCAGGTGATCTGTGGGACAGGTGAGCGGCACAAGCCGAGTGGAGCCAGGCCTGGCGAACGAGGCTGCTCTGGGTGCTGCGTCCAGCATTTGGGATTTGTGGTTTTCCCTCTTCCTCTGCTGGAAGCGGATTTTGAGGTTATGATCCCTGAGCCAGCCTGTGCCACACACAGACAGGGCCGTGGATGGATGAGGGGTCATTTCCCTCAGCCAGGCTCTGCGGTGGGATAGAGCCGGGACATCCCGTGCCGGGAGAAGCTTCAGGGATTGTGGAATCCCAGAAGGGTTCAGGTTGGTAGGGACCTTAAAGGATTCCTGGATGGTGCCACTCATAGGGTCCCTTGTCCTTCCCAGGAGCTCCCCCACAGCCCAGTGTCTCTCCCCTGCCAGAGCCCAGCACAGGGGGATGTTCCTCTCTCCCAGGTCTCCCTGGGGGAAACCCACTGGAGCCCCCCGAGCTCTGACAATGCCCAAGGGGTTGTTCCAGCTTGGGACCACATGTGGGAGGTGGACAGGGCAGCCTGTGGGTTGGAGCCACTGTGGGGATGTGGCACTTGTGGCCCACACATCCCTGGCCTTGGCTTTTGCCAGGTTGGATCCCCTCCCATCCCAATCCATGCTGGGTACCTGCAGAGCCGGAGGGAGGGACCCTGGAGCGAGGATCCCCCACACTCTGGAGCCCCTGCATGGGATGGGGCTGCCCCACAACGTGATGGTGGGGAAGAAGAGGAGGAGGGAAAAGGGGAGAGCTCAGGGAAGAGCATCCCGTGGGATCTGGGCTGGTGGTGGGCTGAGCACGGCTCCGAGCACATGGAGACTCCGTGAGGATACACACACGTCCTTCTACGTTGCACACGTGTGCTGTGTGTGTATAAACACACCTACACATGGAACCTGAGCCCAGGGGACAGGACATGGCACTCTATGGACACGGCTGCATCCCCATCCCGCTCTGGCTGATCACTCATGGGAATAAACACTCCTGATAAAAACACCTGCATCCCCACAGGGACAACCTGGAACCTCCCAGAGCCAGGATCAGGCACTCCTTCCTCCCAACAGCTGCCCTGGATCCCAGTCTCCCCAGCTGCACTGGGATGTACAGACCCCAGGCAGTGATACCCTCTATCCCAGAGCTGCTCCTGGTGTCCCCTCCCAATGGGGGGTTCAGATCCCTGGGACAGCCCAGGACAGGGGGGTCTCTAATTGTGGGTCCCCACCTGCTGTCACACCCTGGGACCCCTCCAAGGCAGGTTGCCTTGTCCCATCCCCCCTCATCCCCTCCCTTTTCCCACAAACCAAAGGGTTTCCTGCCCTTCCCCATGTTTGTTGTTCCCAACTTCCCCCCATTGTCACCCCAGGTGCCCAAAGTCCGGACTGGGAGTGGGGCTGTGTGACAGGGGCTGTGCCAGAGTGGGAAGGGATGGGACAGGACAGGTGGATGGCCCGGGGATGGAATGAGGTGGGACAGGATGGATGGGATGGGATGGGATAGGATGGGATGGGATGGGATGGGATGGGATGGGATGGGATGGGATGGGATGGGATGGGATGGGATATGATGGGATGGGACAAGATGTGGGATGGATAGGGTGGGACTGGATGGGACATGACAAGATTAGGCAAGACCCAACAGGATGGATGGGATGGGATGGGATGGGATGGGATGGGATGGGATGGGATGGGATGGGATGGGATGGGATGAGGTGTGATGAGACAGGATGGATGAGATGGGATTGGGGGGATTGATGGGACAGGATGTGGTGGGATGGATAAAAGGGGCATAAGACTGGACAGGGCATGACAGGATGGAGAGGGATGGGGTGGGGTGGGGTGGGGCAGAATAGGACTGGGTGGGATGAGACAGGATGAGGTGGAGGGGACAGAGGGGGAGGGCACACGGGACGGGATGGGTCGGGTCCGGTTCAGCGCGGGGTCCGCGAGGGTGTCGTCCCGGGGTCTCGCCCTGGGGTCCGTCCCAGGGGCCGGGGGTTGGTGGGTCCATTTCCACGGCGCCACCGCCTCCGGCCGCCATTTCAGAGCCCGCGGGGCCCGAGGCCGCGGGGAGGGGCGGGGGCCTGACGGGGCGGGGACGGGCGGGGAGCCGCCCCGGGGCCTCCCCACCGACCCCCGGCCCTCCCCGACCGCCGGTGTCGCACCGAGCACAGCCCAGTGCCTGCCCTCCAGTCTCTCCCACCTGCCCCTCTCACTGCGCCACCCCACCCCAGTCAAACCAGTTCCCCCTGTCAGCCTGGGGACCCCTGGAACAGCCCCAGTACCCCCTGGCAGCTCAGTTCCCTCGTGAACATCCCCAGTTTCCCCAGTGCCTCCCCAGTACCCCCTGGCAGCTCAGTTCCTTCGGGAGCAGCCTCAGCACCCCGCAGCCTCTGCCCAGTTTCACCCGGTCGCCCCCGCCAGCCCAGTTACCCCGGGAACAGCCCCAGTCCCTCCCCAGTTACGCCGGGAACAGCCCCAGTCCTTCCCCAGTTCCCCCGAGAATATCCCCAGTTCCCCCCAGTTCCTAGCAGCCACTCCGCAGTTCCCCGCAGCCTCTCTCCAGCCCCTCCGGGAACAGCCCCATTTTCCCCCCGTCTCTTCCCTGTCAGCCCAGTTACCCCGGGAATAGCCCCAGTTCCCCCCAGTTACGCCGGGAAGAGCTCCAGACCCCCACAACCCCTCCCCAGTTCCCCTGGTGCTGCCCCCACCCAGCGTCCCCAGTTCCCATCGGTCCCCCGGTTCCTCCAGTCCTTTTCCAGTCCCTCCCCTCTCCCTCTCCTCCCAGCCCCGCTATTGTTCCCAGTCCCTCCGGTCTCCCCAGTGCCCCCAGTCCTCCTGCCTCCCCAGTCCCTTATTCCCTCCAGTCGCCCCCCAGTCTTTCCCCAGTCCCTCCAGTCTCCCGGTCACCCCCTAGTCCCTTCAGTCCCCACTGCCCCTAGTCCCCTTGCCCCTCCCCTCCTCCCAGCCCCTTATTGCTCCCAGTCTCCCCAGTTCCCCAATCCTCCAGTCCCCGTTTACCCCAGTCCCCCAATCCCTCCAGTCCACCATCTCCTCACTCCCCCAAGTCTCCTTATTCCCCCTCCCAGTCCCTCCAGTCCCCTATTCCCCAGTCCCTCCAGTCTCTCCAGTCCCCTATTCCCCCAGTGCCTCCCTAGTCCCTCTCCAGTCTCCCCAGCGTCCCCGTGGCCCCCTCCTCCCAGCGCCTCTATTCCCCGGTGTGCCCCAGTGCCCCCGGGTTCCTTATCCCCCCAGTCCCTCCGCAGCCCCCCTTGTCCCCGTTGTCCCTGTTCCCCCGTTCCCATTCCTGTTCCTGTTCCCGGCGCTGCCGCCGGGGGCCTCCTGACGGGCGGGGCGGTTCCGCCGGGGCCGCCAGGGGCGCTGCTGGCGCGGCCGCCCCGCTGCGCCCCGCCCCGCCCGCGCGCGCGGCCCGCGCGGCGGCAGCGCCCCCGGCGGCGCGGCGGGGCAGCGGCGCGGCCGGACCGGACCCGCAGCCGGACCCGCACCCGCGCCCGCACCGGAGCCCGCCTGGGGCCGGAGCCGCCGCCGCCGCCCCCGCCCCGCCGCCCGGCCCGCGCCGCCCCCGCCCCGCCCCCGCCCCGCCGCGCCCCCGCCCCGCCGCGCCGCCCCGCGCCCAGCCCGATGCCCGGCGGCGGGCGGAGGTGAAGCGGAGAGCGGGCGCTGGATCCTCCTGGCCGCGGCCCCGGGGCCCCGGGCACGGAACAAAGGGCCATGGCCGAGGGGGCCCCTGCTCAGGTGAAGGGCGCCCGCCGCTCCCGGCGCGGGGCCGGGCCCGGCTGGCGGGCCGCACGTCGGGGCTGCGGGGCCGCGCCGTCGGGGCCGGGCGGGCGGGGGCGGCGGGGGCTGTCAGCGCGGGGGCCGCCGCCCCCGGGGCACCGCGGGGCGACACGGCCGGCCCCGGGGGCGGCGGGGACGCGCCGAGCCCGCACGGGCCTCCGCGGCCGGCGGCGCCTGCGCTGCCGTCGGGGCCGGGCCTGCCCGCGCCGCCGCCCCCACCCTGCTCGTCGCCGGGCCCTGCGGCCCCCCGACCGACCCCCGCCCCGTGTCACCGCCCGGTCCCCATGGCGACGGGGCGCCGCAGCCCCCCGGGTGTCCCCCCGCCGTGCCCATGGCAACGGGGCTCGGCTGGCCCGTGTCACCGCCCGCCACCCCCCAAGTGTCACCTCCCGGCCCCGCGCTGTCACCTCCCACCCCCGCCCCCGCCGCGGCGGGTCCTGCCTGTCCCGTGGGACCGGCACGGGGCCGGTGTAAGCGGCTTAGCGGGGACACGGGGACGTCCCCGCCGCCCCCGGGCTCTGCAGCGGCCCCCCCGCGGGGTCCCCATCACCTTTGGGGGGTCCCCATCACTCTTGGGGTGTCTCCGTCACCCCGCTGGTGATCCCATCACCTGGGTGGGGGGTCCCCATCACCCCGGCGGGGTCCCCGTCACCTTGGGGGTCCCATTGCCCTGGGGGGATCCCAATCGCCCTGGAGCGTCCCTGTCACCCTAGGGGTTCCCCATCACCCTGGGGGTGTCCCCATCACCCCAGAGGTTCCCCACCACCCCACGGGGGTCCCCTACCACCCCACGGGGGTCTCCCACCACCCCACGGGGGTCCCCCACCACCCCACGGGGGTCCCCCGCCTGATCCTGCCCCCCTGTGTCCGCAGGCTCCGGAGCCGCACTGCCCCTCGCCCCTGCGGCCGCCGGCCGGCCCCGAGCGCACCTCGGAGCGGGAGACGCAGACGGCTGAGCTGTCCCTGACCGTGGTGGCGGCCGTGCAGGCCGTGGAGAGGAAGGTGGACTCCCACTCCACCCGCCTGCTCGACCTGGAGGGTCGCACGGGGATGGCCGAGAAGAAGCTGATCGACTGCGAGAAGACGGCGGCGGAGCTGGGGAACCAGCTGGAGAGCAAGTGTGCGGCGCTGGGCACCCTCATCCAGGAGTACGGGCTGCTCCAGCGGCGCCTGGAGAACATGGAGAACCTGCTCAAGAACAGGAACTTCTGGATCCTGCGGCTGCCCCCAGGCAGGAAGGGGGAAGTCCCCAAGGTAACGGTGTCCTGGGGTGCGGGGTCTGCACCCAAAATGCTCACAGAGGGCAGGACTGGGGGGTGAGCAGGGACAGCCCAGGTGCAGGTGAGTTGCTCCCTACTGGAGCTCCTCCTTTCCAGCTCTCTCTCTCTGGGACTAAAATACAGCAGGATACAGGACCCAGGGGGACATCCCGGTGCTCAGACCGGAGGTTTCAATTCTGCACAGCCCAGGAGTCATTTATGCTTTTATTGTTTATTTTTTATACCATATATTTTTTATTTTTTATACCGTATATTTTTTATGGGGTGGTTTGAACAAAACCACCCCAGATTTATTTGTTCTTTCTCTTTGACCACTTTGGTGCTGCAAAGTCTCCCAGGCTGGGGAAGGAGAAAGCTCTGGGATTTGAGGAAGGCAGATGACTTCCCTGGGCTTAGGCAAGCTCTGGAAGGAGCCCACCATCAATATGCAGTTCCTAGCTGAATTTTATAACCCTCCCACTGAAAGGAAGTCTGCAGATGGGACCATGGGAAAGGGAATGTCACTGGAGAGGGCTGCGAAAAGGGGGGCTCAGATCCTGCACCCCATCAGTGCAGTCAGGGAGCAGAGGTGGAGCACCACATTTCCCTCTGAAGAGCTGCATTCCAGCGTGTCACAGTTTGCACGTCCTGGATTTATCCTTGGGAATTATTCCTTGGCAAACAGGCTGGGAAGCCATGGCCTGCCCCTGGCCAGTGGGCACACAGTAACTAAAGGATAGCAGGGAGCCCTGCAGACTTGAGTAGAGCTTTCCCTGGAGTTCAGGGGTAATTGAATCTGGGCGTTACGTCAGCTCATCCATAGGGATGAGTCCAGCCCAGCATCCAGGTTTTCTCTCCTTTGTGGTTCCCTCCAAGCCCGGTCACTCTGCAGAGTGCAGGGACCGAGAGGAGGAGGTTGGGTCCTTTGGGAAGTGCCAGTGTAGATTCATCACTGGGAGCCCCCCATTGGGCTGAGCCCTTTAATGCCATAGAAATACCTGCCCAGGAGTTGTATAAATGGAAAAACCAACTGGTTGGTGGCTGTGACAGAGCTGAAGCCTGGCTGTGTCCGAGGGGGAGCTGCCATCTCTGGACTCCTGGGGAGGGAGGCAGCCCTTGAACCAGTGCTCTTGTGATCCAGGTGCCGGTGACATTTGACGACGTGTCCGTCTACTTCAACGACAAGGAGTGGGAGAAGCTGGAGGAGTGGCAGAAGGAGCTGTACAAGAACGTGATGAAGGGGAACTACGAGTCGCTGATCTCCCTGGGTAAATATAGGGGCACGTTCTCCCGGGCTCCTTCTGGCTCCTCCTTGGAGATCCCCTCGGATGAGACCCCAATGTCCCATTTTAAAGACTTAAAAGCACAGGAGGATGTTTCTAGTTTGGGTTCACTCCCAGCTCGTGCCGTGGTGCTGTCCTGGCTGAGGGGGATCTCCACAGGCAGGGGGGCTGGAGACCTCCCAAACCTTTTCCAGCTGGAGTTATGTGGTGGAAAACTGGCACCTTCTCCATGGCTGTTGGAAGGGCTTCCCTGCATCTCCTGGGTCTGCAGCGGGTACCAGCCCACACACCCCTTTAGAGGGAGCTTTTGCAGAGGGAAAAATTGCCTGATGTGATCTGTGCTTTGGGGCATTTCCTGTGGAGCTTCAGGAGAAATCCCGGCTCTGCTGGGAGCTGAGAAATGCTTTTGGCTTCAGGAGAGCCAGGATTTGTCTGAGGAGTTCTAAAACCCCACCAGAAAAACACAGGGGTTCTTCTCTAAGGCAGTTCCTCTCTGTGTGGCACCTCAGCTCCTGCCTCTGGCAGCGCCTGGCTTTGCTCCCCACAGCCCCTCTGGATGTTCCTGAGTGTGTTCCCGCGTCCCTCAGGCTCTGGGGAGAGGTGGAAGCCAGCCTTAGGTTCCTGGTGCAGTAATCCCTCTCCATCCCTCTGTCTCTCAATAGACTATGCAATTTCCAAACCTGGGGTTTTGTCTCAGATCGAGCAAGGAGAGGAACCGCGGGGCAGGAACGAGCAGGACCTGGAGGAGAGTGAGATCATTACTGATGCCACTGCAGGTGAGACCTTGGCACGAGGGGAGCCCTGGTTGTGTCCCGAGGAGCTGCTCATCCCTGGGCTAAAGCAGCTGTGGCTGGGGGGGTTATCAGGAGGAGCCTTGCCTAGGAACAGGACAGGTTTGGCCCATCAGAGATTTTGATGTCCAGGTACAGCTCAGCATATAAACCAGGGCAAGAGGAGCCCGGAGAGCTGGGCACTGGGAGCCATCAGCAAGGGAAGCATCTGCAACCAGACCAGGTCCTCAGGGAGCCAGTGTGCCCAGCAAGGAAGGAGAATCAGGTCCCACTGGGAAAGCCCATCCACACAGAGAATCCTCTCCACCCTCTCTTTGTGTGGATGGTGCCTGGGTTTACCCTTGGAAAGCCCTCTCAGGGAAGGAAATCTGCTCCCATCCTGTGTGCAGGGAGAAGGGATACTGAAGGCTTTCTCCAAGGGCAGGGGTGGGCTGGGAGAAGGGCACCAGGGATCCCGAGTGCTGGAGCAAGTCCTGCTCCGGGATAAGGGGGCTGATAAATAGGTGTCCTAGAAGAGGTCAGCTCTGCTGGCCGTCCCTGGGGCCAGGCTGTGGATGTGGAGTCACTCTGACCCCCTGCCTGTGCTCTCCACCACAAGGATCCTGAAATTAAATTGAGGCCGACAGGAAGAGGAAAATCATCGGGAGCTGCAGGCGGGGGATGTGGGGGGGCCAAGGGGTGCTGAGCTGTGGCAGGGTGGGGACAGTCCCCTGTGCCTGCGGAGCATCCCAGGGGAGAGGCGGGAGCGTGGCAGGGACGGGAGAAGGGCAGGGGCTGCAGGGAGAGCAGAAATGGCCGAGCAGGTCAAACCCCTGTGCGGGCTCAGCGGCCGGAGCCGGCGGGCAGGGCTGTGAGCAGCGTCTCCATCCCGGCCCCTGGGAATGACGGCGGGCGGGAATCTCTCTTTGCTGCAGCGGGAATAAGGGTGGTGATCAAAACGGAGGAGCTCCTTCCCGAGGACAGCCCCGAGAACCCCGAGCTGCACGGGATGTCGGGGCAGTCGGAGGGGAGCTTCCAGAGCCCGGACGAGGAGGCGGCTTGTGAGAGCCCCTACGGCTCCGTGTCCCCTCCGAGGGACCTCCCGGGAACCAGCCTGGGCGACTCGTCCGAGTACGGAGCTGACTTCAATGAGATCCAGAGAGTCATCGTTCACCACGGCAGCTGCACAGGTGGGACCTATGAGGGGTCAGGAAAAGGTGGGGAACAGGTTGGATGGACGGGTAGAGTTAAATCCCCCCAGAACCAGCACCAGCAGGAAAGTTTCTGGCTGCAGCAGCCTCGGGAGTGGCTCTGGTCAGAGGTGAGGGGTCCTGCAGGTCGTGGGGGATCCACCAACAGGGGGGTCACTTGGGGCAGGTCCATGGGACAGGGAGGAGTGTGGCAGGACCCCCGTGGCATCCAAGCTGCCAGGAGGGAGGGGGAAGGGTGAGGTTGTTTGGTGAAGAGACAGTGGCACCAGGCCTTTCATGGGTCTCCTGCCAGTGGGGTGGCACAGGTGGGCTAGGTCCTGCAGACCTGCTGTGAGGGTGGGGGTGGGAGAGCAGGGAGATGGGAGGTTGGGAGCAGCAGGTTCCCTCCTCCTGACGGCTCTGTGGTGGTGTAACACAAACCAAGAGGGAGAGAGTTGGGCTCCCGAGGGCCTCGTGGATCCTGTGGTCTGCTCATGGCTTAGAAAGGGAAACCAGCCAAGCCACCAGTGGGGCTGGAGCTGCTCCTTGTCCAAGGTGTGGGGCCTGGCTGGTGGGGCTGAGTGGGAGCTGTGGTGGCACTGACTGGGATGGGGGTGCTGAGCCCCGAGTCTGCAGAGGAGGAGGAGGACCTGGAATTCCCCAGGACCCCTCTGCTGGAGGGAAGAGAGCCACAGCTTTGATACATCTGGGCTGCCTCTTGGGAAAGCGTGGCTGCTCTTCCTGGAAGAACCTGTAGGCCTGGCTCAAAGTGCAGCACAGGCTGACATGAGGGATCCATCGGGAATTTCCTGCATGTCCCTGGGATGTGTCCCTGGGACGTGTCCCTGGCAGGGCAGGTCTCACCAAACAAAAACACCGTGTCACTTCCAGCGTCGGTGACATGAGGGGGAGCCTGCCCTGCGTCCATCCATCCCACTGCTGGTCACGCCGGGAAGGAGGGGGTGAGGCTGAGGGAAGGGGACATTCCCAGGCTGGCTGTGCTGTCCCGGGAGCGGAGCTGGATGCTGGCAGCTCTGTGCTGTGTGTCCGTCGAGCAGTGCCGTGCCGGGAGTGTTGTTGTCCCAGTGAAACAGCAGCAGATGGAGCTGCTCCAAAATCACTCGGCCACGGGAGCCCTCTCAAAGTGATGGCGCTTTTGTCCCCCACATCCTGCAGCACCATGAAATTGCCCAACGATTTGGCAGGAGGGTCTGAGGGCCCCCTCAGGGGCTGTTTGTCTGAACTCTGTGTTGAGGGGTGACACGGCCCATCCCAGCGCTCCGGGCTCCGGCTGCAGCCGGCTCAGGGTGTTGGAGCAGAGCAGGCAGGGGCAAACGGCTGCAGGAGCCCATCAGATGTTCCTGTAGCACCCCCACGTGCATAAAGGCCACCCCGTCCCGGCCGATGACCCTGACGCTGTTGTGGTTTCCCCGCAGAGGACGGGATCGTGATCAAGACGGAGGAGGAGGAGGAGGAGGACGACCCCGACCCGCTGGAGCCGTGCGCCATGTTCTCGGGCAGGGCCGAGCCGCCGGCCTTCCCCAGCCACGAGGCCGGGCTGGGCTGCGAGGCGCAGTGCAGCTCCAAGGCCCAGCCCCGGGGCCTGGCAGGGCGCGTGAGGAAGCCGTCGGCCTGCGACAGGGACTCCGGGGACATGAAGCCGGCCAGCGCCCAGCAGCGGAACCGGACGCGGGAGAGACCCTACATCTGCCCCGAGTGCGGCAAGAGCTTCATGCTCAAGATCAACTTCATGATCCACCAGCGCAACCACCTCAAGGAAGGGCCCTACGAGTGCCACGAGTGCGACCTCAGCTTCCGCAACAAGCAGCAGTTCCTGCTGCACCAGCGCAGCCACACGCGCCGCGGCGTGGGGGTCCCGCGGCGCCCCGAGCACGGCCTCAAGCCCCCGGCGCGGCCCCCGCCTCCGGGGAAGCCCTACAAGTGCTCCGAGTGCGAGAGCAGCTTCAGCCACAAGTCGAGCCTCAGCAAGCACCAGATCACCCACGTCGGGGAGCGGCCCTTCACCTGCGGCGAGTGCCGGAGGAGCTTCCGCCTGCAGATCAGCCTCCTCATGCACCAGAGGATCCACGCCGGCAAGAACGAGATGGCCTTCCTGTGCCCCCAGTGCGGGAAGAACTTCACCCGGCCCTCCCACCTGCTGCGGCACCAGCGGACTCACACCGGCGAGCGGCCCTACCAGTGCAGCCAGTGCGAGAAGACCTTCAGCGAGAAGTCCAAGCTGACCAACCATTACCGCATCCACACGCGGGAGCGCCCGCACGCCTGCGCCGTCTGCGGGAAGGGCTTCATCCGCAAGCACCACCTCCTGGAGCACCAGCGCATCCACACGGGCGAGCGGCCCTACCACTGCACCGAGTGCGGCAAGAACTTCACGCAGAAGCATCACCTCCTGGAGCACCAGCGGGCGCACACCGGCGAGCGGCCCTACCCCTGCACCGAGTGCACCAAGTGCTTCCGCTACAAGCAGTCCCTCAAGTACCACCTGAGGACGCACATGGGAGAGTGAGGGGCTGCCCGACGGCTTCCTCCCCCTCCTCTCCCTCTCCTCCTCCTCCTCTTCCTCCTCCTCCTCCACTCATCTCTCCCGCCCTCCCTCCATCCATCTCCCCCCACCCCAGCTCAGGGCATGGACATAAGGAAGCTTTGTGTGGTAGCGCCGCTGGTCTGGTGGAGACTGGGCTGATTGGAAATAAATTAATGAATTAAAGCAAGCAACGCGCGGCAAAATTAAAAGATTATATATATATAAAATTAACAGAAGCAGCTGATATAGGGGGAATCCTCACCACCAACAAAAGAAACCTGTACAGGGTGTTTTGCCGGAGTAGGACTCGTAACTGCTTTTTAAATCTACTGTTTGGTTTTTTTTAAATAAATGTGGAGGAACTTTTTAATTGATAAGCAACCTTAGGATGGGCAAGATTTTTTTGTTGTTGTTGTTGCTGTTAAATGCTCCGTAGGCTGATTCTGGCACAGTCACTTTTTGTCCAGGAGCTCTGCAGAGGTGCTGCCTCGTCCCAGCTTTCCGGGCTGGACGCGACAGCCACTCGGCAGCGCGTGGCTACGGGAGCTCCGGCCGGGGGGGGGATGAGCAATTAACAGATCCAGCTAACGAGGAGGTTCTGCGTGTGTCTAGATTGGAAGCGCCGGTAGGTGCCTGCCCGGCTCGCGGGGCTGTGATGCACTCCTGAATTATACAATAGAATAAAATTCTAGTTGCAGTAAAAGAGCCTTTTTCTGGTAGGACCCCTCAGCAAGGCTCCTCCAAACGCTCGTTCCTGGCGCTCAGTCCTCCCCGGGGTCCGGCCTTCCTGCTGCCACGAGAGCAGCGTGAGGGCACCGGGGTGCTGGGGGTCTGGCCCTGGGTGCTGTGGGGTCACCGTGGATCTGACACAACACCTCGGTGTGTTTAACTGCCCTTCTGCTCTCTGAACTAGTGGCAGGAGCAGCGGGATTCCTGCCCCAGATGAGGAGCAGGTCCTGGGCTGGCTCCAAGAAAAGCCCTGACCAGTTCAGAGCTGCCTGTGGGAGATGTCCCAGTTCCCAGGTCCTTGATGCCAGGGTCCCTCTCCACATGTCACAGGGGGTGGCACACGGGGCTGCCTCCTTGCTATCTCCACCAGCTTGGTTCCCTGTGATCCGGCTTGTCCTCACTGCATCTCCTGAGGCTGGGCTGTGGATGCATCCCAAGGGCCAGGCCGTGGCCAGAGGGGTGACACCAACTCCCTGGAGCTCACTGGGCTCCTTCCCAGCGGTGTCAGATCTCATGTGGGACAGTGGCGTCAATAAACAGAGCGATGGTGGGATAAGTTGTCATGACCTGTTAATGCCTTTGCAGAACCAAAGTCCTCATCCAGGACTTTCCCGGTGTAGGAACCCTTCCTGAATTTGGAATTTGCATCCTCTCCCGTGCTAGAAGGAGGGCAGTGCAGCCATGTGGAGCTGCCAGGAGCCACCAGCCAGTCACTGCTGTGGGCAGGAGCATTTCGGGGCTGCCAGGACAGGCTCCAGCCAAGGTTGAGCCTTCCCACTGCTCCAGTGGTTCCTACAACTCCCTGGAAGCAGTTTGGGGTTTCAGGTCAGGACGTGCAGCCTGGCGTGGGTTGACACTTCCATCCCTGGAAGTGTGCAAAGCCAGGTTGGACGGGGCTTGGAGCAACCTGGGCTAGTGGAAGGTGTCCCTGCCCATGGCAGAAGGGAGGAACAAGATGGTGTTTCAGGTCCCTTCCCACCCAAACCGTTCTGGGATTCCATGCAAAGTGCCATGACGGGGCTGGATGTCCCGGGAGGGAGGTGTGGGTGCAGGACAGGGGGTCTGGCTGCAGCCCCAGGCTCCTCAGCAGCTCCCCTGCATCCCTCTGATCCGGACCAGATGCGATTAAGGGGAAGAAGGAAATGAAAAGCAGAACTGACTCTGGTTCTGAGCAGCTCATGTTCGTCACACTGGCAGCACCGCTGACCTGGCAGCACCTTTTTCCTTCCTAAAAATGGATGGATTCAGCTCTTTTTTGGCAATACTGCCACTAAGGGGCCCTTACCAGCCTGGCTGCCCCGCTGCAGTGCCAGGACCTCGGCATGGCCAGGCTGGCAGTGCCCCTGCCCTGCTCTGCATCACTGGGCCCCACATGGCACCTCCTCTCCCCCTCACGCTGCTGCTTTCCCACTGCACACGGACATAACTGCATTGGTCGCTGGATTCTGCCAGGATTTAACAACATCCAGGTGACCTTGAGCAGCTCAAGTGTCAACAGTCCACCTCCCACGACCCGGCGGGATATGACACGGCCATCCATGCCCCACCCCTGGCCAGCACCGAGCGCGGGGTGGCAGCGGCACCACAAGGCCACGGCAGCGGTGGTGCTGTGGGCACAGATCGGGGGGTGGCACATGTGGGAGCAGCCTCGCTGCCCCCCCGAGCCACCTGCAGGGGATCAGCAGGTTATCACCCTTCACTCAGTCACAGCTGGGTTTGTTTTAGGGTTGCTCAGTGCTGCAAACACTGCTCAGCCACAGGGGTGAACGGCACTATCCTGCTGTGGGACCCACCGGTTCCTCGAGGGCTCGTGGTTCCATAGGGTTGTCCCAGGGTGCCAGGGGAGCTGGACACGGATGCATCCAGAAGGCAGCAGCTCTGGGGACAGGGAACAAGCAGGATCCACCACAGCTGGGCTGTGAGTACCCCTGGCAGCACCCCTGAGGCTCTGGATGAGCAGGGACACCCCGGGGAGCTGCAGGGATGGTGAGCAGGGGGCTGGAAGTGTTGTGCTGACCCCTCTGGAGCCACTGGGCCAGGGCTGGGGACCTGCTGGGGTGGGGAAACTGGAGCATTCAGCAGGACATGGCCATGGCAGGGCAGCAACTGCCTGGGGAGGGGGTGTTTGACTGCTTTATTGTGTCAGGGGTACACAGAGTCCCCCTAAAGTGCTCCTTGAGCCCCAGCTGGCAGCAGGTGAGAGTGGCAGAGGAGCCAAACCGATGGCTGAACACGGGGGGCTGATTTTGGGCACCCAGCACCCACGGCAGCAGCACAGAGGGGACTACGTGGTCCCTGTAGAAAGGCACAACTTGGCTGAAGGGACTCCCGGGAACTTCTGCCCTTCCCCAAGCACTGCTGCTGCTCTCCAGGTGTTCTGGAGCTGTGACAGGAGGGAAGGAGACACTGGCAGAGGTGCTGGCAGCCATGGGATGTGGGGATGGAAGCTGGAGCCCCCTGCCCGGAGCAGCCGTGGGTTTGGGGTGATCTCAGGAGAGCAGGACGGGGCTGGCAGCGCACAGTGAGGAGCAAAGGATTACCCTGGGCTCCCACAGGCACAGCTGCCGCTCCAGCACAATCCCTTCAAACTGCATTAACCCCGGCACCGGTGGCCGGGAAGCGGCTCCGGCAAGCGCGAGGCCTCGGGAAGGATCCCAGGGCCAGGCCTTGGGAAGGATCCAAGCGCCAGACCTCGGGAAGATCCTGCTTGGCACCTCCACCCCGCCACCACGGCCGAGCTGGGGCGAAGCTCCCGGAGGCCTTCCAGGTTATTAATGATTGAATTAATTTGAGCATCCCGAGCATCCGCAGGGGTTGGCAGCGCTGAGCCGGAGCGTGCCGGCTGTGCCCCGGGGGAAGGCTGGGATCAGGGCTCACACTCACACTCAGCCCGGCCCTCCCTGTCTGTGCCCGCTCACGTGGGCTGCCCACGGCCACACGCGTGTGCAGAGATGGGCACACGCGTGTGCAGAGATGGGCACACGCGTGTGCAGAGATGGGCACCCACAGCACACACGGAGCGGCCTGTCTGTGCCCCCCCGGTGTCCCCCTGCTCCTTCCTCACTGGTTTGCACACACCCACACACCCCCACACCCCCCCCCACACGTGTGTGTTCTGAGATCCAGGCACACAAACACACACAAGCACACACACACACAGATGTAATTACACAGGTGCACACACATGTGCACACATACACACACACATAAAACACGGATGCACACACAGGCAGGCACACATGTACATGCACATGTGAACAGGTGGATACACACACTGGCACAGACAGGGACACATAGTGCACACACAGCCCTGCATACAGACATTGACACACGCACTGGCTTGCACAGCAACAACTCCACGTATGGAGACACACACGGACACATGTAGCACACACACACATACATGCACACACCTAAATACACACAGACACACACAGATGTGCATGGTACACACACACACATCCACGTGCACAAACAGGTGTTCGTGCACACACATCCATGATCCATGTGCACAGGCACACGTGCATGCACACACTTACATGTTCCAAGTGCACAGGTGCTCACACACACATCCATGTGCACAGACACGCACCCACACATGATAGGGAAGCATGTGAGTACATGCATGTGCACAGACATGCCTGCACACATCAGCACACACACAGAAACAGAGACACACACACAGACCCACTCACTCATTTACACACACACACACACAAACACACAGACATCACACTCACATTAATTCCAGCAGCCCGTTCCCGTTCCCGCAGCCCCGCCCGTTCCCGCCCCCCATCCCGCCCCGTTCCCCCCGGTCCCGCCCGGTGCCGGCACTTTCGGTTTCCCCTCGGCCATGGCTCGGGAGGTGCTGGCCCTGGGCGAGCAGCTGGCGGCCGAGGCCACCTGCCCGGTGTGCCTGGAGCTGTTCGCGCAGCCCGTGCTCACCGAGTGCGGGCACAGCTTCTGCGAGCGCTGCCTGGGGGCCGTGCTGGGGGAGCCCCCGCGCCCCGCCGCCTGCCCGCAGTGCCGCGCCGCGGTGTCTCCGGGCTCGCTGCGCCCCAACCGCTCGCTGGGCGCCGTGGCGGGGCTGGCGGGGGCCCTGGAGGAGGCGGCGCGGCGGCCCCGCTGCCCCGAGCACGGCGAGCCCCTGGCGCTGTTCTGCGAGCCCTGCGCGGCCCCGCTCTGCGCGCTCTGCCGGGACGGGCCCGCGCACCGCCCGCACCGCGCCCGCAACGCCCACCGCGCTGCCCGGGACCTGCGGGTACGGCACGGGGTCGGGATGGGCACGGGCTGCCCGGGACCTGCGGGTACGGCACGGGGTCGGGATGGGCACGGGCTGCCCGGGACCTGCGGGTACGGGATGGAGTCGGGATGGGCACGGGCTGCCCGGGACCTGCGGGTACGGCACGGGGTCGGGATGGGCACGGGCTGCCCGGGACCTGCGGGTACGGGATCGGGTCGGGATGGGCACGGGCTGCCCGGGACCTGCGGGGACGGCACGGGGTCGGGATGGGCACGGGCTGCCCGGGACCTGCGGGGACGGCACGGGGTCGGGATGGGCACGGGCTGCCCGGGACCGGCGGGTACGGCACGGGGTCGGGATGGGCACGGGCTGCCCGGGACCTGCGGGTACGGCACGGGGTCGGGATGGGCACGGGCTGCCCGGGACCGGCGGGGACGGCACGGGGTCGGGATGGGCACGGGCTGCCCGGGACCTGCGGGTACGGGATGGAGTCGGGATGGGGTCGGGCTGGGAGCTTCGCGGCTGCGGGTGGGGGGAGAAGGGCACACGTCGGGGTCCCCTCCGGGCATGGGCTGGGGGCACCTCGGGTCACAGGTTGGGGTCCCCTCAGGGCACAGGTCAGAGTCCCTTTGGGGCACAGGTTGAGGGCCCCTCCAAGGTGGGCTGGGGTCCCTTCAGGGACAGGTTGGGGTCTGCTCTGGGCATGGGCTGGGGGCTCTCCTGGGCATAGATCTCAGTCTCCTCTGGGCACACACCTGGGGTCCCTTTCAGGGACAGGCTGGGCATGGCCTGGATGTGGGTCCCCTCCACACATAGGTGAGGTCCCCTCCAGCATGTGGGGTCCCTCCCAAACACAGGTCAGGGTCTCCTGAGCACGGACTGGGGTCCCCTCAGGACACAGTCTGCTTCCCCTGCATGCACAGGTTGGAGTGGGTCCGTGTCCAGCCACGGATCTGGGGCCTCATCCAGCTGATGGCTGGGTCCCTGTCTGGGTACAGGTTTGGGGTCCCCATCTGGCTGTGGGCTGGGGTCCCGTATCCCAACCTGCTGGCAGGCTGCTGGTTCTCCCGTGGCTCCCACTGCCCATCACCTGCCCCCAGCCCTCCCAGGAGCACAGGTCCCTCTCCCCCCTCCCTGTATCCCCACGGAGTCCCTTGTGCCCCATTCATCCCCAGCCAGGGTCTCTCCCCCAAAATGTGGGGTCCTGGCTCACTGTGCTGCAGGGGATGGCTCAGAGGAGCACGAGGGATTTTTAATACTCCAGTGGATTTATGGAGCATGTCTGAGACACTGCTACTGTCAGTGCAAACCTCTTCCCACAAATCCCACTTTCAACACCAAAAGTTGTTCTTCCTAATTAAAAGAAAAAAAAAATCCAAAAAACCCAAACCACAAGCTCCAGGGTTTCCACATGAAGCTATTCCACAAATGCTTCTGGCCAAAACAGCTGTGGATGGGGGATCTCCCCAGCCTCACTAATGTGTGCCTGGAGAGGTGGGTGCTGCCTCCGAGCTCAAAACCCACCCCCAGGCACCCAGGGGCCACCCCCAGTGACCCCACAGAGCAGGATTGTCCCCACAGGGGCTGCTTGGTGATGTCATCTCCCTCCTGCAAATGTCACTCCAAAATCGCCAAATCCGCCTTTTTTTTTCCTCCCCATCCCAGGAGACACTCCAGAACAACCTGGATTTTCTGCAAAAGGCGAAGGAAGAATTAAAGTCCAAAGGAGAGCCAAGAAGTGATGAGCTGCTGGTGTGTGTTCCCCTCCATGCCCTGCACCCGTTCACCCAACCCACCTTCCCGGGCACATCCCATGTTTCTCTCCTTTTCCGTGACAACGTGCTTTTCTCCCTCCCTCTCTGACCATCCCATATCTCCTCCTTGGGTCCATCAGCATCTAGACTTGCCACCTCTCTCTCCATTCTTCCAGCTTTTCCCTCCAAAATCTCCTCTCCCTTTCCATGTGGCCCTTGCCCCTCTCCCAACACCTGTGCCCATGAGGAGTCTGGGATGACTCACGGCTTCCACGTGATGCCTTGCAGCATAGGATGGCCTTGGAGGAAGAGATGCTGCAGAACGCCTTTGAGGATCTGGAGAAGTTCCTGCAGGAGCAGAAGAAGGCTCTGCTGGCCCAGCTTGGCCCAGTGTCCCAGGAGCTCATCAAGAGATCCTCCGAATACAACTCCAGTGTTGCAGAGAGGAAATCGCTGCTGGACACGCTGATTGCGGACATCGAGAAGAAACGTGACCAGCCAGACGTGGAATTCCTCATGGTGAGGCTGCATCGCCCCCCTGGGCACCGTGACCCCGTGGTGAGGCTGGGGGCACCCGCCTGGCACCCTCCACACCCCGCTGCAGCCCGGAGCCTGGGCGTGGTGCCAGGCTGTGGCACCGGTGTGGCTGCTGTGGGCCGGGGGCTGCAGCGTTCCCTGAGGGAAGGGGAGGGTTGGGCCCCAGGCGCTACAGTCCTTGTCGGTACTGCCAGAGCTCACCCGTGTGTTCTCTCTTCCAGGATGTTGGCAAAATCCTGAGCGGGTACGAAACGGGCTCGGCGTCGCTCTGCTCCCTCACGGCTCTTTGGGCAGAGGTTTGGGAATGCTGCAGGAGCCGGGAGGGAGGTGGTTTGCCCTGCTGAGTGTTTGGGATTTAACCAGAGGCCGTTGCACCCCTCTTAAAGGCGGGGTTCCCGTGCTGGTAGCTGGGACACAGCTCCTGAGTCCTGTGGCTGGGGGGATTTCCCCGTTTCCCTCCTGGGTGCTGGTGGTTGGGCTCAGAGCTGCTCTCTGTGTTGTCCCCCCTCAGCTGTGAGGCAGCCAAGGCCCCGATCCCAGAGGCAGTTTCCCCGGAGCTGCAGAGGACTGTTGAGACCCTCTCTGAGACGTGCCAGCTGGTGCTGGGCACAGTGGCCAAATTCAAAGGTAAAGCACTGCTGGCTCCGTGCTGTGCTTCCCCTGGGCTTGGCTGGCTGTGGGAGATCCTCACTGCCTGGTGCTTCTGCTCTGGGATTTGGGAGCAAAACACGCCTGTTCCAGATGGAAACCATCTCCAAGAGAGGCTTCACTGGAGCCTGGGGCTCTGAGAGCCCGTGTCTGGCTTGCTGTCCTGATGAGCAGTGGGAAAGGGGCCACAGGAGGAGGACTCATGCATCTTCCTTTCCTTCTTCCAGGGAACCTGCTGAGCAAGATGGACAGGGAAAGGGGTAAGTTTCTGGAGCTGATGGGCACAAATGAGGGAGAAAAGCTTTCCAGAATGGGTTCCTCATGTCCTTGGCACAGAGATAGGCTCACACCACAACATCTAAAACCAGTGTCTGTCTGGAACTGTGTCCTGTTGTTTTGGCTAGGCCTGCTGTTACATTCCTGATCTGTCCCTGTGCCAGGCAGTGCCAGTGACACGAGCTGTGTCGTGCTGTGACCAGTTGAGCAGAGGGGCTGTACGTGTTTTCAGCTGGCATTTAAAAGTGCCCTCTCACTTTTCGGGGTGAGGGACTTCAGCACAGGACAGTTGTGCCTCAGTTTCCCCCACGGTGTCCGCAGAGGATAGGGTTTAGCAGAGGGCCCGGGGTGGTGACACTGCATGTGACACCTGTGTGGCCTTGTGGGATGGCCGCGGGATGGCAGCAGAACATCCCACACGCATGGGCGGCTCCAGCTCTGGAGGGAGGTTGCCTGGTTACTCAGCAGGGCAGCCTTAGGAGCTGGTTTTCCCTTCGGTGAGCGCTTGTCTGCCTTGTCACAGGAGCAGGGACTGGCCTGACCTTTCTCTCTGTCGTCCCTTAGAGAAGGTGACACTGGACCCAGAGACGGCGAGTCCTTTCCTGATCCTCTCTGCAGACCACAGAACCGTGCGCCTGGGAAAGGGATTCCAGAACATCCCTGACACCCCCCAGAGATTCATGGGCAGCCCCAGCGTGCTGGGCTCCCAGGGCTTCACAGACTGGGAGGCATTACTGGGAGCTGGAGGTGGGGAAGGGGGACAGCTGGGCCGTGGGGGTGGCCCTGGAGTCCGTGCAGAGGAAGGACTCGCTCAGCTTGGCCCTGGGCAAGATCTGGGCCCTGCGGCTGGGCTGGGATGGCCAGTACACGGCGCTCCACGGGTTACCCGCCCTGCTGGCGCTGGAGGAAAAGCCCCGGAGAATCAGGGTCCACCTGGACTACGAAGAGGGCCGAGTGACCTTCTACAACGCAGAGAACATGGTGCAGATCTTGCAGTTCGAGACCTCCTTCACCGAGAGGGTCTTCCCGTATTTCTGGCTGTGGTCAGCAGAAACCTTCATCCGCCTGTGTGACTGATGGGCTGGGGTGCCTCCTGGTGCCCTGCCGTGCCCTGGGCTGGCTGAGCAGGCAGGAACGTGGCAGTGACACAGCACCACGCTGCGGACTCGCCACAGCTCTGCCTGGGCTGGGTGTGCTCTGCACTGTGCTGCATCTCCTCCTTCCGAGCCCTTTGGAGCATTAAAGCTGTGCTGTGCTGCCTGGGGGTGTCTGCATGCTGGTGTCCTGGCTGGATCCCACGGTGACAGTGTCCTGCCTGTCCCTGTGGGCACCGAGGACAAGGAGTAATCAGCAGGGAAGGCTCTGATTGCCCATGCGGGTTTTTAGCAGCGCTGCGTGGCTCGTAGCATGGCTTGGTGTGGGGTGACGTGCTGTAGGGAGGGTGCAGCCACCCCACACCCAGGAAGTCAGGGTGGAGACACGACCTGAGAGTGGTGGCTGAAAACCCCTGTAAAAACGGTTTCTAGACAGGAAAGTGTTCAGGGAGGGGCAGGGCAGACTGGAGAGCTGGACTGAGCATGCAGCCAGAGCCTCTCGAGGCCGGGAGAGCAGCAGGAGTGTGACGGGGATCTGTGAGATCCTGGGGGGTCAGGGCAGGAGCAAACACCACGCTGTGTAATCCAGGCACTGGGAACACTGTGTGCCTGGTGGGTGACAGGGCCTGGGCGGAGGAGCAGGATCTCCTGGATCCAGCATGATCCATGTGTGTCTATTTTTAAGGCAAATGGTACTCTGGGTAAATGCCACGCTCGCTTTTGCCCTTTTACCCTAATATTTTTCTGTATTTTTCCCCCTTCCCCTCAGTCCCAGGGCAGGCCCAGGCAGGCCAGGGCAATGGCTCTGCTGGTTAGCTGTGGGTGTGTCCATTTTTAAGGCAAATAACAACACTTGGGTAAACCCAACTCTCCCTTTTGTCCTTTTTCCCCCTCATTTTTTCCATATTTTTCCCCCTTCCTCTCAGCCCAGGGCAGGCCAAGGCAATGGCTCTGCCGTAGAGCTGGGTGTGTGTCCATTTTTAAGGCAAATAGCAACACTTTCGCCCTTTTTGCCCTCATTTTTCCCAGTTTTCCCGCCCCTTCCCCTCACGTCCCCGGCTGAAAGGAGGCAGCCGGAAACATGGCGGCGAAGCGGCGCCTCAGCGAGACCGAGGACTACATTTCCCAGCGTGCAACGCGTAGGGCGACAACGCGCCCGGGGCCTTGGGAATGCCGGGAAATGTAGTTCCGGTTCAACCCCTGCTGCCTCGCCCTCCCATTAGCCCGGGGACCCGTCGATCACGGCCGGTGGGCGGGGCTCGGCCCCCGCTCGGCCGTTCCTACTGGTGGGAGCGCGCGCGGTGGGAGGGGGGGTTTGAAAAAAAACAACCCGCCCCCCCTCGCGCGCCGCGCGCTGATTGGCTGAGCCGCCGTTTGGCGCCAGCTTCGGAGAGGCCGACGGGTACCGGCTGGGGCCAAAGCGCCGCGGCGGCCGCGCTGACGGGAGCGCTGCGCTGTCCGCTGTCCGCTCCCATGGATCTCGCCCCCGCCGCCCTCCGCCGCCGCCGCCTCACGCTCGCCTCGCCGGCCTCCCCCGCCTCCCCCGCCGTGGTCAAGGCGCTCTTCCAGGACGAGCTCTCGCCCGTCTCCGACCTCCGCCTCAGCATGGAGCAGCTGGGCCGCGGGTGAGTCGGGGGGTGCCCTTCGAGGGCAGGCCCTGGGAACCCCCTTTTTATCATAACCCCCGCCCCCAAAAAAAAAAAAAGGGAGGCTCGAGGGTTTATCTCCCCCTTTCTTCCTTCTGTGCTGAGGGACCCCCTTTCCCCCCGCCGCTCTGGGGCCTTTACCCCCAACACCCCCCAGGGCCTTTTGTCCCCCTCCCGGACCCGCAGCGAGGCCTGGGGGGGCTCCCCCCCATGTACCAAACAAGGCCTCCAAGAGTCGTTTTCCTTCCGTTTCGTTCCCTCCCCCGCACTGGAGCCTTGTGGAGCTTCCCGCCTCCCAGTCCTTTGCTCCCCCAAACCCTCAGGGGTGTCCTTTAACCCCCCCTCACCTCCCAAACCCTCAGGGGTGTCCTTTAACCCCCCCACACCTCCCAAACCCTCAGGGGTGTCTTTACACCCAGAGCCCCAAGGGTGTCTCTTAACACCCCTCTTTCAAACCACCCCCCCCAAAAAAAAAAACCCAAACCCTCTTCAGGGATGTCCTTTACTCCCCAAATCCCAACTGCGAGGCCTCGAGGGATTGGAATTCATCTCCTTCCCTCTCCTTCCAAGAACAAGGCCTCGGGGAACTCATCCACCCTCCCCCCCCAAAAAAAAAAAAAAAAGCGAGGCCTCGTGGATTTCTCCTTCTCTTTCCTCCCCACCGCCGAATCGAGGCCTTGGGGGTCTCTTCATTCCCTCCTCCCTCCAGAAATGAGGCACTGAGGGCCTTGTCCTTCTTCCTCTCCTTCCAAACGCCCCCATGGCCTAAACCCGAGCCCTCCAGCCCCTCTTTTCCCAACCTTCCCCCCGCCCAAAAGGATGCCTGGAGGAGCTGTTTGCCCCCACCCCCTACCCGGAAAACTTCCCTGATTCCCTAAACACCCCCCGGCCCATTCCCAATGCCTCCACCTCCCCCATCCCACATGGATCCAGGGCCCCCTTCCCCCTCCTGTGTCCCACCCCTGCCTCTGCCCTGGGCATCCACCTCCCTCTCCTGTTCCCAGAACTCCAGCCATGCAGTTGTCTGTCCAGTTTTGCTCTTCCTGGTCTTTTTTAACCCCGTTGTTCCCTCCTGAGTGGCTCCTGCTTTGCCCTGGCCCTCTCTGGTCTCGATGAACCCTCCTGGTTTTGTGCTTGTTGATTTTTTTCCATCATTCTCGTTTTCCGCCATCACCTGCTTTAGGATCCTTCCCTCCTTCAGATTCCTGGGATTCCTGTAAGCCATTGGCAGTCCCCTCCATTAAATTAATCAGTTAACTTTTCTTTTATTTAAGTGAGCCTCCATATGATTTTCTTATCTCCCAGTGCTGGGCTTTAGTGGATGCAACAAAATGTGGGAGGCAACTCCTTATGGAAATGGGTTTGAATTTGGAGTTTGGCATTTTTTCCTTGGCAAAATCTGAATCAAAGGAGTGGCTGCCAGAGGGAGGGTTGCACTTCCAGCTGTGCTCTCTGAGAGAACTCCCTGGAGCGTGGTTTGGGAGGTGCTGATGTGATTTCAGGCACCAAAAAACAAGCTTCATGGCCAAGTCTGTAATTTTGAGGTATCAAAGCCTTCATTTGTGAGGGCACAGGCTCAGGGTGTGCTCTAAAAGGACACTGAACCCCCCAGAGCTGGTGTGAATGGAGAAATGGTCGGTGTGAGGAGACCAGGAAGGCAAGCAGGATAACTGCTGTGTTAAGTGACACTTCCCCTGTCTCAGAAGCCAAATTTGTAATGCTTTCAAACCCAAAACGTGAATCTTCAGGCCCTGTGGGTGTTGGGTCTGAGCCAGCAGTGACATTGTCCCTGTTGTCAGCAGCACCCAGAGCTCAGGGCAGTGCTCTGCAGGTTCTCCAGGTGGGAATGCCCTCACCTGGCTGATGATGAAGGTTCCAGGTGATGATCACCAGGCTGTTTTTGTTGCCTCAAAGAGCTTTTAAACCAAATCCCAAAACTTCCCTTTGCAGGCAGCGTGAGAACACGGAGCAGGACCCGGGGAACAAGAATGGACTGCAAAGATCTGCATCCTCGGAATCCACAGACTCAGGTACGGCCTTCCCAGTTAACAATTAATAATTAAGGGTTGAAAAGCAACGTGGTTTTCCACGGCTCCCACTGCAAGCAGCTGCCAGGCTTTGGATAGAGAGCCTTCCCTGCCTGCATTCCCACCATTCGTGGGGTGGCTCCTGGATACTGGTGTGGAAAACAGGGAGAAGGTGCTGGGATCCCACCTCTGAATGGGATCTCCTGGAGCTCCCGCCCTCTGGAGAGAAAACACCATCTGTTTTCTCTGCCTAAACCCAAACTGGGCCAACCCTGTGGTTTGGGGTTTCTTGTGTTTCTTCTGCTAACAGGAGCTGATTGTTTATCTGAAACGCTTCAGTTCTGAGACTTGCCTAGAAAGATTTCCTGTTTTTCAGATGAGAAGCTTTATCAGTGAAAATGAAACAAGCTCTTACCCTGTAACTTTTAGGCACAGAGAAGCTCTGGCACCTCACTGCTCCAGCTCAGGGAAATCAGTGTTTCCACCTGAATTTATGGCCCACTTTGAAGGCTCTTTTAGTCTAGAAAATAACTTTATGAACTTCTAAAACAGAAGTCCAGCTCACAGAGCAGGATAGAACAACCAACCTTGTTAAACCCTCGCTCTCTGCAGCTCCTCAGGAATCTATGTCTGAGTAACTTTGCAGCTCCACAGCATTTTGGTACGGACAAATGCAACGTTCTGCTTGGTTTGTCCTTATGAAGTGCTTCCTGTTCTTTCCAGTACATTAAGAAGGGCCTTTTGACTACTTTGTATTTTTTGGAATGAGCCCAGAATTTCTTCCTGGGAACAGGTGTAACTAAAAACATGGCTTAGGAAAAAAAAAAAAAACACCCAACCTAAAGGACTAAACTGTTTGTTTGTTAAGGTGTGTGGGAGAGAATAAGCCAAGAGTATTCCATGTGACAGTCTAGGCAGGGCTAGGGTGGTGTGTTTTTTTTAATTACTCCTGGTTTTCCCCAAGCACTTCATTATCCATGTCCAAATCCAACCTTAAGGAGTGCCTGTAACCCTTATTTGGGGGTGAGGCTGCAGGTTGGGCTTTCCACACGAGTTCCCCGGGTCCTTCTGTGGGAATGTGCAGCAGTGTCCAGTATTCCCTGTTTCCTGGGTACTGATCACCAGGAATTGTGTGTGTGCTCTGCAGGTTTGGCTCTGGATTCCCCGGGCCCTGCGAGCTCCGGCGACGCCATGGAGGACACGTACGTAACCACCACGTGTTAGACCCGACTTGGGCACGCTGCATCACGAACAGATGGGGCCTGATGGGGCTTTTCCTTTGCTGGCACATGTGGGCTCTCCCCTCGTGAGCTGCTCCGTGTGCTCCAGGGCTGGGGGTGCTGGGAAGGGCCCTGCCTGTGTCCCAGGGCACTGAGGTGTCAGCTCTGAGTTCAGCTGTTGTGCCACACACCTTAACCAGGAGTCTGAGGCTGCTCCAGCTTGCATCTAAATTGCAGTTTCCAGCACTTAAATGATGCTTTTCTGTGCCTTGACTGGTCACAGAATCCCAGAATCACTGAAGCTGGAAAAGACCTCTAAGATCATCAGGTCCAACCTTTGACCCATCACCGCCTTGTCAGCTAGACCTGATGCCAAGCACTTGCTCTGAGCTTTGAGCTTGCCACTCCCAATTAGATTATTTTTTTTCCCTAATCTACTCCCAGGGATGGGGACAGACGCCCTTAGTCCCTGATTTACCGAGCTCTTCCTCCTTCAGCCTCACTTCTTGTCTGAACAGTGCTGGAAAGAATTTAGGGGAAGGAGGGGAGAAGGGGTCTGTGAGTGTTTCAAAAATTAGGATGGGATAAGCTGGCTGTAAATAGGGTTTGGGAAAGACAAGTGTCATTAAGAAGCAGGTTGCCCAGAGCTGCTGTGGCTGCCCCATCCCTGGGAGTGTCCCAGGCCAGGTTGGATGGGCTTGGAGCAACCTGGGATAGTGGAAGGTGTCACTGCCCATGGCAGGTGGTGGGAATGGATGATCCTTAAGATCCCTTCCAACCCAAACCATCCTGGGATTCTATGTTGGCTTGTGCTTGGCATAACCCTTACATATAGGGCTGACTTTTAACGTGCATCTCTCTTGCTTTTAGGTTTGAGAAAGCAATTCTCAAATCCAGCAGACTGAAGTGAGTATAATTCTGTTTTAAACTCTTAGTGTCTGCTGTAGCTTATGGAGTTGGGGGGGGGGGTTGAGTTTTAATCATGTCTTTTAGAGAAAATGTTGCAATAAATCTCTGTTCTTTCTCATTGCAGCCTTCGAATACCTTTCAGGAGAATACACTCCCTGCCAGTAAGTGAGAGTGGTTGTGATGCTCTGTAAATGCTGTAGGATTTAACACGTTCCTGGTTGAATACACTGCCTAACTTGTTCATTTTCTGGCTGCAAAACCAGCTGCTTGAGGGTGCTCAGTGCAGACTGTCAGAATTGCAGCTGGTACGTTCTAAATCTCACTTGAGTTCCCGTGAAATCTCCGTGGTGTGGCTCCATCGCTGCTGCAGTGGAAGCATTTCGGTACCTGTGCCGAGATGTCAGCAAAGTTTCCTTTGCACAGATTCATGGCCAGAGACTTGGCAGTCTTTATTAACCCCTCCTGTGCTTAAAATGTGGCTGGTACATGATACTGAACTGGTGCTTTTGTGTGATCATTGTAGCAAAATCTGCTGGGATCCAGCCCTGCCCTGAAGAGAAACCATTCAGATTCTCTGGACAGCGATGCTTTTCAGCCATTGGCACAAGATGAAAATAAGGAGAATGTAAGTGATGAATAGAGTTAGAGATGAATAAAAATTGGGAAGATTCTGAATGTGCAGCTCCACCACTAACCCTGACTCCTTTTTGGCTGTGGCAAGGGAGGAGGTATTCTCTCTACTTGCTTTAAAGAATTCCAAGGGCTGCCTCCATGAAGCTGTTTGGGTAGATTGACCCATCTCTTCCCACTGCTGCCATGGATTCCTCATGGAATCAGTGCCCTTTGGCTGCTGGGAATCCCATGGATGGGACTCTTGACAGGTCTGCAGGAGAGGACACAGCTTTGGCTGCCTTCAAAAATGATGTATTTTGGAGAGAAGTCGACTGACAGGGATAGAAAAGCCTTCAGCCTGTAGGTGATTTCAGGAGCATAAATTTTGGATTATGTTAAATGAAACACTTGTAACATCTTTCATTTGAAAACATTCACCTTCAGGCCATTCCTGTTGGCAGCAGGGAGCTTAAATCCAAAATGTCAGGTAGTTTTAAAAAAAAGCCATAAGGAAAAAATGATCCAAGCAACTCACACAGTTTGTCATTTTAGTAAAATGATTGTTTTCCTCCTTTTTAATTCAGGAGTCATTTGAGTTTAAGAAGCCAACCAAACCAGCTTCTCGTTGCTTCCGTGATGGAAGGGCTGGAGCAAGGCAGAATTCATCTCCAGCTCAGATTGTAAGTTCTTGTAAACTAATTCTCACCTAATTCTTTGCTGCCCGCTCTCTGGGAGGAAGAAAAATTGCATCAGGGTTCGAAGGCAGTCCTGTCAATCACTACTGCTCAGGTGCCAAATGGAAAGGCTTATTTATCTGCCAGATAAGAAAAATTTTTCTCACCTCTGAGATGGTCAGAAATTTGAAATGTGGATTGTTCTGGGAAGGATGAGTCAGTGCAGAGCTGAGGTTCTGCTGCAGTAATTGAAGGGAGTGTGGGCTCTGATGTGGAATTGGAAGTGATTTCACTATCACTTCTGTTGAGGCTGATGTGTTTGGAACAACAACTCTAGCTGTGCAGAAAAGGCTGGATTTTGTGTCCAGATGTGACACCCAGGGAGAAAATGCGACCTTATTCGTATCCTGTTGCTCAGAAAAAGCAACTGAAAAATCGTGATGGGTCCTTGCACAGAAACAGGGCTGGGGCCCAAGTCTTGTCTCAACTCCTTGAGTCTGGCAGCCCTTCATCCTGCCCATTGTCCTCTTTGCTCCATAGGGAGGAGCGACCACGGTGTTCCCTGTGGTGCAGGAAGCTCGTGGCATCAGCTCTGGGAAGAGAAGGAATGTTGTTAAAATTAAAGGTGTCTTCTCTCAGGTTCCCATGGATGAAACACCCTCGGGTGAGCAGGAGAACTACAGGCCAGCCTTCCTGCAGCAGCATTCCCTGACCTCCTCGGAGAGCGAGGACGACGACGGATTCCTGGAGCTGCTGGATGACCAGGATTTGAAGGTATGTGCAAAGGGAATGGGATGGAGATCCCAAATACAGTTCTGCCTGCTGCTGCTGTGTGTGTCTGTGGTGCAGGTGTGTTCTGGCACAAGTGGGTGTGCTCAGTCAAGCTGCAATAGGTTTAGGGAATCATAGAATCCCAGAGGGGTTTGGGTTGGAAGGAACCTCAAAGACCATCCAGTTCCAGCCCCCTGCCATGTGCAGGGACACCTCCCACTAGGAGATGAGTTATCACCGTCTTTTTCAACTCACACTGTGGTATCTCTATCTTACAAGTGTTCTTTCCTAGTGCAGACGGTGGGATTTGTTTGGTGTGTGAACCAGGAAGTTATTTTTAGCTGGAGAACTGCGTTACGAGGAGAATTATTGGAACAGTTGGCATTTTTCTTTAGAAAACTTGCTGGAAAGCTCAGAGGTGGTGTTTGCTTTGGAGCCACTTAAATAGAAGACTGTTTCCAAGTGATTTGGAGATGCTTAATGCTCTGGAGGATCATCACCTGTTGATGTGTCGATGAACTGACATAACTCCAGCCTGTCTCAGCTCGGGTCTGTGGTTTCACTGAGCACTGGCCTGATGACAGAGTTAAACTCCTGAAGCTGCCGTGGCAGCTGAACCCAGCTGGCATGCTTGCCCCAGCCGTGCAGGAGCTGTGTTTACAGCCCGTGGGGCAGCAGGTGGGGTGACCCTGGTTTCCCCCTCAGAACGACGAGGAGGTGCCGTCGGACGTGGCGAGCCTCTGGACCGCGCCGCTGGTCACGAGGAGAGCGGACAATCGGGTGAGTGTCACGGCACAGAGACCGGCCTTTGTCCTGCCACTGCCACTGCTGGCACGAGCGATCCCTGCTGCCAACTGTATCCCTAAGGACAACAGCAAAACAAGCCTGGCATAACCCCTGGCAGCACTCCCTTGTCTCTGAAGCTGCTTGCCTGGAAGACTTGGTCGGTGTGGAACATTTATAGGCATTACGTTTCTTTATACGCTTCACAAACTGTGAGGAAATCTTGACTTCCCTTATCAGAATCTTGTTGGCATAGCTGGAATTCGCCCTGCACAGGCTCACCTGGAATGCTGATCCCCTGATAAGAGACTGGGAAGGGAGTTTAGACTCCAGTAAAAAACTCCTTGATCTGCTGATGGATTGGCTGATAATTGGTGTAGAGCACTTCTTCTTTCTTAGGGTGCTGCAAGCTCCCCCAGTCCCCCCAGTAACAAGTGTTACTGGACATGCAAAGCCTGAATAATTCAAATTACCATCCTGCAGTTGCTGTGCAGTGGTGGTGTCCTAAACAAGGCAAAATCTGTAACAATCTGTAATCCTGAGGCTTGTTTATTTCCCAAGCTAAAGCTTTGCTGGACGACTCAACTCCTCTCCTTCCTCACAGGCCAAACGGTGCCGCTTGTTTGGCTCTTCATCCGTGTCCAGCATTGCTGGAAGAACCACCCAGAAGAGGGTGGAGAGATCCCAGGAAGAGAATTCCCCAGGGAAAAGCAAGAAGAGGAAAAGCCTGCCTGGAACTTGCGAGGACCCAACGGTGGGTGACTCAGCGTCCAGTTTGGAACAGAGGACTGGTTGGGGGGGGATCTGATATTGGTGTCTGGGTTATGATGGTCAGCGGGAGCTTTTTTGGATGAAAAGGGAGATTTGGGGGAGCTGGGACACTACTTACATGTCCTGAACCTGAGCTTTGCCCCAGAACAGCAGGGAAGCTGAGGAGTCGGAATTCAGAGCTCTGGAGTAAAGTCTGAGTTCTCTGTTGTGGGAAACAGGGAATGGGATGTGTCTGCAGCCAGTGCTGATCTCTAACCTGTGTCCTGCAGAGTCTGAAGCTGGTGAGGACCCAACCCTCCACAGCAGAGATCGAGAGCATTTTGGACAGTGACCAGAGAGACCTGATTGGGGACTTCTCCAAGGTAATGCAAGGGATTCCATGGCCAGGTGTTTGCTGGAGTGTCCCCATGGCCTCTCCTGGTGGGGATGTCTGAAACCAGCCCCCTAAAGCCCTCCCTTTACAGGGGCTTTGCTTCTGCTACATAAATCTTGCTTGGTTGGACTTGATGATCTTGGAGGTCTTCTCCAACCTTAGCCATTCTGTGATCCTCAAACACTGAGGAGAGGCTGTTGGTGAGAAGGGACAGGTTAGACACAAAGTCATTAATTTGTGGTTTAAGACCTGCAAAACCCCTCTGGTGTAGGAGCCAAAAATTAAATTCTGTCCCTGACTTTGAAAGTCTCAGTTTTAAGTTCCGAAGAGATTCTTGTCAGCAAAGTATCTGTCAAAAGAATGAACTGCTGGGTGCTGTGACTCACATCTGGATTTTCTCCATCCTGTCTGTCTTAGAGTTACTTACTTGACACTGTTGATGGGAAACATCAGGATTTAAAATACATCGACTCAGAAATGGTGAGTGCTCCAAGGAGAGGCAGAAACATTACTTACTGGGGTTAGGGGACAACACAAAAACGTCTTGAAACAACTGAACTCTTTCTTTTTTGTGGGTTCTTTTCTCAGATTGTGTCTGTGCTGACTGGGAAGTTTGAGAGCTTCATCAAGCAGTGTGTGATAATGGACTGCAGATACCCCTACGAGTATGAAGGAGGGCACATCAAGGTATGTTGACCCTGTAAGAGCAACCCAGAGGGGTCTGAAGTTGCAATGTGGGGTCACTTGGCCCCCCATGGGGCTGACTTTTATCCAAGGCCGTGTGGATTTGTTATTCCTGAGGTGTCCCACTGGGGTCCTGTCACACCTGGGTCTTGGACACTGAGCTCACACTTGGCTCATAAAGTGCCTTTTCCTCTCAGAGGGGAGTGTTGTGCCCTCCTTAAGCACAGGAGGGGGCCTGTGTGGCCATCAGGGAGGTGTTTCCAGAGGAAGGATGTAAGACACTCAGTGTGCAACATCCTGGTGTCCAGGGAAGCTACAGTTGGAATATTAAACTTCATTTAAAGCACAGACTTCAAAGAACAAAGGGCTGTGCAAAACATAACCAGGAACAGATCACCCAGAGAGGATGTGGCCTTAGAGCAGGGCCTAAAGGGGCTCCAGGAGAGCTGGAGAGGGACTGGGGACAAGGCATGGAGGGACAGGACACAGGAAATGGCTTCCCACTGCCAGAGGGCACAGAGAGATGGGATATTGGAAAGGAATTCCTCACTATGAGGGTGGGCAGGCCCTGGCACAGGTTGCCCAGAGCAGCTGTGGCTGCTCCTGGAACCCTGGCAGTGTCCAAGGCCAGGCTGGAGCAGCCTGGGCTGGTGGAAGGCGTCCCTGCCCATGGCAGGGGATGGCACTGGATGATCCTTGAGGTCCCTTCCAACCCAGACCACTCTGGGATTCTGTAACTGATCCTGAACATTGCTGCTTGATCAAAGGCCATCCCAAAGACATGAGATGAGGAGGGACATCCAAGGAGCCACAGCCTCCAGGTGCTGAATTGTCCACCTGAGCCGGGTCTTGGTCACCCAGAGCCAGTCCCGGACTCTGTGGTGTCCCGGTGGGGTTTGGGGCTGTGTTGAGGGAGGGTTCCAGAGCTGCTCCAGCAAACCAAGGTGAGGAAACTGCTCTCGAGGAAGTGGGATGAGTTTGTTCCGCTCCCCCTGCCCTTGCAGGGTGCCATAAACCTGCACATGGAGGAGGACGTGGAGAACTACCTGCTGAAGCAGCCGATCGAGCCGGCGGAGAACAAGCGGGTCATCGTGGTGTTCTACTGCGAGTTCTCCTCGGAGCGGGGCCCTCGCATGTGAGTCCCACGCCCTGCAGAGGGACCTGGGCAGTGCTGGGAGCGCAGCTGGGGGGTGGCACCACCGGCACACGGGGATTGTCACCTGGCAGGGCTGTGGCACAGCCCGGGGTGGGAGTGGCCGTGCTGGGCTCGGCTGGAGCGCTGGGCTGTTCAGAGGGAAAGGGGAAAACCGGTGCACTGTGGCCGTGTGGGTCCTCAGCCCTTCCTGAGAGGCAGCAGCAGACTGCTGGGATCCCAGGGAGTCTGGGGTGAGAGCTGGCTTTGGGTGTTGTCTGTAGAACTCAGGGTTTATCAGGACCTTCCCCCTGCAGGTGCCGGTTCGTGCGGGAGCAGGACAGGCTGAGCAACGAGTACCCCAGCCTGCACTACCCTGAGCTCTACGTGCTCAAGGGGGGCTACAAGGATTTCTTCTCCAGATGCAGGGTAAGGAACTTCCTCCCAGACTGTGGATTCCCATCCCTGGAAGTGTTCAGGGCTTGGAGCAGCCCCATCTAGTAAAAGGTGTCCCTGCCCATGGCAGGGGGTGCAACAACATCTTGAAGGTCCTTTCCAACCCAAACCACCCCATGATTGTTCTGTGATCTCTTTCACGCTCAGAGGAGAAGTGGTAGATAAATATTATTAACTTATTCATACTCAGACTTGTCATTGGGCCAGAGTGGTTTGGCTGGGGTGGCTTTTCTGCTCTCAGTGCTCTGTTCCCAGAGCAGCTCAGGTTTGGCTCTCTCAGCCTGTTCCTTCCCTCAGAGCTGTTTTCCTGCCATAGCTGAAAGGTTTTTCCAGTTGTCTCAGAGGTAAAATAGAAAAGTGGTTTCTGCCCTTTTAGAACAAACTGTCACTGAGGGAAGGGACTTAAGGCTGCTCAGCCTGCACAGAGCAGGGGAGAAGACAAAGCTTGACAGTAATTGCTGGAGAACAAATGGAAACCTCAGGTCTCCTCCAGTCCTGAAACAGCAAAATTGGAAACCTGAGCTTGGAGTTTTCACCCTCTGATTCAGACAAGGAAACTAAAGAACACCCCACAGCTCTTCCCAGCACCTTGAGGGTGGGATGTCTCCTGTCACTTGGCTTTTGCTCCTGCAGCATTTCCATGGCTGGACTCTCTCCAGCGCTCCTGGGGTCTGTCCTGCTGCTCTGGCACAAACAGGCCATGGCCTGGCTGTCACCTCAGCCCCTCACACTTCAGAGTATCCCTCAGATTGCCTTCCTGGTGTGTTTTCAGGGAGATGGGAGATACCTGGCCTGTCCATGGCCTGTTGGATGGGGTTGTCATCTCCTTCCTGCTGGGCCCAGGGGGAGATGCTGGTGTTGGTGGCACTGGGTGCTGCCCAGTTGTGCTCTCCCTGTGGTCTGCTGGCTCCCCTGGGGTGATGGACAGGTGGGATTTGGGCTGTCCCCTGTGGGGTTTGGGCTGTCCCTGTCCCGGGGAGGGGTGGCCGAGGCCTCAAGGTGGCAGCACGGAACAGCCGATGGGGCTCCCATCCCGAGGCTCGGGGAGAGCCTGCCCGTCCTGCCTCCCAGGGTGAGCACCAGGGAAACCCAGCCTGCCAGAAAATGTGGGAGGAGAGCCCTGCACCCAGGGTTTGGTAGCTGGGGTCTGAATATCCCCGGGCTCCGAGTGTCTGGTGTGGAGCTCCCACGTGGGGCAGGGGGGTCTGTCCCTGTGTGTGCCGGGGGTGGTGGTTCTGGTGGCTGCTGCCAGGCTGTGCCAGTGGGATCCTCACCCCTGTGGCACCGAGGTGACAGCAGCTCCTGTCTCCCCAGAGCTTCTGCGAGCCCCAGAGCTACCGCCCGATGCACCACAAGGACTTTAAGGAGGACCTGAAGAGGTTCCGCACCAAGAGCCGGACCTGGGCCGGGGAGAAGAGCAAGAGGGAGATGTACAGTCGCCTGAAGAAGCTCTGAGGGCTGCAGGGACCCAGCACGGACTGTCCAGCGTGGGAGGCCTGCCCTGCCTCTCTCCTCCTCTGTTTGCTCCCTGGGAACTCCTGGAACTCGGGGCTCCGGGCCCGGATCCGGCCGGGAGCCGCCTTTGGTTATTTTTGTTACATTGCTTGGTGAAAAATGGCTTCTTGTGTTCTGTGCCTCCCCCAGAGCGCCCGGGGAGGGGTGGGGAGACACCCGTGGGGCTGTGCTGGGGCCTGGGGCAGCAGTGTTGAGGGTGTTTTAGTGCCTGTTATTTTTTTTAACTGCTCGATTTTATTTAAATACAGTCAAATGAAGCCAATACTGCTGCGGTTGGATCATCTGGGGTCTACTTAAACCTGCTCTCTACCCCAGGGCATCCTGCTGGTGGAGGGGTGGGGGCTAATTATTGTACTCAGCTGCAGCTTTGGTTCCATGTAGTGTTTGTGGTGAAGGAAAATGGGAAATGTCCCGTTACAGCTCGAGGTTCCCACCTCAGCCTTTGAAAGCCCATCTAAGAGGAATTGCCTGTTCATAAATATCATGTTCACCTCGTTTACTTCAGGTTGTTTTATTTCATAGTCTCTTTCTGTAGCTTTAGAGGAGTTGGTGTTTTGAAGGAGGGAGAATTTCTGGGGGGTCAGCAGTGGGATGATCCCAGGAGCACCAGGGAGCAAAGCTGTTGATTTTCTGTCGCCGCTGCCTCCGAGGCTGTGAGTTGTTATCCTGAAACATTCCCAGGACAGAGCGTGTGGGGAATCCTGGGAGGCTGCTCCCACACCTGGGGGTGACTGTGGCCACTTCTCCCTCTGCCAGGAAAGGCAGGAAGTAAATTAATCCCTGAAGGAAGAGGAACTTCCTCGGCAGCCTTGGGCCCTGCAGCTGAGGAAGTTCTGCTGTGCCAGCCCCAAAACTGCTTGGCTGCTGATTTTTGGGGTCACATCAGCCCCACCTCTTCAGTCCTGCAGCAGCCCCAGGGATTTTGGGGTGTGATGGTGCTGGGGCTCATCTTCCTCATGCACCAACTCCCTGGAGAAACTGGTGCTGCCTGGGAGCATCGGGGGCCTGGGAAGCTCCCAGCTCTCCTCTCGTGTCCTGTTTGTATCCATGTCAAAAAATATTGAAATGGAGGTGCCTTGTGCGGAGTTCTGACTTGATTTTACTGAAAATCTGTTTCTTAAAATGTGTTGTTAATCCTCTTAAGAAGGAAAAAGGATAGACTTGGAGTTTTTTCTAGTTTAAAAAAAAATAAATTGGAATTTGCTGTTTTCCCTCAAAGCTGAAACCCTTGAAGGGGGAGATGCGAAATCAGGGGAGGAAATGCTAAATCAGTCATGGTGGTTACAAATTTCTCCCCTTGGGAAATTTGGGAGGGCTGAACTCCTGAGTGGGGGTTGTGGAGTGGGAGGAGGCCACGGGCAGTGACCTGAGTGACCCAAACTGCTCTCTGGTCAAGGCCAGGGGGTAAATCATCAGTTCAGCAACACGAGGGCTGGGCAGGATCTCCTGGTACAACTCTGTGATCCAACAGTTGCTCCATGTGAGAGTTTAACTCCTCAGAAAAAGCAGATGGAGACTTGCTGGGGTCGTGATGGTCCTTGCTGAGGTCACTCAGCTGGAGCAAAACCCTTGCAGCAATCCAGGCCACGCAGCTGCACCTCCCTGGACCTGCTCAGCATCCCAAACTTCCTGCTGTTCGGGAAGCTGGATCTGGGCTGGGTGCTGGGGCTGTGGCCCAGCAGTACAGGGGGATGAGCAGAGGCTGGGAATGGCTGGAGCCCTGCAGGGGTGGAAAGGACCCCCCTGGTGTCAGATCCCACCTTACTCTGTGTGCCCCGAGTCCTGAGGTGGGAGAAGGCTGGGAAAGGGCTGTTCCAGGCAGGATCTGCACTGTCATCCCAGAACTTTAGAGATTGTTGTGGGCAAAGGTCCTAAAACCCCAAACAGTTTGAATCCAGCTGTTCCTGCAGCAGAGGCTCTGGTGAAGCTGCTCTGTGTCACTGCAGTGTCAGAACAAGCCCAGGGTGGCAGCTGCTGCTTTTCCTGTCCTGTGTCTTTGCTTGTTGCTTGCAGGACAAACACTGCCGGAGAAGCTGTGGCTGCCCCATCCCTGGGAGTGTCCAAGGCCAGGTGGGACGGGGCTTGGAGCAACCTGTGCTGGTGGAAGGTGTCCCTGCCCATGGCAGGGGGTGGCACTGGATGAGCTTTGAGGTCCCTTCCAACCCCAACCCTTCTGGCATTCTGTGAACTCCAGGGCTGCAGCCACCTGAATGTCAAAGCTGGGCGTTCCCATCATCCCATGGTCATTGTGGAGTCTCAGCTCACTTTTGGAGGAGGGTCCTGGCCTGTCCTGGAGGCTTTCCCGGGGCTGGGAAGAGCAGCAGCAGAGCGTGGGGGTGACGAGCAGGTGGCCAACAACGGGGTCAGCATTAAAAGCTTCCCTGAAAAAGCAGTAATGTGACTCCAAATCCACGGGAGGCTCAAGCAGAGGACTGGGTGGGGTTTTTTTTTCCCATCCCTCCATCTGTCAACCTTAAAACTCATTTTGAAAGCAGCTTAAACCGTCATCAGCTCCGACCACCAGCTCCTGAACGGCACAAAGGTCGCCGCTTCCTTGCATGTTGTGTTACCTTTGGTGGCCTAAAGGGACTCTTGTGCTCTGTCTTTTGTGGCATTTGGGGCTAATAAAGGCCAGCTGCAAAGGGCCAGCTGCCCTGCTGTGCCAGCAGCTCCTGGATCCCTTGGATTCCCTGGGAACTGGCAGTGGGTGTGGGACATCCCTCCGGTGCTGCCATAACCAGCCACTTCCCTGCTTTTAACTCCTTTTGCAGCTTTTCAAACAAAACTGCCTCTGCCTTTCTGCCTCCTGTGTTTCCTTTGTGTGAGAGCTCTTCCCAGGTCTCTTGGAGCCTGTTCCTGCGTCCTGGCTCCTGCCACCGACAGCTCCGCTCCCTCCGTGCCCGTGGCTGCTCGGCCACTGCACACCCCGGACTTGGCAATTTGGGAGAGTTATTTGTCAAGTGAAGCTGCCCCAGCTGAGGCTCTGCTGGGCCAGGAGGGATTATCCCAGCTGGAGGCAGGAGAGTGAGATCTCCAGAAGGGCAAAGCAGGGTTCTGTGCAGGGCCTGAGTGCTGCTGGCTTGGGCTGAGGCAGAGAGGTTCAAATCGGCTGAAATTCCCTAATAGAGCTCCTGCAGGTTTGCAAGTGGCAATGCTGGATCTGTGTCAGGCAGGGGCTGGCAGAGCCCCTCTCCCCCAGGCTGGGGGGGTTTGACAGGGAGAAGTGACAGAAGGAGTTGTCTCCCGTGAAATCTCGGCTGCACCTCTGTGGGTTGATGATTCTGGAGCAGATTCACGAGGCTTTGCTGGGCAGAGGTTGCTTTGCTGAGAAAACCATTTGCTTCTTGTCCTGGCAGTGGCTGTTGGTGACAAGTGTGACTAAGCTGGGCCCTGCAGAGCTGCTGGCTGGGCAGCAGTGTCCTGTAACTCCTGGGGTGTTGGTACCAGGCTGCAGTTGGGTCTCATTGAACTGGGGCTGGGCAGTGGCTGCTCCCACAGGGCTGTGTCACACCCCAGTGCCCCCAATCCCCCTCCTGCCGGGGCTGACCCTGCTGTGCCATGGCCCTTGCTCCATGGGGGCTCCATGGGACATCCTGCCATGGCCCAGTCCTTTATCCAAAGCCCTGTGGGCCGTGGGGGGCTGTGAGGGGACGGTGGCTGCTCCCCTGGTGCTTCCCTCTGCCCACTCCTCACCTCACCTGGGACACTGGATTTTGCTGTGTCCCAGGTGATGCTCAGACCATTCCTGGGAACCACTGGTGCCATCAGAGCTGTCACTGGTGCCTCAGAGCTGTCACTGGTGCCTCAGAGCTGTCACTGGTGCCATCAGAGCTGTCCCTGGTGCCTCAGAGCTGTCCCTGGCATCCACCCTGTGTTGCCAGTGCTGATTCCAGGGCATGGGCTGCCCTCAGCTGCTGCCCTCGGCCTGTGAGGCAGCAGGGGCTGCACCACCAAGGTCTTCCTCACCCAAAATGCTCCCCCTGGAGCGGGTGGGCAGGAGGGGAGGAAGGGCAGGTGGGCATGGGGGGGTGACAGCCCCAAAGGTGCCTCCATGTCCCGTCCAGGCTTCACCCCTCAGCTTCACCTCCTGCCACAGGGCCATGTGCGTGTTCTTGGAGACCCTCAGGCACTTCTGGAGAAGGGATGTGATGGAGGGCTCTGCCTGGGGGGCTTTGTGTGCTTTTGGGGTGAGATCCCCAGTCAGGCTGTGCTGGCCCGGGGTTTGGCTGCAGACAGGCCCTGCCTGTTGCTGTTGGATGAACTCTCCAGGGATGTTTGCTGGGGCTTAAGGCTCGAGCAAGGAGCCATAAAAAGGGAGGATAACATCAGAAGAGGAAAGTGGAAGGAGGCCAAGAGGAACGCGGCCAGGAGCCCTTTCCTTCTTTCTCTTTCGCTGTGTGCAGGAAATCCCCGACAGTGTGGGATGTGTCACATCCCTGTGCCAGGCCGGGCACGGCCCCACCACCACGGGAACATCCCCAGAGGGGGCTTGGGGGTCCTGGGGAGGGCAGGGAACAGGGGGAGGCTGAGCTGGGGGAGAGGGGCCCAGGGAAAGAGCTCCTGTGTGGATGGAGCTGCAGCTCCCGCTCCACCTCGGGGTAAATCCACGTGGGGTGGCTTCTGTCACCGCGGCTGGTGGCGCGGGAAGGTGGGCTGGGGTAGGAAGAGTCCCGTGGCCGCATCCCGGGTGTCCCACGGAAGGAATTTAGCAGGGAGGAGCAGGAGAGGGCGGCGGGAGGAGCGGAGTGTGTGCGAACACCCCGCGGGCGGCTGGACCGGCCCCTGCCAACACTGCCAGTGCCACCGGGAGGGACAACCCCGGCTCCGGGAAAAGACAACCCCGGCTCCGGGAAAAGACAGCCCCGGCTCCCCCGAGGGTGCCGTTCCCGGGGGGAGGGCAGCGGGGGTGCCCACGCGGGTCCCCGGGTCAGGCCAGCACCCCGTGCAGCCCCAGTCCCCAGGCTGAGGAGCAGAGCTGTGCCGTGGGAGGCAGCAGGGCGAGGCACCCAAACCCATTTAACCAGTTTGGCGAGCGTGAGGTCCGTGGGGGAACCCTGAGCTCACGGGAACTCTCTGGGCATCGCCGCAGTCCCGGGAAACGCGGGGTCTGCCCTCGCGGAGCAACCACGAAGTGAATTCGGGGCTGTGGCTGGGGCTGTCCTGGGTGCAGAGCCAGCCTTTCCCATGTGGAGGGGATGAGTTCGGTCCTGGCCGTTCCCCTGTTGCTGCTGCAGGAGGGGAAGTGGTGACACAAGTTCTGCGCTGGGAACAACAGCTCACATCCCCACCAGCCCCACAAACCTGCAGCCCCCTCGGCTGCCCCTCTGCCCTCATCAAATGTGGCTGGAATTGGGTGAGGAGTTTGAGCATTGACCTGTTGGAGTGAGTCCAGAGGAGGCCACCAAGATGAACAGAGGGATGGAACCCTTCCCTACGAGGAAAGGCTGAGGGAATGCCTCACCACCCTCCCAGTGTCTCATCTAAATCTATCCTTCAGCT